TTAAAAATTCCATCTTTTTTATTTTCCAGAATATTAAAAAATTTACTAGAAAAAGTTGCTTACAACTTATGAGACACCCTGTATTGATATAAACTATTCCTCTTAAAATCATCCAAATATTCACATCCTGATGTATCGGCATTCATTTAATTAACACCCTGTACATGCCTGTAAACTTTGTACCTACACTTCTAACCCTTATTTTGCTCCAAACATTTTGAGAAAACAAGAGTCGTATTTTGAATATTCTCCGATTGAAAATCCCGGAAAAATAATAGAATTCGAGCGAATCGCCTCGAAAAAATCTCGATATCATCTGGAGAAATTTCCCGCCTTGTACAAGTTCAAATATTGATACTGAGATTTCCCTGAAATTTAATAATGCTCCGATGTGAAAATGTTTACAGGAGTTTTCACTTATTTTCCCTTCTGTTTGTTTACCATCTGGGGGTGTCTATAAATAAATTTTCCCGTCGAAAAACCGACCGGCTGACGTCGCATTAGGATAATCCTTTTTATGGAAATTTAATTTCCCCGCGCACTTTTTATCCTTCGGCGTATTACAAGTCAATATACCATTAAAATTGAATTTTCGCATCAAGTGGACCGATTATTTTATTGCCGGATTATTTATAATACAAAAATCGAGCATAAAAAGCCTCCTTCTACATTTTTAATTATACAGGATGTCCTCGTGCAAACACTTTATTTTTGTACCTAATGCTCTATTAGTTCCATGCACTATTTTCTAGTTTGCATATTTTTTAAATTTACTACATAGAGCTCCCTCTGGCTTGCTAACGAACTTATTTGCATTAAGTACGCTAGTAATTTGTTTTTTTAAACTTTTTTTAGTTATTTTCCTACACGATTAAAGCGGGAAGAAACTTAAAAAAACAAATTTTATTAAAATAACCAGAAGAGCTTGCAGGGATATTTTATGGAAATTAATTACACCTCATTTTTATACAAAGTAATTCAATCTTCGCAGGTTACATTTCGATCAAATAGCACAAATTTAAACGTTATTTGTATCTAGCTTAATCACCTCTACCTATGCGGAATTAATTTATTTTTTTATGGAATTCTAAAGTGCCCAAAAGGCTTATTTCTATGCAAATGACGGCAATGAAAATCAGCATTTAACGGCGCCGGGGAGGGTTTTCGATATATATTAAAAAGGATTGTTCGGGGAGAATTTATCGAGGACTTTTGAGAAAAATAAAATTTTATTACCCCGTCCAGACTCCGCCGAAGAGTTGCAAATTTATGTTAATAGGCCGTTGTTTTTATCGGTGTGTTGTTGATTGTTTCCAAATTTATAAAGATACATAAAAATACCCTTTAATTTATAATAGAAGGGGAAATTCTTAGGAATTATAACCTAGAGAAGAGACTAGAGAAGAGACTAGTGAAGAGACTAGAGAAGAGACTAGTGAAGAGACTAGTGAAGAATTTAAAAAGAATTTTTTTATCTGCTATGGGGTTCAAACTAAAAATGTGAACTCTTTATGGACTAAAGCAGAACTTGATTGGCGCCTATTCAAAGCAGATATTTTATTAAAGTTATAAGATTTCTATTTACAGTTAATAAAAATTTCTCTCGGTGTAGAGAAGAGACTAGAGAAGAAGACTAGTGTAGAGACTAGAGAATAAACTAGAGAAGAAGACTAGTGTAGAGACTAGAGAATAAACTAGAGAAGAAGACTAGTATAGAGACTAGAGAAGAGACTAGAGAATAAACTAGAGAAGAGACTAGTGAAGAAAATAAAGAAGAGACTAGAGAAGAGACTAAGGGTTCAAACTAAAAATGTGAACTCTTTATGGATGAAAGCAGAACTTGATTGGCGCCTATTCAAAGCAGATATTTTATTAAAGGTATAAGATTTTTATTTACAGTTAATAAAAATTTCTCTCGGTGTAGAGAAAAGACTAGAGAAGAGACTAGTGAAGAGACTAAAGAAGGGACTAGAGAAGAGATTAGAGAATAAACTAGAGAAGAGACTAGAGAATAAACTAGAGAAGAGACCAGTGAAGAGACTAGAGAAGAGACTAGAGAATAAACTAGAGAAGAAACTAGTGAAGAGGCTAGAAAAAAGCATGACACTAGACAGTATCGCCCTTCTATAGTTTATTAGAACAAAAAGGGCGAGTAAATGTTCGAGATTTAAAATAAATATTTGAAACTGGAAGTCACTGAGCCTCGCGGAACAACGTTAAAGGCTCTTCGGGCTCGAGTGCGATGTGTTCGATAAACGCTGGAATAGTTACTATCCTCTCGAATAGTTCGACTGTTGTTTTCTATAAGTACTGGCATTCAAAGCGCTCATCGAGAGGGCGTTTAAAGTTTAAAGTGCTCATGTCGAAGTTCTCGAGTATATACAAGCGAAATCTTCTTCCATATAGCGCGTCAGTTGTATCGAATTACGGGGTGTTTATTTCTAAATTGCATCAATAAGAAGAATCTTTTTTTTTGTGTAAAATGTGGAGAGTGTTGCCAACGTGAAGTTAAAATCGTAACTTAGGGGGATTCACCGATGTTTCATCATTTTCGCCAGGTAAATGGAAGTAACTTTAATTAGCTAGACTGGAAATTAGTTCCCGGGAACTTTTGGAAAGCTAAATGGATTTTAAATTAATCGACAGGCGCTTCGGGTTCGAAAAGAATCCCGAATGTCCTAGTCAAAATGCATTACCCTGCGATGGGAAAACCGGGAAGAAAAATCGCGTTGGAAATTTTCTAAAAGCTTGTCTTGTTCGAGTGAAATATCGAAGGTTATTTATTTCATAAAGCCCTTTATAGAGGTCCCTCGATTATAAAACAAATCCTAATTGATGGTATTGAAAAATCTTCTTTTAAATGAGTGGCCTCGATTCTACTTACCTATAAAGCTATAAAGTCAATGGCGCCACTTCAGGGTATTTTTAAATGGGAAAACATAGGTTCAGTAATTCCAGTAAGATTCAAATTTGGCTTATCAAATCAAATTTATTTGCAATGCTATTTAAATGGCAAAACATAATTCTAGTAAGACTCAAGTTCCCTCGAACGGATGTGTGAATAATTTTAGTAGGATGAAGAATATTTATTACAGAACGATGTCTCCTAGTTTATATTTATCCACAGGCTGTATTATATTAAAAAAAAACTAATTAAATTATTTTAGCAAATGATGATAATAGATTCCTGTAAAATATGGTGTCGCTTGACATAAATGTCAAATCACAGAACAATTTTGTAAATTTGACTAGCGACAGCGTTGCCAGTAGTTTCCGTTTATCAGATATTTTTGGATAATTTGGACTTTTTTAAAAACAGGTAATATGTAATAAGGTATTTCCAGTGCACCGGAATACTTTTAGAGCACTTTAATGAGTATTTTTAAAACCCTACTTTTATCTTTTCAAATTGCAGGAAAAAGAATTGAATTTAAAAAATTCTGAAAAGGATTTCTTATTTTACTTTCTTGTACGTTTGATTTTATGTCAAGTGTAATCAAACACGGAACATCTACTAGTGAGTTAAACTAATCTCATCCTATCTATTGTGGAAAAAATTATCCAAAAATAGTTCTATTATATCCCACGAATTTTGAATCTGAGGGCGTTATTTGGCGGCTTAATGTATTTAGAAACCAGTATGTGCAATAAAGTTCCAATTTATTAACCCGTTTAGGCCCTAATGCAGATCGGGTTGTAAACAGATCGTTGGACCAGCGAAAAAAAATCTCCCCGCTAGGTAAAAGCGCGCAAAAGAAAAACAAACAAGCGGAAAACTAGACAATTTATCACGCAGAGTAGTTTGCTTTCATTAAATGAATATTCATGGAATATTCGCGAGCGGGCGTTTTCATACCTCGAATGCGTCTGGAATTATTGAAAATTTGCATGCAGCCTCGGATCTTTTTTTTTCGTATTTTCCCTTTTAAATTTTTATATTCCCTTCGTATGGAACGGCGAACGTGAAGGTTGATTTATCAGATGTAACTTGATGTGTTTACGTGTAATGTAATAAGGAAAACATGTCGAGTGAAGTACCTACCTAGGGTCCTAATGTAATGGAAACAAATTATTTATTCGACAGCTTTTTGATCCAATAAAACAGTAAATTTCAACTTTTTAAATATAAAAATTCATGTAGTTTTCCATAGACAAAATACAACTTTCTTTCGTATAGTGTGTGCATTTGGGCTGAATGTTCCAAGTAGTCGAGACCACAGTAGAAAGAAAGAAGATTGTAGGGTAATTTTGCATTTGAAACGTAACAATTTCGGACTGTTCGTATTTTTTACTGGCCTTTGACTGTTCTTTCTCAGTGGTTAATTCGTATGTGTGCGAATTTGGGCTGAATTTCTGGAGTAGTCGAGGCCGCAGTAGAAAGAAAGCCGATTATAGGGGAATTTTTCATACGAAAAATAACAATTTCGAACCTTTCGTATTTTTTATTCGCATATTATGAAGAAGCTTTCGCTGGATATTTCTATACCGCAATTTTTGAAAAGGCCACAATTTGTCCAGTCCCGAAGGTCATTTTACGTCGAAGGAAATTGACATAGTCGCCTCCTCGGAGACTGCTCGGGAGTTTTTCGATAAAACTTTCCAGGATCTCGGGACTTCCTTTTTCCCTGCGATAAATCCTTTTAGACGCCACCGGAGTTTATTGAATTATCGATTAAACTCCTTTCTTCCTTTATTTTAATAATCTCTAATACAGAGTATTTCAAATGGAAAGTACCATTTTTGACATCATTTTTGGATTCTGTGGTCCTTTTTAACTAGACTTTGATAATACAACCATATGCCAAAAATGCACCATTTTAAAGTTATTTCATTTTTTTAGAATTTTTTTGGAAAAATGAGGTCGAACGTATTTTCTACGATATCTCTGTTAATAATGCACCTAGAAGTTTGAAATTTGGTATCAATAATGACCAGACACAGTACTAAATGAAACCAAACTGGGTTTTCATGGTCCATATTCGAGAACAAATAAAACTCGACTCATTCAAAAATCTTTAATCAAAATGCAAAATACTCATTAAAAACTAAAAATACATACAAACTTATATTAACGGCCAAATAACTATTATTTGCAGTAATAAAAAAAACCAAAATATATCTAATCCCAATCTTCAATCAGAATCAAATACCTCATCAAAATCAAACATATGCTCGTAGGAATATTCCATTAGTTCTTCCATTTCGATACCAATATATTCCAAATCATCCCAACCGAATTCTATTTCGTCACCATCGTCATCATCATCGTCATCAACAGACCATTCATCGAAATCATCAGAATCAGCAAACACATCTGTATCCGAATCGACTAGACGCAAGTATAGGAAAAAACAATCAATAAATAAACTATTTTCTACTAAAATAATACAAAAAAAAACATATTTATAAACTACTATACCGCTAATAATGGTCTAAAACTGTAGCAAACATTATGGTACTGTGGTGTGCTTGCTTATTGATTACTGATTGGCTCATATTTGACATTTCTCTCTTTATTTTGGTCTCAGCTACTCGCTATTGGTCCTTTTAAAATAATGCGCTTTATGCGCTTGCGCATAAACGACTAAGCACAACACACTGAGTCGGATCTCTCTCTTTGATCGCTACAGTTCTCTCTTATTGAAGATATAGGCAGTTAGCGATATAGTAGTTTATAAATACATAAAAAAACACTTACATAACCTCGTTTTTCTACTCCTAGGAGGCCCCACGTCCAGCACTTTACCGCTGGGCAAGGCGTGCATGTACAAACAAGTATTTCCGAAGGGACATTTCCCTTTGCCTCTACGGAAGAACTTGCACGGGAGCTTCTTCATCCTCTCCCTTTTACCCGCTATGAAACTGTCCTTATCTTCTTTGGACTCCAGCCAGATTTTCGAGGGAAACACGGAATCTATCAAAAGATCTCATTAACAAACAAACAATTCGTATCGTTACAATCTAACCCGAGAGAATCCTGCATTCGGGGCAAGCTTTCGACACCGCACGATCGAACTCCTTGCTTTGCCTCCACGTTTTAATGCAGGGCATGCAAAAGCAATGATTGCAATTGGGTAACAATCCAAACGTTTGTTCGTACCTACAATAATTCATATCAAATCTATTCGTATTAGTTCTGTTAGTTGTTCGTGTTAGTTCTAAACGTACGCTGTAGATTTTTTCAAAACCGTATCGAAACATATACCGCACACTTTCTCCCTCGACTGGACTTTTTTCACTAAATACAAGGCTTCTTCGACGGTGGCTGTTGCCGGTCCGAAGCTGCCTTTCGACGAGGTAGAGGCCAAAGAACAAGCGCCTTCTAGTTGGTCATCGTTGTATTTCGCTTTCTGCTAAAACGTAACAGTTATTAACCCGAGACTATTCGAGTAAGCGTTTCTAACCCTTTCTATCGATTGGTTATTGGCTAGTGATGGTTTTTTAGAGCATTGGACTCGGTTGTGCTGTAATCGAATGGTTATACTAAACGGATAGAGATCGGTGAGAGAATTGGGGTACCTTTTCCGCCGGGGCGTTGTCGAGTTTCTTCGGGCGGTACTCCGAGCGGGGGTTCTGGTGGAGGTTCCAGCATCGGGTGCCGAATCTGCACCTGCCTTGTAAGTGGAATTTGCAGATCGATTTCGATTCTACGTTCATCTTCTTTACGTTGTACTCTGAGTGCAAACGATGAACTGTTAGATTAGTAGGAAATTGTATTATTTAAATATACTGTACTCTTCGATGACATGCAATTGCATTTGAAGTTTTGAATGACAAGATAAGGTAATTACCCGATTAGAAATTAGTGAAAACCCGTTTGTAGATAATATTATCTGTTGCAAAATGCGGTAGATAAATTAGAGGTTATAACTTACCTTAAAACCTAAAATAAAGTCAACTGCAACGTGTAGTTAACACTTCTTAAAACTAAATGTAATCTTAATTAATTATTGCGAATTCATCGGACATATTTGTTTACGCGTTGTAAAGAAAACATATTAATTAATTTATTTTTTTCGGCAACTATCACGAATAAACAATCAACTTTAAGAAGCAAATTAAACTAAACGTTTATTATTGTTTGAAATTGTGGATACAAAAAAATAAACTGAATATATGTCACGAAACGTCACTTTCACTGACAGATAAATGCGATGTTGCCACATTTAAAAATAGTCGTGTTATAATTTTAGATTAGAAACGGATAAAAAGATTTGCTAGTTTCCTATGAAGCAAATTAAAAAATTAGGAATGACTAACGCATTAAATTTAAAAATAGATAATAGTTTGGATATTATTTCAATTTTAATCTGATTCAACGTAAAATCCAACTGGCAACATTGCGAAATTTCGAATGTCAGAGACTGTCAACAATGTCATGTCAATTCGAGAAGGGAACGTTCCGAGTTTTAAATTCGAATAATGATATCAATGTTCCGAAATACATTTTTTATTTTTTGTTTAATTATTGATTTCTTTTTCAAAATATAGGAGTAGATAAGATAACCAATCAGTAATTACGTCCTCGTCGATTTGAACAGGTCAGGGTCTACTACAAAGTAGGCATAACACGTTTATATTCGAATTTTTTATTCTAAAAAAATCATACAGGGTGAAACTGGATGAATGAATATTCTATATAGATTATTAAAATAACAAGTAACAAGTTAAATATATTGTAAAGTAAAATAATCTATTTGATTTTCTTAAATTCTAAATAATTTTTTTGTCTACCCTGCATACTTGTGATAATTGATAAGAGTTTTTGGAATGATTTCTTTCGAAATTGGAAATATAATAAAAAAACTGATGGCAGTAATGATTGACAGTGACGTCACAGAGTCCAGCCAATCGCAGTAACTACATTTCCACTCAATCGCGTTACCGACCAATGAGAACCCATCTCAAGTAATAACGTCACAACCAAGTATTCCCGCCTTGGGCTATACGCGAGCCCGAAATATGAATGATTGATCCTCCCCGTGCTCCAGGAATACCTCCATTGTCCCGCGGCGATAAATCCTACACGGTCCCTTTGAGGCTGCGAACTATAATAGTTCCAGGCCAGTCGGATTCCGTTAGTGTAGCTCGTTTTCCATGCAAATTTCCAATTGATTCGGCCGCCCGTAACAATGATGAACGACGAACGAGCTCTTCACCGTAATGGAGCATTTCGAGTGCTAGTACGCTCCTAATTATTGTCCCATTATGCAAACGGAATGCACAGCACACTTGTCCAACCTGCGCTGATTAAATAATGCACCGGATATTTATTTATTCGGCGTACGTGTAAGTATGTATCAGTATAGGAGTAGGAGAAAAATATTGATGGATATAAATATATCGTTTGCTTCAATTCAGACCGCAACATGGTCATTTCTATGAGTGGAACAAAGAAAGATTATTAAAATGACAGTTGTCAGAGTGAAAAGTTGCAATGACACAAATGTCACTCTTTCCTTTTCCTTTGTAAGTGTCGAATGGAAGTTGTCTTTATCGCACCCATGGCCTATATAACCTATGTTGCGATCAAAAATGGAACAACCTGTATGTATAAATAGATCCTGAATTAATCTAATCATTAATCGACATTATAAAAATAAACGAAACTGTCATTTAATTGACAATTATGACAGAAATGTAATAGAGGTGGGAATCGATTTTTGGGTATAGAGGTGCAGTAACGACTGTTACAAAATAACCGTTATTTTTCACGTATTTTAAATATTCTGTTTTTTTGAGTTTAACATCAATCTTCCATCCATATTTCTCAATAATTAACGCCATAATGCTACACTAACGAAGAGAAAATGAATTCTAAACCTTCAAAGTGGGCATCGTTGAAGCAAAAGAGCGATTTAACGCCATAGAAAAGTATTTTCCCGGGCGATTAACCCCGGCGATGCGCCCGCTTGAGATTCGCGCTATTTTACGCCAAACGAGGGCGGTTTCCGGAAATAAATCCGCATTCGGGCCGCGTCGTTCGTTTTGCATCGACTTTAAAAACTTCTTGAACATTGAACGGGGGCCGATGGGGGTCGTTAAAACGGGGCGGCTCTCAACTTTTAATAACGCGGGAAACTCCGGTTTTCGCCGATATGGTACTCTGGTTTTTTTATTTTATTTTTTTCTGTTTAAGTTGCGCGGAAAGTTCGGAGGGTTTTATTAAAATTTTGAATTAATGTCCGTTCATCCTTTATGCATGTTAACTCTTTTATATTGGCAATATCATGAGAAAATCAAGGGTCAAGTTTTTCGTTTAAATAATTTTTTGATTCAAAAATTCTGTCCCACTCACTTTCTACTCATTTCGACAACCCATTTTCTACCAATTTTCTTCGCTTTTTGTTCCAATTTTCTACCAATATTCTACTCATTCCTATTACCCGTTTTCTACCAATATTGAACCCCTTTTCTACACATTTTCTAACCACTTTTTTCCTAACATTTTTATACCCGTTGATTTGTACCACCAAAACCGTTCAATGCGCCTTCCTGCTATCCTTACATTAGTCCTTATTAAGTTTTTAAGTGCCGTAAATCATCGAGGATCTAATCCCGGTCCTTTGTCTCCGGGAATCGATATTTTTTGCCGGAGTCTGTTACTTCTCAATGGCGGAAAATTGGATAATAAATAACGCCTATTATCCGTGCGAATCATCTGTTTGTCCGGGGACTCTTCGATTCTTTGATTTATGCATATCGAAATCGAGGAAATTAAATTCTATATGGAATAGAATGGAAGTTTGTGGGTGTTCTTTTTGAAAGAAATCGGTAAATTTAAATTGTTGGATCGGAGAAACTAAGATGATTTTCTTTGTGAAACGAGCGTTATAAAATGGTTGAAGTTACTTCTACGATGGATTGTTATGCAAAAATGTATTTGCAAATATGTACGGGAATTAATGGAGGTTTGAATTGAGAGTATTCAGTAGTTTATATGAGTTGTAAAATGAAACAATTGTTGTATGAATAATAAATTGTGAAAGTTTGAACAACTTCTGGGCACATTTTGCCACATGGAGTTTCTGAAACTAGTAAATTTCGTCTAGTTTGTAACACTTTAAAATATACCAAGGGTTGTTTTCAGAATAGGTATATTCCAATGTATTTCTACCATTCTTAGGTCTTTCTTCTTAGAAGATATAATTACTTAGGCACTTGATGCAAAATTTAGATCTAAATTTCCAGATATCTGACGATGATATGAAGATTTTAAGCGACTTGCAAAAATCAAAAAATATTTTGGATTTACTGAAATATTCTGATTAAAAAAATACTCAAAAGGTAAAATATGTTAACATTATCTTCTATTTTTAATTAAATTTAACATGTATGTCTAAAAAAACAGTTAAATTTATTATTATTACCTACTGATAAAATAAAATTGGTGGAAATTACAAAATTCAGAAATTCCCACTTTTCAATCAATAACCTGTTGACCTTTAAATTATTATTCTTCCCACTATCATCAACACAATACATATAACATTTATTCTCACACACTACCATTAAAAAATCCACAGTTATCGAAAATGCTTAGCCAAATCAACTTATTTCTTCTTCCAATATTATTAATTGGACTGGCGATTATCCAAGCCGAAGAAAATGCTTCGTTAACGCAAAAATTAACAGTGACTTTACCCAGCGGTGACCGAATGCCTGTTATTGGATGTAAGTAAATAATTATGTACTTACATCTAAGTAATAGTGATTTTCTCAATGTCAGATTAAATAACCATTTAACTTGGAAATTAATGAGATTAAATTCTTTGCAAAATGGGATTGTAGGTATCATGATTTTTTTCATGATGAAGTTTACGATGAAGAAATTTAATACATTCAATTATGCGTTTAAAAGGACTTGTTTATTACGATTTATTATTTTTTTATTCAGTTGGGACATATAGATTACGTGGAGACAGTAAAGTAAAGCAAGCTTTGGATAATGCACTGGGTGTTGGATATAGACTTTTCGGTACGTATAATCAATATTCAATAAATACCATAATAAATTCGATACAACAAAAGTACAGAGAGAAAATATTTATATGATACTAGTTCAAAAATAAATTATATAATACACGATATCTATTAGTTTATTATGTACATTTTGGTTGATAAGAAGAAGAAACAAAATTCTGTGACCCCTGCAGTTTTGAGGTAATCTTAAATTTTATCGCCAATAAATTATTCGTTCGAACAGGTCAACACGAAATCTAAAATTAATAAAATTTATTAAGCAATAAGTGTAAACAATTTTTGGAATTTTAGATACTGCTGAAGTGTATGAAAACGAAGAAAGCATCGGAAAAGCTCTGAAAGAACTTTTACCCAAACACAATTTGACCAGAAAAGATATTTTCATTACATCGAAAGTTGGTAGGTGCACAAAAAATATTGTACTCCTAATCTACTATTTAAATTTTTCCAGCTTCTCGTCCAGAATCCTCTGGAGCAAACTCTTACGAATCTTTACGCCATTCTTTAACACGTCTGGATACTTCCTATGTTGATTTGTATCTTATTCATTCGCCTGAATATTTCTCGCATTCGGTCGCGAATGGGAATTTTAATTTTTCGAAAATAAGAGACGAAACTTGGAAACAACTCGCGAAAGCTCAAAAGGACGGTTTAACCAGAAACATCGGAGTATCTAATTTTCATATTAATCACTTGGCGGAATTGTTGAGTAACGATCATGGCGTTAAACCGGCCGTGAATCAAGTCTGTATTTAAATGAATTATTTTTTTTTGTTATTGATTTTATTTGTTGTTAGGTACAATGGAATCCTGAACACCATCGAGACAATTTACTGGAGTTTTGTAGAAGCCACAACATAGCTTTACAAGCTTATTTCTCACTGGGTGGTGATAGAAATAAAATTAATTTACTGGAAAATGCTGTAGTTAAAAAAGTCGCTGAGAAACTGGGGAAAACACCTGGACAGGTAAAATTCGATTTCTCTTTCTTCGCTTCATTTCATGTTTTATTATAAAATTTTGTATTTTTTTAGGTACTTTTGAGATGGGCCGTTCAGCAAAATGTTTTAGTTATCCCGAAATCGTTGAATAGAGTGCATATGATTGAAAACTTAGATTTGAATTTCAAGATATCAGATGAAGATATGAAGAATTTAAGCAACTTGCAAAATTCATAAAAATATTTCGTGTAAAAAAAATACTCAATACACTTAAATTTGTATGTTTACTAATAAAAAAATAGTTAAATATTATATTACACGGTAAAAAATAAAATTACAGTTATCGTTATTGTTTGTGAGAATTACTTTGTATTATTATTTACTAATAAAGCGAAATTGGTTATAGTAATTTAAAGATTAACAAATTTCCAGTTTTCGATCAAGCGGTAACTCGTTGACCTTTAAATTGTTGGTCTTCCCACTATCATCGACACAATATAGCGTTTATTCTCACACTTTACCAGCAGAGAAATTTCCAGTCAACATCGAAGATGCTTCGACAAATCAACTCATTTATTCTCTCGATTTTATTGATCGGACTCGCGATTGTCCGAGCCGAAGAAAATGTTTCTTTAACGCAAAAATTAACAGTGACTTTACCCAGCGGTGACCGAATGCCTGTTATTGGTTGTAAGTAAAGAATATACAATTTTATCTATCTAAAAGTTTGTTTAAACATGAAAATCTGCAGAACTCATTTCGATGTCATAAGAAGTGTAAATTTACCTTGGGTTTAGAGAGATTACGTTTTACGATTTTATGTTGTATTAAAAATTTAAGGACAAATTTTTAACAACCTCTATATCTTATATTGTTTAGATGGAACTTCAAGAATACGAGGAGATGACAAAGTTAAAGAAGCTCTGGATCATGCGCTGAGTGTAGGATACAGACTTTTCGGTACATACAATAAATTGGTTGTTTAAAAAATTAGTAACAAAATATTTTTGGAATTCCAGATACTGCTGAAGCTTACGAAAACGAAGAGAGCATCGGGAAAGCCTTGAAAGAACTCTTACCCAAACACAACTTGACTAGGAAAGATATTTTCATCACATCGAAAGTTGGTAGGTATACAAAAAATTTTACACTCCTAATCTACTATTCAAATTTTTCCAGCTTCTCGTCCAGAATCGTCTGGAGCGAATTCCTACATATCCTTAAGTCGCTCTTTGAGGCGTCTGGATACTTCCTACGTGGATTTGTATCTCATACATTCACCTGAATATTGGTCATCTGTAGCTGCGAATTCGAACGTGAATTTTTCCGAAATAAGGGATTTAACTTGGAAGCAGCTCGTGAAGGGCCAAAAGGACGGTTTAGCCAGGAATATCGGAGTATCTAATTATAATATTGACCATCTAAAGGAATTGTTGAGTAACGATTATGGAGTTAAACCCGCTGTGAATCAGGTTGGTTTAATTTGAATCAATACATTTTTTTGTTATTGATTTTAATTGTTGTTAGGTACATTGGAATCCGGAGTATCATCAAGATGATTTACTGGAGTTTTGTAAAAGCAATAATATAGCTTTACAAGCATATTTCTCATTGGGTGGTGATAAACACAAAATTGCTTTACTTGATAATCAAGAAGTTAAAAAAGTTGCTGATAAATTAGGAAAAACACCAGGACAGGTAAAAATCTACATTTTTATCAACTCTTCCTTTATTTACTACAAAGTCTGGTTGGGTATTTTATTAGAAGATAAATCTTTTAAAACACATTTTTTGAAAAATATTTTTATTGTACTCGTAGGTAGTTCTAAGATGGGCTGTGCAGCAAAACGTTTTAATCATCCCGAAATCTCTGAGCAGAATCCACATGATACAAAATTTAGACCTGAATTTCCAGATATCCGAGGATGATATGAAGATTTTGAGCAACTTGCAAAAATCATAAAAATATTTTGAAATTAAATTTATGTTTGTGCTTCGTATTTTGTAGACAAATTATTACCTAGTTAATCTAAAAATATGTAAAAAATTGAATAGATAAATCTTACATTTATTAGTATATTTTATTTTATACACACTCGTTACTGTAGAGATACAAATCTAATTATTTCAACCCCACGTATAATTAAGGCAACATCAAACAACCTATACAAGATTGAAGATAAAACTAACATTTATTCGTTAAAAAAATAATATAATTACATTTATTTCCCCACAATTCATTCACTCACTCACCATGTCGATTACAAAAATCAACTCTTACATCTCCAAAATACTCCTCACGATATCCGCGATTTTTTGCATCGTTCCCTTCGAAACCAAACGAAAATCCTTAATCGTCCTTAACAGGATCTACGCCTTGATTTGCATCTTAACTCTTATACCCTATACAATAAAATATAACCGTTCAGTGAACTACTCCACGATATTCCTAATGCTCCAATCGGTGGTGATAAAACCATCGAAATCCGCCATGCTGGTCGAAAAAATCCGCGCTGTGGAGAACAAACACGGCGCGAAATTCACCGGATTTATCTCCATCTGCCTGCTAATTTCAACCGGGTATTTCATTCACTTACTTTTACACGCGTTATCTAACAATTTGCAAGAAGATGGATTTTACGGCGAATCGCTGGGTAGATTTATGTACTGTTTCTTATCGTTCATAAACGGATTCATCGTTTTGGTGCACAAGAAGCACTTCGAGGTTTCCAATAAGAGAGTGAAAGCTTCGTTTAAACGGGGATACAGCAAGGAAAGCGGCGCTTTGGAGGTGGTTTTGTTAGCGAGGAACGAGTACAAGAAAAGCGTGGATGATTTGGAGAATTACAATGAAATATTCGGCATGTATTTTCTGATTGCTACCACTATGTTGGTGATTGTAGGCGCTTCGTCGTTGTACAAATTCATGCTGGTCGATTACGATGCGAAATTTCTGGTCGTGGAGAAAGACGTGCCGTTCCTTGCGATCGCAGTGGTAAGGATTTTGTTGCGTTTTATTTAGTCCGCCCTGTACAGGGACACCCTGTATACTGCAGTTAATTTCGAAATTCTGGCGTCCCCCTCGGGGGTAAGCGTCGCAAATCCCCGGAAAAACCAATTTCGCGGAGTATCATTCGAATTAGCCTTGTGCCTTAATGAAAACTCTACAATTGAAAATTTCAATTTTTGAATGCAAATCAGTTTATAATACGGAGGGAAATTGGCTTTTCTTCTCTTCGAGAAAAGCGAACCGGGGGAAAACTGCTAAATCAAACAGTTCCCGGCGAAATTCCGCTGGATATTTGATTAATGAGTTTTCGAGGAGAAACTTTTAGTTTCGATAATTCCTGTTTCGGCGAAAAAGCTCTATACCGGTCGATTTTCTCCCTAGTTTTTAAGCGATTTTTCTTTCGCTTATTGCTCTACCTATTGTAGATTAATTATTATTTACCATTAATTCCACGTTATAAAAATGCGGAAAAAGAACCTCTCATTTTTAACCGATCGAATCCAGTTTTTTTTTCCCTGTTCGGTCTTCTCGAGAAAATGAAGGCGCGTCGGGAATCTTTATTATACGCATTTTATGCATTTACTGGCCATTGGACCCCATACGAATTCGGGGTCGATGAACATTGCTTTTAGTTGGGTCTTCCTGTGAACCGTCGTTGCACTTTTCCACCAGCGGTACACCCAAGGATCCACTTTAATTACCATAAAAAAATTCCAAGCTGGTAAATTGACAGGTACTCTAGAGCTTAAAAGTGTATTTTTTGAATTATATAGGTAAATTGGGAGCGAGAATATTTCAGGTAGAAAAGGGAATTATATGCATTTTGTTCAAATTTGCATTGTATAAGGTGTGGTAGAAAGACTAGGAGAGAGTACAAGATATTAGGAAAGAATACAAGATGGTAGAAGAGGGTAGAAGAGAGATGACGAGAATAGAAGAGAGTAGAAGAGATTAGAAGAAAGTTGAAGCAAGTAGAAGAGTTCAGAAGCGAGTAGAAGAGAGTAAAAGCGATTAGAGGAGACTTAAATGTAGTGGAAATGAATAAAAAAGAATAATCGACAAGAGTAGAAGAGACTAAAAGAAACTAGAAGAAAGTTAACGCGAGTAGAAGAGTGCTGAAGCGAGTAAAGGAGAGTAGAAGTCATTAGAGGCGAGTTGAAGAGTGCAGAAGCGAGTAGAAGAGAATAAAAGTGATTAGAGGAAGCTTAAAGGTAGTGAGATTAAAAGAATGTTGAAGCGAGTAGAAGGGTGCAAAAGAGAATAGAAGAAAGTAGAAGAAAGTAGAAACGAGTAGAAGAGTGTAAAAGCGAGTAGTAAAGAAAAAAAGAGTGCAGAATCGAGTAGTAAAGAGTAAAAGCGATTAGAGGAGACTTAAAGGTAGTGGGAATGAGTAAAAGAGAGTCGACAAGAGTAAAAGAGACTAGAAGAAACTAGAAAATAGTTGAAGCGAGTAGAAGAGTGAGTGCAGAAGCGAGTAGAAAGGAGTAGAAATGTGCATAATCGAGTAGAAGAGAGTAGAAGAGAGTAAAATTATGCTGTAGTGATCGTTTTACCGCTGGTGGAATGAACGATATCCCGAGCTTTTAGTGATACGATTCTGTTATCCTAACGAGAGGTTCCAACCGGTATTCACCGACCGGGCAAAACAACCGTGAGTGCATTTCGTAACTGCGTATTCGTAAGTCGAATTCTACAAATGTGCATGACCACCTCATTAAGATCGCTTTTAAAATTTATTAACATGCCCGGGACATGTGACGAGGTTTTTTTTATCGCCCAAAAAAACGAAACGCGATTCTGATTCATGTACGCATCACAAGAGCGAGCGGGTTCTTCACCTCGTCCGAGAACTCTTCTTCTTCTTCTTCTTCTGGTTTATTAAAAATAATTAGGGAGATTGTTTTATTTACAGGTGGGCAACTTCTTCAGCATCTTCTGCTGCGATTCCGCGGTCGAGGAGGGTAAAAATTTGAAAGGGATTTGCTTCGATATCCTGGACGGGCCTCTCGACGATCGCTGGTCGCAGGAGAGCTACCAGAGAGTATTGGAATTGATCGATTTCATCGAAAACTATCCTCCAGTGTTCAGCTCGAACGGATTCCTCAGCATCAACAGATGCACCATTTTGAGCATCATCAACAACCTCATGACCTATTTGATCGTCGTTTTTACGTGGTAAATGTGGCCGCGATCATTCAAATCGCCCTGTATATGTAATATATTGTTCGGAATTTAATGTTGTGGTTTAATTCTAGCGCGATATCGATGTGGTAAATTGCCCGGTTTAGCGTTAATGGTATGCATGAATCTACAGGTAATTGATGTTCTATGGGAAATTTAAACGGGAAAGTTTACGCGTAATGTCATTAGCAGGAATATAGCAGGACGGGTTTCCCTTTTCGCGTTCTATTTGCATTAGCATCTTCCGAGATTACTCCGGCGTCTTAATTATTATTAGCCTTATATTTAATTATGTTGTTGTTGCCGTTAATTAGAAATTTGATTGTTTATAGCTGCTCGTTTTGGGAGTTATTCATCGAAATTGATACTTCTTTTGATCGAAAACGCTTTTGATTCCAATTGATTGATTATTACAGGTAATTTTAGTAGTTTTTTCATCCATCTCTTGTACAATAAAGAGTAAAAAACTTGAATCATTCTTCAAAATGATACTTAAAAAGCTAATAATCTTAGGTGTCGACGCCTCGAGTGAAAATCTCGCCGAAAGTTTTTTCATTTTCCTGGTCTATAAAACTAAAGTGGGAATGGCTGCTCGAAGAGCGATAATAATGAGATCACTTTTCGCAAAATCCGCGCCAGACTTGCGACAAAAAAATATCATCGAATGGCCCTTCAAACGAACAGACTCGGGAATTTTTATTGTAAAAAATCCCATTTCCACTTCGCCTTTCGAAAGCGAAATATTCCATTATCGCAATTCGAAATTACGCGATTTTCTCCGGCTCGGATGAATTCCTATTTTCCGATTTAACTCATCCAAGTCGAAGGATCCGCCACAATAGACAAATAATAATTACCTGGGTATCAATCCCTTAATTATTCAGTTTGGAACTTCAAATAGAGCTATATCGACTGGGCACGGGAATAATAATTAGAACTCGAAGCGCTCCCGATCGATAAAATACAAAGGCCCGATATAATTCGAAATGCATGTACTAAATACGTATGTATGTACAGGTACGAGTTCATCGAAGGGAAACAATTAGTTTATTCAATCCTTATAGGAGAGTTTAATAATTGATTCGGTTCTAATGGTGGTTGTGGTTGGTAGGGGCATGTGTTGAGGAAGTTTTTAAAAGGATTATTTTAATGGTTTTTTTTTAATATTTTGGTCCTAGAGTATCCAGGATCCCTAATAATGGACGTCCTCTTAGTAGATGGTCTATGTAGGGTATATAGACTGTTAATCTAGGGTACAATTGGGATATCCTCTACATAGAAAATCTTTATAGAGCCTCTAAAGTGCTGATCTAGTCTCTAAATATAGACATTCTCTTCGTAGAGGATCTTTGTAGAGTATCTAGAGTGCCGATCTAATGTTCAATGTGGACATCATCTACATAGAGAGTCATTCTAAAGGGTCTAGAGTGCTAATCTAGTATCCAATTGTGGACATCTTCTTCGTAGAGAATCTATTAAGAGTCTCTAATTATGGACATATTCTCTAGAGTGTTGATCTAGCGTCCAATTGTGGACATCCTCTACATAGAGGACCTTTCCAGGACTATCTAAAATGTCAAAGTGATATAAATAGATGATGGAAAAACACCCTTGGTGCTATTAATTGCCAACCGATCAATTAAAACCCGACACGCGACTAACGAGAGGGCCCCCGTTCGGAAAATCCCCTCACTTCCGATCCCGCGCCGAATGAGAGATTTTTCGCCGGGTTAATTTCCCCGATTCGCCGGCGAGCGAGCCTTTAATTCCGGTTAATTAATAGGGGGGCCCATTCTTTTTCCGCGGAAAAGCCGATTCCCGCGCCCCAACGGCCGGGGACGAAACAAAAGGTCAAACACAATGGCCTGGAAATTTCGTAAAAATGTGACTAGAGTTCACAAAAATTGTGCTTGATTGGATACTGAATCAGCACTCTATGTAGAGTAAGTGCGCAAAATATGGACCGGTCTTAGATCTGCACTCTAGACACTCTAGAAAGATTCTCTATGCAGAGGATGTCCACAATTAAGCACTAGATAAACACTCTATCCTCTATGAAGGGAATGTCCATAATTAGAGATTATAGATCAGCACTTTAGAGACTCTAGAAAGAGCCTCTACGAAGAAGATGTCCACAATTGGATACTATATCAGCACTCTAGATACTCTAGAATAACACTACATGTAGATGATGTTTACATTGGACATTAGATCGACCCTCTAGATACTCTACAAAGCCTCAACGAAGAGGATGTCCTCTAGATCAGCCCTCTAGAGACTTTATAATGATTCTCTATGTAGAGGATGTCCACAATTGGACACACACTAGATTAACACTCTAGATTCTAGAAGATAAGTCCACAAGTGGACACTTTATACTCTACATGTAGATACTCTACATAGATTATGTGCAATTAGAGACTAGATCAACTCTCTAAACCTCTCTACTTCTCTACCAACTCTCCACCAAACTCCTCCTCAACGTGACCATCCTGTATATAAACCCCATGTATCTCCGACAAGGTAAGTTTTTTTTCTCCCATAAAACAAAGCATCTGCAATCTTGTCGGTATACAAATCATACGGTTTTATTTCTTTATTTCTTTATTTTTACATTTCCTTCCGTGTGCGAGTTACACGTGTGCGTCTCGTATTATAACTCTCCGGGCGGCCGTAAACTTTTCAGTCAATAAGGAAAGTCGTAAGTCCCGACAGGGGCGCAATAAAATTATTTACAAGACTAAATTGTTTTTGCAACAATGACAGGAAGCAATCGTTTGACATTTGACAACCAGCAATTGAACAAAGGATGCTCGATTTTTATCTATTAATCTTATTCTTAAAGTACGAGGGTTGATCAATTAGCTTCCATAATCTAATTAAAATGGCAATTTTGAATACAGGGTGTCCCGATGAAAAGTAGCCCCTTTAGTGAGCTGATAATTTTTAAACCTCTATAATCATAAAAACATTCGGTTTTCGCAGATTGATTTTTTTTTGCTATAAATTTTTGTTGCAGTGACACAAAAATTTTGTATCGCCTGTACAGGGTGTTTCATAAAAATCCCCTCTTTTAAATTTACATACACCGGGATTAGGGGTGGAATTTTACGCTGAAATTTTATAATCTTCAATAAAATGAGCTAAATTTTCATAAAACAAAATAAAAAAAATCGGTTACGGAAGCTAATTAATGCATTAGTCCGGGAAAATTATAAATTTATTCGCTTTTTATAATCTACATGTTTATTAAATTCTCATCGGGATTAAAGCTTCGATCTGGAATTTCAATGTAATCGTTATCGTCCCAGTTTTCTCCGCGAGGCGACGCTCCGTTTTCCGGGAAAGTTGTTTTTATGGGTTTCCCGTTCGAATCCACCGATAAATAATCCTTGATGTCCTGCGGTATGAAATACCAAGGATCGGCGTTTTGCAAAAACTGCAAGTCCTCGCCCAATTGATGCGAATCTCTCGGAATTTCGAAATTCTAGCAAAAAAACCAATGAAATAAATACTCTGTATTAAATTTTTTCTAAATAACTTACTTCTGGAAGGCAATGGTGCTGTAAGCAGTAATAGTTGATGTTATTGGACCTGTGACACCAAGTACCATCGGGGAAATACGGGGAGATTCCCAAATCGTTAAGCTCTATTCTTGGAGTGTAGAAAGTACCGGAATCTGCTCTTCTGCAGAATATCGAGCAACCCATCCAGAGTCGATCTTTTTAAAAACATCAAATCTTCAACTTGCCCATTATTTATGTAGGTATTTAATAACTTACCTTCCTCGTGAGGCGCTTGAAGACCGGACCCCATCGGATCCAATTCTGCCAGTACTTTGGAGAACTCCAGGCATTTATTCGAAGCATAATCCACCGCCGATACCTTCTTAGTTTTGCAAATCTGCGCGTTTAAAATAGAAACCGCACTTAGACTTAAATTATGCGCCCCCCTTTTGTACTAGTAATAGGGAATATGCATAAAATTTAAATTTGTCTCAAATATATATATTTTTTCATTCTTTATTGTCTTAACATTACACTTTTATTTAGTTCTTTTATCACCCCAAAACGGGGTGATTCCTTGGCTTATTTTATGACTAAAAGTTCATATAAACGTTCCTAATCACCCCTTTTCAGATGTACACGATTTTTAGGAACACCCTGTATATAAAGATGTAAATAATTAATTTAAGAAATAAAAAAAATGCATATTCCCTATTGGATAAATTACCTTATTATCGAGGCAAAGGGCGAATTTCACGCTGGATCCTTCGCATCCCAGATCCGAATTCAAGGGCGGAGGATTATCGCATCGCCTTCGTTTAGTGGTGAATCCCAAGGATTTTTCGATGCAACCGGAATTGCAAGCCTCTTGCTGCCAAGCGCCCCAGCCACCCGGCCTCATTTTAACCGGCTGCGGTAGAGCTCTCGCCAGGCAACTACCCCCGTAGCAATACTAACAGATATTTAATAATAAATCGGTTCTTAAATCGTGGTGTTTAGTTTATGCAGTGAGAGTGTAAAGTTGTTAAATGCAAATTTGTTAAATGCTTTTTTCCCAAAGGACAAATCAAGCATTTAACGAATTTGTTCTATCCTTTACACTCTCTCTGTATACCTTTCCTTTGCCGCATGAGGTGCCCTCCAGGGCCGGACCTGCGAAGTAGTAGCCGCTCCTGTGCGGCGTTTTGCACTGCAAATTGTAGCAAACGGTGGTTAAATCCTGCGATGGCAGGACGACGGCGTCTCTGTCGCGCAGCAGGATCTCGCATTGGGTTTTGGCGGTGAATTTTTGACCGGGGGTTTCCAGGTATTTCCTGTGGTCGGTCGATTGCTTGATCTTACCGCGGTCTAGCAAACATTTGGCCCACCTTTCGAACAAACACAGTTAAGAGTACGGCTCTATGTTTCTAAGGTGTGGAAACAGCCGGTGATTTTGCATTAGAGAATAATGTGTCCCGTTATTTGAGGACTTTTTGAGCTTCACTTTTGCGCCGCACCGCGGCGAACGATCGGAGGAAACAACTTATCTCAGCCAATCAGCGTCGCGCTACATATAAATCGCGGTTGTGGGATGACAGTTCAAGCTGTCAAAACTTCAAAAATTATTTTTTGACATTTCGAGGAGAAAATGGAGAAATACATTTAACCGAAGATACGTGAGGCAGGATGTTAACAACAAAATCATCGCTGATTTAAGTATATTTTTATATTTTCTATCTATTTTTAGTTTGAATAATACCTTTCTTAATGTTAATTCTATATAGGGTGGAAACGCCAAAGACGATGGTAAACTGCTATTTAAGTAGCAGCTATTTGTATCTACAGTAACCGAAATAATGAATTTATTCCATTTGGGGTTTCCACCCTGTATAATTCGTACGCAAAAAACTGTGGTCCTTTACAACATCTCCCCTTAGCGACCGTTTTAGGAACCCTGTTTAATCCTCAAATAACGGGACACTTTTTCAATCTATGTTTCCATACCTTAGAAATATACGACCGTGGTTTAGAGACTTTAGAGTAAACGGCCCGTATTCAGCGTCCCTGTTTAACTTTAGAGTGACTCTAAAGTCGCGTCTTTAACTTAACAGTTTTACATTATTGTTATGGAGTAACTAGGAACTCGAGACACGACTTTTAGAGTCACTCTAAAGTTAAACAGGGACGCTGAATACGGGCCAGTGAGTATAAAATTCGCGATTATTTACCCTATATCCGCCATGACGTTAGCGCTACAAGTAGACCATTGGGTCTCGCCGTTGGTACCCCTGGACGGGGACATGATGTAGCCTTCCTTGGGGCAGCTGTTGCCGTTGTTGTCGTGGTGCATCCCGAGGCTGTATCGGATTTTAATAAGTTTTACGAAAAATTTTCATGGGAATTAATACCTGTGGCCAATTTCGTGCGCTAGAATGTAAACGCTGGTGAATCCCGCGCTGGGGTAGGGCTTCCCGAAGGCGTTAGTGGTACCGAATTCCGCTATAACGCAGGAGTATTTGTCCAAGCAAACGCCCCCTACGGTGGCCAATCCCATGGTCACCCCGCTCTTCTTCCCATTCTCGTACGCGAAGAAATCCAGCCTGTGGCGAAATAACAACGAGGTAAAGGGTAAAGGTCTCGCCAGCCTCGCGAGCTCGTTGCTTACCCGGAAACGTACAATCCCACGTCCCAATGGTCCGGATCGCCATCGTCTTTGGGGTTAATGCTAGCCTGGTAGTCGCAGAAAGTGTCCAGTAGTTTCCCGCGTTCGCCGTTGTAATGGGGCAATTTCCCGGGCTGCTTCTTCATCAGATCGAGCCTCACTACGACCAGTTCGAGGGACCTGCCTAGGCTGGGGTGGTGGTACAAGGCTTGAACCTGGGGAATGTGCTGTGAATATTTTTGTATCGGGGCGTTGTTGGGGACTTACTGCGTTCATGTAAGCTAGTAGCATGTCTTGTAGTTTGTTGGGGTCGTGTTTGTAGAAGGGGGCGAATATTTTGTAAGCTGCTTCGTCGAAGAATAGGGCTACTTCTAGGGTTAGTTTGACTTCTTTGGAGGAAATCGCCTCCAAATTACCTGCAAATGACGCTCTATAAGTCGCCCAAGCGCCTCTTAATTTTTATATTTACCGAATATAGTGTTCTGTAGGTACTCTGGATTCTTTCTAGGCACTTTTCCAGTTACTGGAAATATTTCGTGGTGTGGATAACGGGGTGAAAACGTAGCACGTTTGATTAGGTGGGGAATTTTTGATTCTTGTGTATTGAGCAGGGTATCCAAAAGAGGTTCTCTAACGTTGAAAACATCGTGGAGCCTTTGAGTTAGAGGCTGGACCTCCAATGTGGAGTTTTCCAGGAAAATTAAACCGTGCTAGAAGAAACGAATATATACAACTTATTAAGGTTGTTGTTAATTAAATTTTACAATACGGTTTGATGAAGTTATGCTGATAGAAGCGACAACGTTGCCGTCTTCGTGTAAATAATGGTGGTTTGTGGGGGAATCCCTAAGGATTGAAACGCCATTATCGTCGTGTAGGTAAGTTTTGAAGTTAATTGCAAGCAAATCGTCGTTTCTTTTGAGGTATAAGTCAATCGGCCTAAAAGGTTTGCAATAAATAATTAATATAATTCATAGCCTGATTTATTTACCTTTGAAATGCAATGAAACTGTAAGGAAACCCGTTCTCCAAATCACTATTTGACGTAGGTAATTCCTCAGGAGGTGCAAACACTGGTAACTCGACTATATCATATTCAGGAATATTTTTTCTATCTGCCGTTTGAAAATAAAAGGCCAGTTCTTCCTCTGTTAAAGCTTCGTTCAAAGCTTCTTTGTATATAGCAGCTTTGCTGGGAAGAATCGAGAGAAGACCAAGCCAAAAATATAGCACGGTCATTCTAGTATTACTCACAAACACCGAATAGTTGAGTGACTTGCCAAGATTTGGGCTTTTATAAACCGAGAGTTACGGTTAAATCGGTTTTTATGCAGGTATACAACTGAAATTTTGGGAATATTTTAAAAATCAGGGACGTAATTGAATGTTTTTTCCCATTTTAAAATGATTTTAAATATCCTCTATACGTAGTATAATAGTTCCAGTACTACACTGTAGAAATAACTAATTTAGAATGAACTTAACAGGTGAAAAAGTTATATCAGAAATATGCTAATATTAGAATACAAACAAAAATGTTTGATAGCGCTCCAACCGTGTGGAAAATATAAACAAACAAATATAAAACAATATGTATTACTGCCAGCGTTCAATTTTCCACGTAATCGATGATTAAACAATCTCCGTCTATAATAACACGTTCTTCTAAAAGCTGCTTCAAATTAATAGAAAAGTTGTCGGAAACTACACAGCGCTCGTCGCCCTTTTTGAACAATTTAAGCTTCTTCTCGTTGGCCTTGTGGTTGTTGTTTTGCAGCTTCATCTCCTGCGAAATGGCATCGATGGCCCTACCCAGGCTCCAATGGCTCGAAACGAACACCGGTGCAGTTCTATCCGCATAAGTTACGTTGAAATAAAGCCTATCCGCTGTAGGTATAGCCTTCGATCCGGTTGCTTTGCTCTTGATCTTCATCAGTTGAACTTTGTTCGCCATTTCTCGAGTCTTCGACTTCTTCTTGGCTTCGTTCAAAGTAGTCTCCACCTGGAAGTGACAGTAATGTAGCCGTTTTGCTTAATAGAATTAGACCAAGATTCTTATTTACCTGTAAATCCACAGCAGCCTTGGCTTCGTTGAAGACTCTAACGGGAGCGGCGTACTTTTCTTTCTCCTGCCTTATCGTTTCGGCGTCTTTAGCTTGGCATTCGCTCAAGTGTCTGTGTTTGATGCAATAGTGTCGTTTGCACCGTTCGCATATCAACGGTACGATGCTCCGTTCCTTGCAGCCGGGATGGGAGCAAACGAGCACGTTATCGATGGTTTTCAATTCGTCTTCTTTCAGATATTTGGACTGTTCGCACTGTTCGCAGTGGCTTCGGAAATGATCGGAGCAGAACACTCGACCGCACTTGCATTGCAACGGGAGAAAGTCTAATCTGTTGCACGTGGAATGGGCGCAATGTTTGCCTGCAGTGGGGAATTCCATCGAGGTATTTTAAACTAGAATAAATTTAGTAAAGGGAATATTGGGAGACGAATTTGGTGACTTTATATTATTGATGTTCGCTAAGAGAGGTGAGCATAATGTCGCTCCACTTCTGCTCTTGCTCTTTGAGAGTTAGATGAATGTCGCTGGAGTCCGCTTCGGGATCGGCCAGTTCCCAAACTGGCACTGATATGTCGTCTTCTGGTAGGGTGTCTAAACGCCAGGCGTCGTCTACTAGGTCTACGAAGTATCCTTCTATTGTTACTTGGCTGTCCATCTGAAAGGGGATTGTCAATTAGACAATTAAATGACGAAATTAATGAATTTTTATACCTGAATGACTGTTAAACAAAGAGAATTCGAAATGTTTTGGACTTAACCTCACTTTATGGTAACTGTCATTTCTTCTTTTTAATTTAGATTAGTATAGAGGATTCTGATGAAGAATTTGGTTCAATGGTATGCTTAGTTTTTATGAAAATTCTTTGTTAAATTAAAAGAAATAGGACTATTATAGTCATATCTGGTAAATGGTCTCTAAAGGAAAAAGATTTTTTGTACATAAGTTGCGTATTACAAAATGTCAGTTATACTGGATAACTGACAAGCACAAGATCGATTTTAACAACTTTTAAAAATTCAAAATGGTTCATTCTTATTTTATTGAAATCACACAATTAAGCTACCTAATATATGCTTCTTATTGATTTAATCGCCTATATTTCATTTACCTAATTTAAATTGTTTGATCGATATTACATCAAGGTCCATCACGTAAGTATTTTTTTCTAAATTTCAAATAACAAGTCCTCCAAATCGTTTGTCAAATAATTCCCCGAAAAAATGCATTTAAAACGCTACGACTCCAAGTTAGACAGCATCAAATACGACATAAAACCGAACATAAATTGCTTCGGAAACATAGATTATCGTTATCCTCTATTTCCAGAAAAAGTAGACGATCGAACCACTTACTACAGGAGCCACAACTGGTATTACACTGTACCCCAAGATTTCGAACACTGCGTAAGTATTTTGTGAGATTTAGTTCTTGTATTCAAAAGAAAATACTTCGTACTCTAAACATAGACCTATACACGCCAAAATTTGTAAATTCTAATTTTTTTAGAGGGTTAAAACAAAGCCACATCCACGCCTGCTCGAAGTAGATTTGAAACTGAAAGAAGCCAAGATTTCTACATATATGCACGATTACGGTTTGAAGACGAAACAAGAAGATATGCTGGTGTTATATCCTAAAGGCAGTCAGGCCACTGATAAGAGATGTGTCCAAGAACGTGTAAGTATTCCGATAATAACAAATCTTTCAAAGGACTGAAAATTTCAATTTTTCGAAGGTTTTGTTACATGGGTTTTTCAATATTTCAATTAACAGGTCCTCATTAAAGTGAATTTATTTTTAGCTAACTAGAGGCTCGCCCACGACAGACCCCTTTAGAATTTCCGAAACGAGAAAATGTTTTAAATATTTCGAATGGAAACCGGCTTCTATACACAAGAAAATGTGTCTCCCACCGTAATAATGATGTAGAAGAGATATAGTAAATTATAATTAACTTTAGTACTAGAATATGCTATGGAACCCGTACGGCAATTTCATCATTTACTTAAGACAATATTATCCACCTTTCATTCACTTGTTAATTCTATCACGAATTGAATTAAACTTATTAAACTAATTTAATTAAATAAATCTTCCATTTCAGTTTGGGCCATTACTTACGAACCACCCTGTATACAGTGTACAGATATTTTACCTTCCTTTAAGTACCTCAATTGTCAACAAATATTTGACGCGTTTAGATTATTCAAATTATTTTTTCACAAACAATTATAATTTCCACGCAATGAGCCAGAACAGTGTGTATTTGAGACCGTTCGATGAGATCGAGTTTACGGGTTCGCGAAGAGACTTGCCCACCTGTTATAACATTATAGGAACTTATCCCGTATATTGACTTCGAAACTACCAAAATTCTTCTAGTAATATATTCGTTTGGGTTTCCAGAAATCGAAATATCTGCTCGGGGATCCCCTGACGGGCAACAAGGAGCGCTACGACAAGCCCATCGTGAAGCCCCAGTACCCCAACAAGAATTTATCGAGAGGATGGCCTCGGATTCCGCACAGGCAAGTCCTTCAATCACTTAACTTTTAAATTTTTTATTTAAACTTTGTATCAAATTGGAAATGATATTTTGCTGGGATTGGATGAGATTCAACGACACGTTCCGTTCCTTGCACTCCAAATCGAACCTCTGCTTCTCCAACTCCATTTTCTGCTGCCTCTCCAATATCTCGAGCTCGAACTTCTTCTCGTCGATCTCCAATCGCTTCTCCTCGATACCCAATCGTTTCTCCTCTAATTTCAATTTCTTTTCTTGGAGCTCTAGCTCTCTATCCCTATTGTCTAAATCTTTGTTGTATCTGTTCGATAGATAGTCTAATTCGTTTCGCCTCGAGGCGTTTTGAGGCGAAGCCCCGCCGTCTTCGGCATCGTAGGTTTGCGTCAAACGGGGGTCTTTTATGTCTAAGGTGTAACAGTGCTCGTCTAAAGAGTTTTCCGGAAGCATATTCGATGTTTCGTTCGAATAGCAATCCATTACGCAGGTCTCCGAGTCTCTCATACCATTTGATTTTTTTATTCGTAGCTGTTTGCCCCGTTTCGTGGATTCCCCGTGTAGTTCGAATTCCCTGTAGAGCATGTCGATGTCCTGGAGCATTTTGTGTAGCAGGGAGTCTCGTTCGTATGGCGGGACGTCTTTGTACGAGCTGAAACGATGGGAATTAAATTGTGGTAGGTGAAAGAAATTGGGGGGCTTACTTGTTTTTAATTGTCGAGTCTGGTTTTAGGCGAGTTTGTATGAGAAGTTGGACGTGTTCTCTCAGGGTTCGGATCGAAAAGGTTTTTCCTTGTGCGAAAGCGACGTTTTCCTGAATGATACTCCACTTTTCGGGGTGCAGAAGGGGGTTGTGGGCCAGGAATTCTTTCAATAGGGATATTTCGTCTTCGTAACTAAACCGCAGCCTTTTTAATCTCTTGCTCATTTTCTCCTCTACTATTGTGAAGTTGAATGCGTTACACGTCTTGAATTTTTTATTTACGGGACTCCACTATTTTAGTATCTTACGAACAATGAGATATTAAATCCTGTGAGGACTCTGGTTTTTGTTTGTTGTTCGTTTTATTTTATTTATAACGAAAACAAATCGACTTTCTTATTTTTACGCTGCTCTATAATTGGTTTGCGCACGATTGTTTTATGTCAACAACGTCAAAATTGTCAAAAAGTTTTGACAAAAGTCACGTGACAGCCACGATGAATACCGACGTTGCCAAGTTAAAAAAAAGAAGATCCAAATTTTGGAATAGCCCGGAAGACTAAAAAAAATAAATAAATGAGTTAGAAATACACTATACTTTATTTTGGAAATAATACATAAAATTAACAGCGATATGTGAACAATAATTAAAGATGTTCGCTATTTTTCTCATCATTCGAATGGAATACGATCGAATGCCTTCTTAAATTCCTACTGTAACTAAACAATTTTAAACAAATATCACATTTGTACTTTTTCTCACCGGTATGAGTCAACATATGGCCCTTCAAGTTACCGAGCTGAGTAAACGCCTTTTGGCAGACATCACACCGATGCTTCTTCTCCCCGGTATGGCTCGCCAAATGGATTTTCAACGCGTAATTGGTCGTAAACGATCTCTGGCAACATTTACACAGATACTTCTTCTCGCCCGTATGGATCAACTCGTGCTGCTTCAAATTGCCCAGCTGCACGAACGATTTCTGGCAAACGTTACACCGGTATTTCGTTTGGCCGGTGTGGCCAGCCAAATGGCTCTTTAGCGTGTAATATGTAGCGAATGATGCCCGGCAGATGTTGCAATGGCGTTTCTTCTCGCCTGTGTGAGTTAACATGTGGTTTTTTAAACCTCCTAGCTGCATAAACGATTTGTTGCAGATGCTGCATTGGTGTTGTTTCTCTCCTGTATGGCTCACCAAATGGCTTTTTAAATTGTAAGCAGTTGCGAATGATTGTTGGCAAATGTTGCATCGGTGTTTGTTTTCACCGGTGTGGTTGATTAAATGACTCTTTAGCTTGTAATAGGTAGCGAATGGTTCTTGGCAGTAGTTGCATTGGTATTTCTTTTCGCCCGTATGGGTTAACATGTGGGTTTTGAAGTTGCCAAGTTGTATGAACGATTTTTGGCAGATGTCACAATGGTGTTTCTTTTCGCCGGTATGGCTGGCTGTGTGATTTTTTAACGCGTATTTGGCGGCGAATGATTTCTGGCAGATGTTGCAGTGGTGGTTCTTTTCGCCGGTGTGAGTGAACATGTGCTTTTTTAAATGATCTGGTACGATGAATGATTTGGGGCAAAGGTGGCATCGGTGTTGCCTCTCGCCTGTGTGACTGATTGTGTGGCTTTTTAGTTTATAGTAGGTGGTGAATGATTCTCTGCAAATGTTGCATTGGTATTTTTTTTCGCCTGTGTGGATTAGCATGTGGTTTTTTAAATTGGAGCGTTGTACGAAGGATTTTTCGCAAATATTGCAATGGTGTTTTTTGTCTCTCGAATATGGTTTTGGTAGGTCGTTATTTTGATTTATTAGTTGGTCTTTTACATCAGAGTAATTTATCTCATTGTTACAATCTCCATCTTCATCGTTATTTATTTCATTTTCTTGCTTAACGTGTATTTCTTCTGCATTATCATTTTCAGTTTTCACATCTTTAATATCAAGATAACAAGATAAATCCTGATATTCTATCTTACATTCCTTTTTAATACTATCACCTTCATCGTATGTCATTTCTTCTTTCAGTTTAGCAGTAATATCTTCATTATTGGGAATGTTTATGTGATTATCTGTAATTTCTTCTTTAATATTTTGATCTTTGATTGCATATTCAATTTTTTTAACGCCATTTTCTTCATTATTTGTGATTGTTTCAATTCCCTCGAGGCTCGATTGTTTCTCTACATAACTCATTAGTGTCGTTTCGAAGACAATTAGGTTTTCTATTACATATTAATAATTTTTTACACAACATGTACATATATCAGACTTACTGGTAGAATTACTATTAATGGAAGAGAGCTCAAGAGCTAAAAACAGAAAAATAATAGACTATTAATTTGCAAGTTGAGTTTACTTACAATATTTAGTATTAAGTTTTGAGAGTACTATGATTTATAGGTAAACGGCACAAATTATTAATAAAAACCACTTTTTTAATACTTTCTAAACAATATTTTATTTTGTTTTCCAAAATTCCTTCACTTATTTGACTTCTAGGTTAAAAAAAACGAAATGTCAAACGTCGAAATTTGGTTTGGAAAAGAAGAATTTTTCAGGTATCTCCAGCTTCGTGCTCTGCCAGTCACTACTTTATCCCTCACAAAATATTCAAACTCCATTCAATACGATAAATCAAACTTTACTTTTTTTTTCATTTCAGAGGAATGCAATCGGAGTACGGAGGTTCTTACAAAACTCACACGTACTCGGACGTGTTTCCTTATCTGCATGACAACGGTGTTGTTTTTCCACTTCCGATCGCAGACGGCTGTGGCCCTTGGCAAATTTACGCTACCCCTGCAATGTATTGCACGGATTATTGTCATATCGGCTCCGATTATCCGGTGCGTGCTGTATTAAAATGCGCCTCCAGAAAATTCTATCACAAAAACGAAAATGTAGATCTTTCTGTATGTTGCGAAGCCATATAAAGAAAATAGTCGAATGAGGAGCTTGTTTTTTATTAGGTATTTGTCATGATCGAATCTACAGTATTGGAAATAAATTCACGCATAATAGGAAAATCAACGTCATTCTTAGCCGTCTAAATATATCGTAAATATATTCTTTAATCGATAAACTAACAAAAATCTACTCTTGTTTGCAGTTGATAAAATTAACGAGAAATTTCAACAGCGACATTTGTACTTGCATGGTATAATTTATGACCTACCTTTTTGTTCCACCCTGTATATATGATGTCTGTGGAAGCCATGTAAAGAAAATAGTCGAATGAAGTTGCCTTAGAAAAAATAAAACACATGTTTATGGAAGTTGCTTGATTTTTATTTTTCTTGTGAGGTGGCTGTTTGATGCAGTTGTTGAAGCCCACTCGAACATAAAACAGAAGAAGAAGAAAAATTCATTCTAACCCCAATTTATTCAAATTTTTTTCTTTTAAAATTTAACGAAAATTGATGAAAATTAGCGCGTTTGTTGGTGATTTTCTATACATTTCAGCGAAATGACTTCAATTTCTGATGAAAAACCCAACATTATGATATCTTTACCTAAAGATGGAATTGTTACCGATGCCGATAATCAAAAATGGAAAATTGGAAAACTTATAGGACGCGGTAGATATGGAAATGTATATTCAGCAAAAGATTCCAAATCAGATGAATATTCATACGCCATAAAAATAGTAACAAATTCCCTTTATAATACAAATATACGATATTTATCGAATCCTTTGTAGATACGTCAAGGCAACCTACCTTCATGCAGAGAAGCGAATTTTTACAAAGCAATAGCGAAAAGACCTCAAGGTAATCACCTTAGAACTGTCCTGCTAGAAATCTACTAATTTTAAAACAAATCTTATAAAAAAATCAACGAGTAACTAGCTTACAATAGATACGTTTCTTTTCTAGTTGCAAATTTCATGTCGTTAAAAGGACTGAAGACATTCGGGCTGCCCGCTTGCTTACGGCTCGGAAGTTACGCATTGAACAAAGCGAATTACAATTTTATAATCACCGAAAAATACGGGAAAAACCTGTGGGAAATATTCCTCGAGCACGACAAGCGATTCCCGAAGGCTACCGTTTGTAAATTAGCTATACAAATTGTAAGTAGAAGTCCAAATACAAACTACAATGGAACATCCTTCAACAATTTATTATTTTTTTTAGTTGGATGTCCTGGAGTATATGCACAATAATGGATTTGTTCACGGTGATATCCAAGGAAAAAATGTTCTTTTGGGCAGCCCGAACGAGCACGAATGCAACCAAATTTATTTAATCGGTTACGATTTGGCGACTAATTGTAATCTAGACATAGACGATGCGACGAGAGTGCCAAAAATTCATAGTGATAACATTTTGTATCTAAGTAGAGACGACCATATGGGAGGTAATCTCGAAAACTGATGCTTTTACAATTCTTAATATGTGTTAATTTTGTAGTTCATTCGAAAAGGGGCGATTTGGAAACGTTGGCCTTTAATATGGTGCATTGGATCGGCTGTGAATTACCGTGGGAGAAAGATTTGCCGAATATCAGCAAAGTAAAGGCCTCCAAATTCGAAAACTACTCGTTTTCTTCGTCGTATAAATTTTTTAAATTGTGTTTTGGCGTCCATTCCAACGAAGGTAATATTTTCAAATTCTCTAATTATCTTAATAAAGAAAGGAGGTTTCCATTATCTTTTTATGTCCTATCCCTAGCTGAGTCAAATAGTCCTTTTTTAACCATTATAAAACACCTCAATATAATGAATTTTTGATTTGTAAACAACATTTTAGATCCCATCGTGAAATTCATCGAAGAAATCACATCCTTGTCCCAAATGTCCATCCCCAACTACTTTTCATTGAGACAGATCTTGTTATCCGGTCTGGATCCCGGAGATTCTCTATTTAAACCGTTTAAATTCTCAACCGAAGAAACCGAAACGAAATGCAACACGCCGCAAAATGACTGCATTATATTAGAATCCTGTTCCAATCCTAATGAAACTTCCAAATCTAACATCAAAAAATCGAATAGAGCTATAAGGAAATTACCTACGGGAAAGAAAATAAACGAACTTGTACCTGACGTGTCGATTCGTACTCGAAGAAGACAACAGCAGGTGAATTACAGAGAAGATTCCGATGAAGAAAACTTATCGCCTACTAAAAGAAACAAGAATACTGAGAAGCATGTAACCGGTGATAGCATAGAGGAAACTAATGAACCGGTGGAAAGTTAGAGTATATTTGAATTAGAGATTAAAGTGTAAATTATCTGGGATAATAGTTTACAGTTATAATGTGTACATAAGAATTGTTAGGTATTCGTTTTATATTGAGAAGTTTAAGAGTTTTTTTGTAAAATTTGCCTGTTTTTTTCGTTATAAAATTTCGAGAGATTTCAACTGTTTTCTCCTAAGCTTAATGTTTGTTTTTGTAGTTGTTTTATGCACGTTTATTTTCTTGAAAATCGGGAAAGACATTAATTTGTCTCGCAATGCAAAACTGTCAATTGAAAGAATCTCCCTAGTTACTCCAAACCAACAATGTAAATCTGTCAAATGAAAGAATCTCCCTAGTTACTTCATAACAACAATGCAAAACTGTCAAATTAAACAATGCCCCCATAGTTACTCCATAACAACCAATGTTAAGCTATCAAATTAATAAAGATACCATTTAAACGATTGCTTGGTTATAGCGTTAAAAAGGATCGCCGAATAGGGGCCATTAAGAGGTATTCGGAAAGGATAACGTTCGATTAGCAGGACCGGGCGATCCGGGTTCAGGGGTGACCGCCCGAAGATGGGAAGTCGCCGTCGCCATCGCTGGGGCCATCAAACTTCTGGCGAAGGCGATCCTCTCGGTCCCCCATCGGCGCGTCTACGCCGCCCGAGACTGTGTAGCGTAGATATTTCCAGTTAGATTCGGAAGGTTCTTTTTGTTATTAGGACGTTGAATGTCGCTGTTCGTTCACCTCGGAGAAGTCTCGCCGGTGCGGCGTTGCCTGGCTCTTTGTTTTCGATGAATATTCATGTCGGATTCGCACGAAAAATTGATCCTTCTAGGAAACAGGCTACTAATATAGCTGGGATTTTCGGAAGGTTTTATTGTTTATAAATTATTAGAAGTGGTTTAATTGTCTCACGGGATGCAAGGTGTTTGGGAAATCCAGGATGTTTGATCAAAAAAACGTTCTTTTTTTCGAAAACTGCTGTAATTATTTACTAGTCTCTTCTGAAATCCTCTCATAGCTCATTATTTTTACAAAATAAAATTTATGAGGAGTTGGCCATTAATGTCAAAAATTAATTTGGCAATCCTGAAGTTTCAATTTTCAATGGCGTCTGTTAGTTTTCTATAAATTACACCTTTTTTTCTACGCAAATGTTAATCTTCATACGTTGTTTAATCTACAGATTGCATCAGTAATTTCACATAGTAAAAAACACTTTGTTGTACGCAACAATAAATTTTTATTACTTATTAAAAAAGCATTTTTGACATACGACATTGACATAAGATATTATTTATCTACACAATCATAATCACCCTTATCTTCCAATTTCTAACGATCAAAACAACAACAGATAAAACCTATTATCTAAACGCTAATACGTATGCATGTACTTACGAAACAACGACTCGATTTAATCCCCTTCCCGACCAAATAATAATAATAATGTTTGTCGCATTTTTAAATACCCAAACAAAAATACGGGAAACGCGGCAACGCCGCACGTCGACCAGACGATCAGATGGGGTTGTTTTTGTTTTGAACGGCACCCGACCAATCGCGTCGCTCATAAACAAATCCTTTCGTCGCTATTCGCCGAGCGGGCCGCGACCCAAGGCCATCGCACCAACTAACAGCGTAGGCCATACACACCATTTATTTGTTAGTGTTCGTGCGGTGCGTTGCGGAAGAGACGGAAGGCGATTTTCGCGACCTGTGCGACCTGTTAGAATATGATTTATGCGGGCAAAAACAAATTCGAGGTGAGTCGTTTAGCGATCGTCCGAGGCCGACTCGATTTTGGTGTTAGCGAGCCGTTTCCTGGTCGTTCATTTTTTGATGTAAAACAGCTGATATCCATCCGAGAAGTGTCAAAGCTCCGTTTCGCTATCGAAGGAGGCGAATGCGAAATAGATGCACCGAAAACGGGGCGATATTTATTCGTAAATCGCCTTCGAGGGCGACCGTTAGATTTATTTTTACGCTTAATTTTCGCTTTTCTTTGTTCTCGACGATCGGTCGAGACGTGCCTACTAGTCGAACTGAAAATGTCAGCCGTTTATTGACATCTACGTTTCGCTTTTGCCGGAGGATTATTTCGATTCCGCCTGCTTGATTTTGTGCGAAACGATAATAATATCGAATATTGTTTATTCGTCGAACCCCACGTAGTGATCGCTTATCTCCGTGTCGTTTCGTTTTGTTGAAATGTGTCGTACAAAGTTATGTCAATAAAGAAGTCCTAGTAGGCTAATTTTAGTCGATAGGGATTTTTTTTTGTTTTTGTTGTTTACTGCACGCGGTTCTCGTAATAATTTGTAAAGATTTCGCGTTTGAAATGTATGATAAAATGTTAATTAATTGACGTTTTTTATCTCTCCCCCAACTCTCTCGATTGTATACACAATAAAAGGATATACTGCAGAGGTATACGGGGGTCGTTTCGAAAGTAATATTCGACATACAGGGTGGCTCTTAATGTTAATTGCAAACTGAAGAGGAGACACGATTTTCTAACACTCTGTATATAACTTTATAAATATTTATTAGGATAAGTTGCGCTTCTTCTTAATATTCGATTATTATTTAAATTTGTGGACTTTGGATTTTTTAAATAGATTTATTAAGTCGATATCAGCAAAAGTCAATGACTGAAAATTGCCTTAATAATTATCAATTTAAAAATAAAAAAAATAGATTTAAATGAAATTTCGTTTCCTGTCAGTCGTTAATTAAAATCGTACGTGTTATTAAACTGTCAGTTTATAGCAAAAAAATTAACAACTGGAATTTATTAAAATTGTTATTATTAAATATTTATTAAAATTCCGAATTAAATTGTAATTACTAAACTTACAAAAAAATATTTTTTTATCGCTGGGGAAGAAAACAAATTATCAAACACACCCCGTATACTCTTTATGCCTTGTACAAACAGTAACACAATTTTTTTCAACTAATTTCCATTTCCTCATTTCCAACCTTTACCTTCGCTTACCGCATTTTTATTCACCAATTAAAAAAAGATCCTTCGAATACATTTCCCGTTAATTTCTCCGTTTTAAATTACTCACGCTTACGTTTACACTCTTACATTCCCGTTCTTTTCTTTTTTATTTCGTTTTTGATTTATTTCTATGTTTATTTAGTCACCTGCAAACGCAACTAGCAATTCCGGGGAAGAACCAAAGAAACTAGACGAATCTAATAATTGGTGGCGCAATAAGAAACACGCTAGAAAATCTAGGAATTTTTCGAATTGCGCCAATTTAGAATTTGAAACCGACAAACAGGTTGGTAAATTTCAATCGAAATGTACAGTCGGTGCAAAACAAATATCAATGCACGTCACCTATAAATTACTACGTCACAAGTAGGCAGTGTTGCCAAACTTTTATAGAGTTTACAAAATCTAAGAATTCTCTAAAATTGTCAAATTGCAAAATGACAAGAATAAATTGAAAATTAGGGGTAACTGTTTCACGTTTCTAAACGGCGGACGTATTCAGGGGCTCACTATAATATTAATTATCAATAATTAATAATTAATCAATTAATATATAAATATATTAAATTAATTAATAAATATATTTATTAAATTAATTAATTTATCAACTGAAATATATTTAATAGTACGAGTAAAAAATTTAGTGTACAATTGACCCATAAAAGAGTACATAGTAAAATTTCTGAGAAAACTTCTGAATCTGAATTATTTATAGAGCTCAAATTGTATCATTTCTAACATTTCGAAAAGATAATTACGCAAAAAATTCTTATTTTTTGATTATTCGACTGAATAGCCTTTAGTAGTTGAGGCTAGCAAAATTAGAAAAAAGAAGAAGAAATTGAAAATTAAAAGTACCGAACGGATGACAACGGCAACAATGCAAATTGACTATAAGAAAATAATAATAATTTTATTTGCAAACGTTGAATTTTGATAATATAACTTTTTTTGGATGATTTAATAAATTTAATTTAATTATTTTGTGTATTTATTTTTAAAAGTTGGGCACAATGCTCGGCATGTATGACGACAGTAGTGACGTCATTCATATTTGTTTTGCACCAACTTTAAATCGTTTATTGTTTAGACCAGTTTAGGCTACTGGTTTGGATACATTTAAATAAATTGTTTAAATTACCATCATTGCTACCGACTTTTCTCGTTGTATTCACGCGATATCATTAAATCTACTATTAGTACGTATTATTCTTCATTATTTATTCATTTTATTTTACAGTTAAACAAAGTGTTCGTTGAAGATGAGGCCCCCATCAACAAAAAGCTGCCCAAAGAGCTGCTCCTTCGGATATTTTCCTACTTAGACGTCGTCTCGCTCTGCAGATGCGCCCAAGTATCGAAAGCCTGGAACATATTGGCTCTGGATGGCTCCAATTGGCAAAGGATCGATCTCTTCGATTTCCAAAAGGACGTAGAAGTAAGTCAACAGTAACCAAACATAGAGAAAATCCAATGCAGATAATGTAAGGGGTGATTCCTTAGTGAAATATAGACTCAATGTTGCCTAAAAATGATGTATTTGCTGCTAAAAACAGAAGGAAGTGGGTGCACTTTTAGTTGCTGATGTTCTGCGATGTACAAGGCAACTGTAGTATATGAGCGTACAGAGATTCTTCATTATGGTAAAATAATGCAATCGGATGATTCATTACAGAAATTAAGCTTTATTTTTTCTCAAAAATGCTCTATTTGCGGCTCAAAACAGAAGGAAGTGGATGTATTTTTGGTTGCTTATGTCCAGCAATATACAAGGCAAGGGATATACAAGGCATTCTTTACTATGGTAAAATAACACAATGGGGTGATTCCTTGGTGAAAAATAGGCTCTATGTTGCCTAAAAATGCTATATTTTCTGTTCAGAACAGAATAAGGAACTAGATGCATTTCGAGTAGCCTTTGCCCACCAACGTACAAGGCTAAACTGACTGACGATAACCCCGCATCAATTCCACTTTTACTCAGCCTAACTTACAAGTACTTTTAGTGCTATACAGGGTGTTAATTAATTCAATGTATTTATTTTAACGGGTGATTCTTGGACTAATTTTTAGTCCATTCCATTGTTTATTGCAACATAGGCTATGGGTGCAACAAAGACAACATCAATTAGACACATATAAAGAAAAAAGAAAGAGTGATATTATGTCATTGTAACTTTTCACTCTGACAACTCTGTTATATCATACAAAACTCTATGTTATATCATACATCTTTTGTGATCTTTTATGCTTTTTGTCCTTTTTACAATAGTACACAAGTATCGGTATCTCGAAAGCGAAGCGAGATATCAAAAATTTTTATTCTTCATTTTCGCTTTATTTTGGCTCAATTAAGCCAAAAGTTCTGCCTATAGGACTAAACACCAATCTAAGGACTGTATTACCTCTACAACAAAAGTGAGATTGCAACCATAAGATGGAGTCATCTAGAAAAATTGATTGACATTCGCACCAACCTCCAACCCGGCTCCAATTCCAACAAAACGTAACGATCTCTGGTTTACACGTTCCATTTTGCACGCAACGTTTTGTCGTTGCAGACAAATCGTAACGTTTTATTGTATCATCTAAACCAGGACTTATCTGATACTAAACGGTTTCAGGGTCCGATAATAGAGAACATATCCCGCCGATGCGGCGGTTTCCTGCGACAGCTGTCGCTGCGCGGCTGCCAATCGATCGCCGACGGCTCGATAAAAACGCTCGCCCAGCTGTGTCCCAACATCGAAGACCTCAACCTCAACGCCTGCAAGAAACTCACCGACGCCACGTGCGCCGCCCTCTCGCGTCACTGCACCAAACTGCAACGGCTCAACCTCGACAGCTGCTCGAGCGTGACGGACCAATCGCTGAAGGCGCTCAGCGACGGCTGTCCCAATCTGACGCACCTGAATATAGGCTGGTGCAGCAACGTCACCGAGAACGGCGTCGAGGCGTTGGCGCGCGGCTGCCCGCGCCTGCGCAGCTTCATCAGCAAGGGCTGCAAGCACATCACGTCCAAGGCCGTGATATGCTTGGCCAGGTTTTGCCATCATTTGGAGATCGTGAATTTGCACGGGTGTAGCGTAAGTATATATTTTTACGCCTTTAATTCGATTGTTCCTGTAGTGTTTTAATAACAAAAAAAGGAGGTATAAAGTCGAATGAGTTTAATCCACGGCCGTACATTTCTAAAGTCTGTAAACATAGGTCGAAAAATGTCCCGTTATTTGAGGATAGAAAAGTTAGGAACCCTTTTTTATCCTCAAATAACGCTTGAAAAGCTTGTTATTGTCCAGAGTAAGCAGTTAATTAGGAGTATTATACGCTAAGATTGCTCGCTTTAAGGAATTGCAAAGCTCTTTCTTCGAAAACGTTTCCTAAGCAAGACCCAAAGCTTCCTAGAATCTAATCATCATGTCCCAAGTCCCAAAATTCTTGGTTAAAGTCACGCCTGTGTCTTTCTAAGATCTCGAAACATAGGTCGATAAAGTGTCCCCGTTATTTGAAAATAAAACAGAGTTCCTAAAACGGCCGCTAGGAGGCGATGTTGTAAAGAACCACGGTTTTTTGCGTACGAATTATGTAGAATCGGCATTAAGAAAGGCTTGATTCAAACTAAAAATAGATACAAAATATAAAAATATACTTAAATCAGCGATGATTTTGTTGTTAACATCATGTCTCACGTCTCACGTCTCATCGGTTAAATGTATTTCTCCATTTTCTCCTCGAAATGTCAAAAAATAATTTTTGAAGTTTTGACAGCTTGAACTGTCATCCCACAACCGCGATTTATATGTAGCGCGATGCTGATTGGCTGAGATAAGTTGGTCCTCCGATCGTTCGCCACGGTGCAGCGAAAAAGTGAAGCTTAAAAAGTCCTCAAATAACTGGACAAATTCTCTAATGCGTAAGCATAGGCTATTTCCAGACCTTAGAAATATACGGCCGTGGTTTAATCTCAAAATTGAACAAAATTGACATTAATGACATTTATGACACAAGTTTAATAGAGGTGGGAATCGATTTTTCGGTACAGAGGTGCCGTAACGAATGTTACAAAATAACCGTTATTTTTCAAATATCGTTCCCATGATTACTTTATATCTGTATGGATTTTTAGACATGCCGGGACGCAGGGATCGAATTAATTAATACTTTTGTGTTTCTGTAACGAGAATTAAAAGGAAAACGAGTCGAGGATCCTGCGGAAACGCCTTAAACAGGAGAGAAGAGACTATTCTGATAAAAATCGAGCAAGGTGAACAGAACGGATATCAAAAGAGAGCTTTAACAAGTGCCTTTAACTGTACACCATAAATTTATCGAAGAGCATATAAGTTGAGTTTTGTGTGTTTTTTTTTGTAGAATATTAGAGACGAGGCGGTTCAAGCGCTAGCGGAAAAGTGTCCTCGTTTGCACTATTTATGCCTGAGCTCGTGCTCGGCCCTAACGGACGCTTCATTAGTAGCACTCGCCACCAATTGCCATTTATTGTCCACTTTGGAAGTAGCCGGATGTTCACTGTTCACCGACGCCGCCTTCCAGGCACTAGCTAGGGTAAGGATTCCACTATTCCATTCATTCTACCATAGTATTATGGCAGTATCTTATGCATAAACATTCTTAAATATTGCATAAGAGTGTCTACAGTCGGTGCAAAACAAATATCAATGCGCGTCACCTATGATTTAGTACGTCACAAGTAGGCAGTGTTGCCGAACTTTTATAGAGTTTACAAAATCTAAGAATTTTCTAAAATTGTCAAATGGCATAATGGCAAGAACAAATTGAAAATTAGGGGTACCTGTTTTACGTTTCTAAACGGATGACGTATTCAGGAGTTCACTACACTGTGTTATTTATAAGATGCGACATAGGGATTCCTGTACAAATGTGTCAAAAGCAAGCTAACTTTTTTACCAAATAACGTTCATAAAAAATAATAACAGATTTGAAAAGATCGTAAAAAAATAAGTAGAAATGGACATTAAATTTTCTTAAATTCATTCTGGTTTATTAAAAAAATGTATAATTAAGTTGAAAAAGTCATACGACATAAATAATTCCTTTTTATAACACTATCTAATTAATGTAAAAAGGGGCGGAGCTAACAGGGTTGGTTGACGCTCTGAAATTTGAACATTTCGAGGTGAAGGATTGTGGTTCAAACCGCGAGTGCGGAAATTTTTTTCTGTTTTTTTTTGGTATTTTTGTTTTTTTAATGTTTTTTTGTCATTAATAAAAATATGGCATTTATTTAAAGGCTCTACTTACTAACGAGATTTTGCATTATCAAAATTGACAATTAATTGTCGGAGCTTTTATTTAAATAACAATAAAACTAAATCTCAAATAAGCTTGTCTTATTTTAAATACTTTTATTTAACATTTTTTAGACAAAAACATTAAAAAAAACGAAAAAAAAAACAAAAAAAACTTTGCCCCAAGCGCGGTTTGAACCACATTACTTAAATATTAATTATTCAAATTGCAGAGCGTTAACCATCTCTGTTAGCTCCACCCCTTTTGCAAAAAATTAGATAGTGTTATAAAAAGGAATTATTTATGACGGATGACTTTTTCAACTTAATTATACAATTTTTTAATAAACCAGAGCGAATTTAAGAAAATGTAATGTCCATTTCGACTTATTTTTTTACGATCTTTTCAAATCTGTTATTATTTTTTATGAACGTTATTTGGTAAAAAAGTTAGCTTGCTTTTGACACATTTGTACAGGAATCCCTATGTCGCATCTTATAAATAACACAGTGTATAATTAATCATCAAATTTCTTTATCATCAGAAATATATTTAACAGTTCGACTAAAAAAATTAGTGTACAATTGACCCTTAAAAGAATACCAAACATAGTGATTAAGCTATTAAGCGATTAAGGTATTAAGCTTAATCTATTTTGTGTATTTATTTTAAAAAGTTGGTCACAATGTTTGTCAAGTATGACGACTGTAGTGACGTGCATTGATATTTGTTTTGCACCAACTGTAGAATCGTACAATGTATACCTACAGCCACTTAATACCTAATAATTCGTATTGTATTGGCTGTAGTACTTCCCAAAACGTATATCATCGTATTGTTGCAGAATTGCAGATATTTAGAAAAAATGGACCTGGACGAATGCGTACTGATAACAGACTCCACGTTAATCCACTTAGCCATGGGATGTCCTAGAATCGAATATTTGGTAAGCTATACTCAACCGATTAAAGTACCATACATTAACTCTGTTATTTTCTTCTCCCTCAGACTTTATCTCACTGCGAACTGATAACGGACGAAGGCATTCGACATCTGTCAATGTCACCGTGCGCCGCAGAAAATCTCACCGTTCTCGAACTGGACAACTGCCCCCTCGTCACCGACGCCTCCCTCGAACACTTGACCTCCTGTCACAACTTGCAACGGGTCGAATTGTACGACTGTCAACTGATCACCAGAGTCGGAATTAGGAGATTACGGGTGAGACTTAAGCGGGACTTTAAGATGCGTTCGATGATACATTAACGTCAAAATTGAACAAAATTGACATTAATGACATTTACGACAGCAATTTAAGGGCGCCACTTCAGGGTATTTTTAAATGGAAAAATATAGGTTGAGTAATTCCAGTAAGATTCAAATTTGGCTTCATTAATTGATTTGAATCTTTCTTATACCTAATATAGAGACTCCAAGCAATGATATCTTCTATTTTTAATCTCTCCTACTTCATTATATATTTGAGGACTTCATTATGAATTTGAGGGCGTGCTTTGGCGGCCTTAAATGTGTGATCTACTTAAGATTGGAATATGTTTCACCATGTTCTAGAAAGGTTATTTTAGGAATTTATCCTAGGATGCTTTGGTGCAACTGGTCATAAGATGCGTTCGATAATATTTAACAAAATTGACATTAATGACATTTACGACAGCTATTTAATAGAGGTGGGAATCGATTGGTCGGTATAGAGGTGGTTACAAAATAACCGTTATATTTTCACGTATCGTTCTCCCGATGATAATTTGTTCGTTTTTTTTTTGTGCAGAATCATTTGCCGAACATCAAAGTACACGCGTACTTCGCGCCGGTGACGCCGCCCCCGACGGCCGGAGGCAGCAGACAGCGGTACTGCAGGTGCTGCGTGGTGCTATGAGGCAACTGCCCCTTTGGATCCCTAGGAAACGATCGGCCGCCTTCTTAACGGGCGCTGGATAACCGCTAATGCAAGGCCATTTAACGCTCCCGGTGAGCTGGAATCGGATAATACGGAAAAACGCGAAACTCGTCTCGTTTCGAAATTTTTATACCGATTATTTCGGGTGATTGTGCGCGCGTATTTTAGAGGAGTAATTAAAGAAATGTTTTATCGTAGTCTCGCGATTTTAGGGAGGTTTTGTAAGTGCCATTTTTTTGTATTTTTGCTCGGAAAATTGAAAATTATCGACAAAGAGAGAGTATTTACGAAAGCCGAATTTAAAGAGAATTTGCGAGTAAACGATATATTATTAAGTTGAATAAGAAAATCCAAAACGCGTATATTTTATATACTTATTAACATTAACATATATAAGAGTGGATCTTGCTAACAAATTAACAGTAATTTGTTTGATTTTTTCGATCTTACAATTGGAATTGAAATATTAAAATGATTGTATTCATCAAAAAATTGATATAAAATTCATTTTTTTTACAACTAATTACATTATGTACAATCGAGCTTATTTTAATTTACTTACAGAGTGTTGATAAAGTGTGAGAATAATTAACAAATAAAACATCGAAAAATATTGCAAAAGATTACTAACTTAGTAACACATTTTGCCCATTAAATTAGTTATTCTCATACATCATCAAACACCCTGTATAATGTATCATATATTTATCTGTAAAATTTCCTGTACATTTATTTAGTTAACGAATCTATGGAGATGGTATCAAGACTGTTAGTTAAAACATTACCTTTTTTACTTGTAAATAAATATAATAATAAAAAAAAGAAGCGGCTAAAGAAGAATAATGAATCCTTGCATTGCGATATGCGTAATGAAATCCGAAGTGCTCGCGGAGTTTTTTTGTACTGCGGAACAAATTGAATAAAAGTGGGGCCATAGGGGCGAAATTTTTCGACGAATTTGTAAGATTATCGTATTTAAATATATTGTGTAGAGGCCTTTTTGAAACTTTAATCGACTATTTATGAACCTTTCTTGTAGATAATCGACCGTAAATACACCTATATTACTGTTAAAATTGTTTCTATGGCGTACGACATGTTGAATTTTCGTTTATTTATTAATAGATAAGCGGTACGTGTTGAGTTTCAAAGGATTTTTCCGATTCGCTTATAGTTTTTCCAAAGTTCGTTGAATACGATTCGAAAATGCGAAGAGAATCAAAATTTTTTACGCTCCCAAGTGATTTTGGAAAGACTATACATTCTTTTCTAAGGCTAAGAGAAATTCTCTGAAATCCAACAAACATTTTATTGGATGTTAAACTTATATGAATGTAACATTTTGCACTAATAAAACATAATTGTTTTCACACAGCAACAGTTAAACTAACGCATTTACAAGTGAAATAAAAATAGGTATTTAAAATTTAATAGTCGTGACAGACAATTGTTCTAAATGTTCTATAATAATATCAATGTATTCAAATCGACAGGATTAATTGAATAACCCGTGTGATATGCAGAAGATTCGGTTTACATATATTGTTTAAATTTGACTTGACTATAATTACTTTATATAGTCTTTCTAAAGTCAGTGTAATATTTACTTTGTATACAGAATGACTCGGTACATATTTGAATTGGTTGTGATCATTTTTTTTATGTAAATGTGAATCTTCTGTTTGGTAGTTTGTGTATAAACATGTATGTATTAAAAATAATTTCCGTTTGTAAGTTTCGTAAGGGAACTAGATATCCAGTTTCGTGACCGATTCAAATTTCTTTTTCGATTAAAAAGCCTCAAAATGCTGTGATACAAAAAAGAAATCTTTCGGTAGGTTTGTTTATATTTTGTTCAATCAAACGAACGATGCGCGTATCATTTTCGTCAAAAAAGAAAAATAAGAAACGTCTAGAGTTCTGCGTAAATTCAAACATACGAATTATAAAGGCTTTTTACCTTTTTAATTTTCACGATCGGGGCGCCTCGATCGCCTCGCGTGTGTGTACATATATTTTTGTAGTCACTTTTTTAGGTTATTTTATATTTTGATAATAAATTTCAGTTTCTTTTTAGCGATTTCTTTCGCCTTGTTCCTCGCATTAAACCACGATATATTCTATGTAATAGTCCGAGCTGTTCTCCGGTATTATTTCCTCGGAATTGGGAGTTGGCGTCAAGACTTGCACCACTAATATAACTTTATCGCCTCCGTGAAAATCTTGCAAATGTTTCCGGAGACACAAACGGCCCAAACCGCACCTCCTGTAGTCCAAATTGTACTCTAAAGCCACTTGCAAAAATCTACTCTCTATACACACGAATCTGCGCACCTAAAAAAAATAATACACCCGTTAATTTGCAGGAAAAATGTTTAATAGAACACACCCTGTAGAGCGGCCTGTAGTTGAACAAATTTATGATTAATTGTTCTCTAATCAGCAACTGGCCGTAATCGAAGGAACTTTGGAATCTTTGTATTTGAAGAATTGAATAACCGGGTGGGGTTGTAGCCATTTGTACTTCTCTTTGGATCAGTAGGTATTCTGCAGAATCGGGCCTGAGAAGTACCCGACGAACTGGATTGGAAGTATCGATGTGATCCCACGTTTTTGGGGCGTATTGGAAAATTAACTTTTCCATACCAGAAGCTTCGTTACACTAGTAGATACGCTGAAGAAAATATCCATTATAATGGATTATTTGAAAGAATAATTATTACACTTACATTGCTGGAAATAATTACTTTGTACTGTAGTCACTGTTCGATAAAGACTGAACCACTCAATCGTTATCTGAATAGATAATTTATAATCTCTCCTTTATGGGAATTACACAGTTATCAAACAAAAAGAAAATCCTAATTATTTACTGTTTATTTTTAGTGTATGTTGGCGTTTTAAAATCTACGGTAAAGTAATTTAATATTTGCGTTGTTATGATGCGAGATTGAAATTATTTTGCTAATCGAGCATATTTTTATCCTACAGCTTATAGTACGGGAAATTAAATGAAAATTTTGGTTATTAGCAAATAATAAATTCTTTGTTTTGGATACAAAGTTAGTATCTAAGGATCTCTTTAAATAATAAAGAGTTTGACAGTATCTTAGTAACGTCTATACATTCATTGACAATACAAACATTTCGTAGAGGTAGATAAATAAAGCAATTTTCCTGAAGATTCCGAAATAAAATGGAATCGGATTTGTTGCGAAAAGAGGACGAATTTTACAAAGAAAACGAAAAACTCGAACGAAGAACCAAAGAACTGATGAAAAAAGTCAACGATGTTATGGTCAGTACTTCTCCAAAGAATTAACAAAAAATAAACCCTGTCAAAAAATCGCGTTTCCTTCCAGAAAATCCAGGATCATCTAATAAAAGAAAACCTAAAAACGAAATCGGACATCATCCACGCGAAACAGCAGAATTTCAAGTACAACAAGCAGGAATTTGATGAAAATTGCGACTTTAATAAGGACCTGCTCGTTCCGAGCGCTGTGGAAGAAATGGGCCTTAAAAATGCCACACAATTTTACAAAACCAAACTTAAAGCAGTGCAAGTTGAAGTCGTGAAAATTCAAGCCGATAATCGCAAGAAAGTAAGCCAGGTTTTACTTACCGTAATTATCCATTTGGTCGATAAATGCAATTTATTTTCAGTGCGATGAAATCCGAAGGCTTCAAGAAGAAAATCAAAAATTACAAGACGATAAAGACAAATGGTTCAATTTGTACAACTCCGCCAGGAATACTTCTGGAAAACTTGAAACACAAGTAATAGATTCCGAATTGATGGTTGTTTAAAAACTGTAAAAATTTTTTTACAGGTGTCTTCGTTGAATTCGAAAGTTCAAGCGAAGTCGGGCGAATTGGCGGCGTTGAAAAAAGATTTCGAACAAGCGAAAAAGGAATTAAAAAACGCCAATCTTAGCGTGAACAGTTTAGAAGTAAGACTAGCAAGGGTGCAAGAAGATAACGAAAAGTTGAAAAATTCCTTAAAAATGGCGAAAGATGAAGATAAGGTTTACTTGCGTGAAACTTATTTCTACTGAGCATTTACGAATGTCGGTTTTTAGGAAACCAGAGATACTTTCAAGAGACAAATTAACGAATTAACGGCTACTGTGAAACATATCGAAAAACACAAGGTAGAACTGTTGAATGGATTTAAAAAGCAATTGCAGTTGATTGATAATTTGAAGAAGCAAAAGGTAGAAAGTAATCGTGATCTTCATTTTACATTATCTTACAATTTCCTTTTAGATGCATCTTGAAGCATTGAAAATTGCAGAATTGTCAGAAACTGATTATCTAAAATTATTAGATTGGAAATTTGAGTAGATAATCGACCACAGACTGATTTTAATGGCCTTAATTGTTAAGTATTTTTGTACATTTTCATTAAGCTTCATATTGATTATTTATTTTAATATTAATTTATAAATAAATCAAATATCAATCAATTTTTCTCAGTTTCCCTATACTTTCCTTCCATTTTTACGTTTTCAAACAAGTCAGGAAAATGATTAAAAATTAATACAACATATATAAAAAAACTAGTTTATTTTATAAAATTTTTACGAAAGATGTCATCTTAAAAAAATAAACATTTTCTTAAAACTAGACTAACTTTTCCAACAAATTAGAAACTAGAGAACAAAAACAAATGTATAGAATTTCTCGTCAAAAAGTACCGCTTTTCATAAGCTATTTAGCCAACCCTTTAACAGCCACAATCACATCTTATCACATTTGAATATAGTGTGTTGAGGAAAACGAAAAAGAAAATTAGTCACATAGGGTCAACAGATATTAACAGCACTGAATCACAAAAAAGTATAGCAACTTCAGTTTCAGATGGTCAACAAGATTCGTATATTGGATGAACGAAATGAAAAATAATACAGATACGTTAAGTACATGAAAGATAGTTTTTCGCATCCTATACAGCATAATGTATTACAAGCACCATTCTTTGAAACAGTCTGTATACATTTATATAACGAATCCAGCAAATGAAATCATTCTGAAACGAAGTTTTAGTGTCGCCGTAATTAAACAAAAAAATGAAATCAGTAGTAGAAAACTTAAATTAATTAATTAACAATCCTTTTCTTTTGAAAATAGCAAATAAGTAAACGCACCGAGTGCACGTATGAAGAACGAAGAAACGCTATAAAACTAGCGTAAAAATGAGCGGTTACATTCGTAGAATTAATAATAAATACCATCAGTTCGGAAGACTAATATGGCGACCCAAAAAGCGATGCTTTATGCAATTCAAAACGGTAACTTTTTTTCATATAAAAAAAAACTAATATTATCCACTTAACTCTTAAAAAAGAAATAAACAAACGAAATGGCTTATTATTACCAAGCGTTCAAACAAAACGCTCGTTCAGAAAATAAAAAAACGAAACAAAAAAAGAAAAAAAACAGCGAGATTCGGCTTTGCATCAGACCTTACAAATAATACAAAACTGTTTCGAGCGCCCTGTTCGCCGGTCTGTGCAAACTTTGGGCGGTCAGGAAGGCCAGCTTGTGGGCGTATTGGCACACGGCCGGTACGCGCACCGTACCGCACCAATTGTAGTACAAATGGCACATTTTGTACGTCAAAATCTGCAGCTTCTCTGGCGGCAGGCCCATGTTGTCGCTGATCACGTTGTAGCTGGTCGGCGATACGGATCCCTGATTCACGCACTGGCTCACGATGAAGAAGTCGTACCTGAACAATAAAAAAATACAATAAAAAATTTGTACGATTGTACCGCTAGTGCTAGTGTCATACTAAGTTAAAGTGAAATTCTACCACAATGGAGAGGAGTACGATGTGAGATATACGGTTTTTAGCCAAATATATGAAAAGATATAACTCATTAGAAAACAAATCAGTTTTCAGTTGCTGAAAATATTGAATATTTTAGGAAATATAGCCCTTTTAAATTTAAAACTTTGACCCGTGATGTGCAAAGTCACTAACCAATCACAAGAGAGATTTGTTGTATTGAATTATTAGTGGTATAAGAATTCGGACAAACTGTTTGGAAGAATAGAAGAAACGAACAAAAGTGAAATGTAATAAAAAAATAATAAATAATTAATGACACAAAATTAATTTTTCGATTCTTGAATTGAAAAGGGCTCATCTTTATAGAAATAATGAATTTGTGGACATGCTGATTATTTATGGAGAGTATTTCCAAAGTGTTTCCAATCAAAATGGAAACAATTTTGAGCAGTTCCTTTAACTTTTAATGAACAGGGCCGTATTAACAAAATTTTTAATAATTAAAATTTGAAAAAAAAAACGCTTTTATTTTCCAGAAAATTAAAAAATTTTACTTGAAAAAGTTGCTTAAAATTAAAAGAACTATACGCAGTTAAAAAAAATATCAACTTGACCCACCTTCAAAAATACCATTTTAATTTAATTACGGAAGCTAATTGAAAGCCAATTGGTTATTAACCATAACATTTAAAAACCTTACCTTTGAGGCAACGTAACGACATCATCCACAACAGTTCCCGGAGGCGGGTTCTTCCCGTCTTGGGTAAAGAACCGCGTATTAATCCTCTTCGAAACAACCACAAAAGTAAACCTCAAGTTATCACCCGTGTATATCTCCTTTGTTAATTTCTTCTTGATATTCTCCACCTCGTGCTCGATAACGTACGCCATTTGCCCATCGCCCACGCCGTCTCTGTAGATCAAAATTCTCTCGGGGAACGTGCCGTTCACCTCCTTGTACTTGTGACAGGCCAGAATCAAGAAAGCGGCGATGTTCTCCGACAGTTCCTCCTCCAACGAATGCTCCGACGTCAGGTTAAAGTACCGCGTCATTTGCTTGTTGAGACTGGCCACCATTCCGGCGAAGGATTTGCCCTTCTTCGTGGTGTCCCTGCACACGTCGTAACCCACCACCATCAAATTGGACAGCGGCATTATCACGGACCAAGGGGCGCCTCCCACCTTGCAGTTCAATTGTATGGCGATCTTGGTGGCGATCGACATTGCACCTTAAACAGAACAATTGTCATTAGTTGTTTGAAATGAGTAGTACCTAGACTCTAGTAGACCAAACCTATAGATGTTTTTGTTGAATTGGCGATTCTGGGAATTATTTTTAGTTTCTTCGAATAAACAGATGGCGCTGCAGCTGCTTTATTCAGTCAAGAAAAGAGACATGGCAACACAGCATCGTCGAAAAACGTGTGATTTACCAATGTCAGCGTTTTGAGCGTTTATTGTCAGAAGAGATTTTGCATTTAATAAGTTATTTTATTTTGTTTGTAGTAATATACAGGGTGTTTCATAAGATGATTTTTTTTTTAACTGCGTATAGATCTTTTAATTTTAAGCAACTTTTTCAAGTAAAATTATTTAATATAAAAGACCTTATCTTTCGACAAGGAATAACCCATTAAATTCTTTCTCAACCATTTGTTTACACCCTGTACTTAAACAAACAAAACCAATAAAAAAAGTAATCATTGGCAATGTGACAACGTTGTGTTTAGTACATTCGAATTTGTAGATGTCGCTTTATAGCTTTAAAATTGTGCCATTGAGTTATGCATCTATATTGTTTGGTCTATGGAGTAGTATATGTACCTTTAGAGGAGAATTGCTTGGAGAGTACGACTTGCGAAGGTACTCCTCTATCGACGCAGCACTTCTTCTTAATGGCCGAGTACCGGTCGGCCGAGTTGTTCGGTACGATGCACATGATCATGTTGGGATTGTTCTTCGTGATGACGCTCTCGATGCACTCCAAGTAGGAATTGGCGCGATCGTCCGGAATGTCGAAGATCCTCGGCTGGCCGATGTCCCATTGGAAACCGCGCGAAACTCTCTGCAACATTTGCACGAAATCGCTGCACTGGTTCGCGAACTTGCCGGGACAAACCACGGCGAATTTCGGTATTTTCACCGCAGAGAACATCTGCAGCGATCGCAATTCCCTGGTCCACTCGGCGTTGGGACCCGACGATAGCTTCACGTTGTTACCTAAGTAATATTTAGATGATTTAATCGAAGCTTTAGTTGTATATTCGTAATATATTTACCACCCAAAATAGCTTCAGGCGGCATCACTCTTCCTTTGAATCTGATCAAAGTATCAGCCAATTTCATGTCCCACGATTTCAATTGCTCCACGGCCTTGGGGCATCTCCTCAGCCTGCTGCTGAATTCTTCCAGTTTGCGGATCCTCTGGGCGGGCCCCACGCGCGTCTTGTCGCCCATGGCTCTCATCAATTGGAAGTTCTCGCGCTGTCTATCGGTCAATCCTGTCAACGTACACAATTCTGGCACCAGTATCACCAGTTCGGGCATACCCGAGCGAATTTCTTTCGGTTTGCTTCTCGAAATCAACAGCGGCTGATTCATAGCCTGCAAAAATACTATTAGCTATGTAAATACCAAAATAAATATACGTACTTGTATGCGAATGTTGTATTTTTCAATATAATATTGAGCAAATGTAATCTCCCTGCCGTCCTTCAATTTGAACGTGCTGCTCGGGGTCAAATTGAAGTCTACGTCGTCGATGCGATAGGTTTTGTTGTTGTAGTAGGTCAACACGATGCTACCGATGATCCTCGATTGGAACTCCTGACGGTTCCTCGACGAACGACACTCCAAGAACATGTCGTAGCAATTGTCCATGCGCATCACTTTGAACTTCAACTCGCAATTCAACAGCAACTGGCCTTCGTGTTGGCGTATCGACGTGAAGAAACCCGGCCAGAGTTCCAGCTGGTGGTCCGGAATGGTTTCCTACAAAAACGCATCATCGAATAAACCACATTCTACAACAATCGTAGACTATTTCCGCTCGGTGCATTGATCAAACGAACCTTCAACTGTGGATCGAAGTAGTTGTCTTGTATCTTCTTCAAATCCATGAACTCCAACAGGTTGCGCACGAGCCTGTTGAACACCTGTATGTAATGGAAGTCGCCCCACTTCAATTCGCCCACCGATCTCAACGTTATGCGAACCTTCTCGCCGTTTTCGAGATCCACGAACTTCTCCATCGGATCGGGTTGGAGGTGAGCGGTCGTGTACAGCACGGTGCCGTCGAACAGATATCCCTTGACGACTTCTCGCATCGCTTGGTGCAACAGCCACTTCTTCTTCGGCGTGTGATCGATTTCGGGGTTGTAATCGACCCTGTACTGTTGCAGCACGAATTTGCCGGCTTGGATGATTTCGAAGTAGTTCGATATGAGGTTGATGCTGCTACCCGCGGTACCTGCGATTCGTTACAACGTTAGAATTAAGCCAAACGATAAACTTATTTCTTCGTTACCTTGTTTGGTAACTAGATCTTTGGGTCTGGTGTGGATGATTTCGCTTCGCAAGTTCCTGCCTCGGACTCCTCCGTTACCACCACCTCTGACTTGAGCTGTGTTCCCGCTGTCTCCTCCGGCACGTACAGCTGCGAAACAAGTTTAATTTTGAATATTTAATCGATTTAAAATGCAAATAACGCTTACTACCTCCTTCATGTTCAACCTCCATTGGCATTTGATGAGCATCGCCGCCACCCAACCGAGTACCCCTTCCGACAGACTAAAAAATTAAACCAAACACAGCTTAATTACATCCATTCGAACGCTTATTTTATAAACTTACAGCCGTAGGAGTGGGCATTTGGGGCCGGACCCACTGCGTGGGCGCTTGGGCTTGCAGGGCCGGATTCGGAGGCTGCTGGGGCCCCATGGGGCGGCTCCACGGATCGCCGGGGCGGATTCTCTTTTGGGCAGTGGCCTGGCTGGTTCCGGGGGCAGATAGGGTCTCGGCGCCTTGCGGAGGGCCTCCCCTTGCTCTGCCCCGGGCTCTTCCCTTACCTCTAGGCTCCATGCTTCCTTAGTTCTGGCGAAAGAAGAGTTAACCGTTGAATCGTTCGAATGACAAGATTTGGAAGGTTTTACGTTATATTATGAGGCTTGGGTGTTAAATTAGTACATTAGAAAAGCTTATGTTGCATAAAAGTAATGTTAAAGTAATGGAATGTGTCAGCAAAAACTATGATTGTTTACCCAAACGTGAATGTAATTAAATTTGCAAAGTTGCAAGTTGCAAAACGTACCAAGTCAAAATGGTGGATTTTACTATACTAAACCTAAAAAGCGTTCTTTTTCTTTGTTCTTCAGCAAACCCGATCAAAGTGGACAATCGCCGGCGGAGTCTTCGATAAAAATGAACGAAAAACGGAAGGAAATAAAAGCGAAAAAAGCCGCTCAACACCAACGCCAACCTGCTGAACTACGCTTTTTTGCATGGAAAATCGGAACGAAAAATCTACTTTTCCTTTTCTATGGCAGTTTGATTTGACAATTGACAGTTTGACACGTTACCAACTTAACTTAACATCGTACAGTATCGTTAAACGCCGAAGAGAATTCGCGGCGTTGCCATATTTACATTTAATCCTGAAAAAGTTTTTGTTAGGGATTCTGATCGGTTTGTGTAAAGAAATTAATCGAGTCTATTTTTTTATAAAATCGAAAGTTATTATTTTTAGATTCCTTATTAAAATAGAGAAATGATGAATTTGTGTACTTGTTCATATTACGAACTTTTTAATAGTTTATTTAATAGAACGTCTACAGATAAGTGCAAATAAGTACTCAATATACTCTATGCAACTGGGTGCAACAAATATAACTTCCATTAGATACTTATAAAGAAAAAAGAGATTACAACTCTTTCACTCTAGCTAGTGTTATGTTTCAATAATTTTTCTTTGTTCAACTCATACAATTGACCATATAATATACATATTTAACCATATTTTCCAACTGTTATATTGGAAACTTTTACAGCACTTATGTGTATATCAAAATTACCTTGGAAACCATCTGTAGAATGCAAATAGCCAAAGCACACAATCGACAATAGTACATACTAATTAAGCGACATCATTAGCTAACGCAACAACAATAAAACACGGTTAATTTAATACAACTCCATTAATATTCGACCCTTGATCCAACTCCAAGCGTTCCGATATTAACAATCTCGTCCTAATTACAACTCCCCTCGTATAAATAATCCAATGCGACCATCAGCAAATCGAGCGGTCACACCAACTTGTTACAAGAGAAAGTTTACACGAATCGCCCGAAATTAATCTACCAGACTAGCAGTACTTTAGTATAGCGGGTACCACGAGAACCAAAGAAAAAAACTTTAAAATGAAATCTTTAATCGCCTCATTGGTCCACGGAATCGAGTGTTACTAGGTGAAAAAAAAACCAACGTTAAATTTTCGGATCAAAGCGCATTTCGTTTGCGTCACGGCACGAGGTACCGAATGAAAAGTATTACTGTTCTACCTGTCGGTCGTACCTGTTGAATAATAAATTCGTCACACAACAAATTATAATAAATACGTTTGCTCGTCGGTAGCCAAAACGAAAAGAAACGCGTGCGAGAGACTAGAACCTTGAGTGGCTAGTATAAGTGCAAATCGTCCACAACAAACTGTGATATATTTCCCAAAATTATTATAAAAAAAATAATAATAATAAAACATCGTAATTTTATACGCGTTAAATTACCTGTTTGTTCTAATTGGGTGTACTCCGCCAGGCGATAGATAAGATAACGTAGATAATATGACACTGTGTAGTTCGATATACCCGAAGTGAATCACCTTATTCGAACGCGCCCGCGGATCGCCGTGTGATATTCGTGCAGGTGTTTTCGGCGAAATATGTGGAAATATAAAAAGTGCCTTCGAAACAATCTTCGTTAAAAGATGCCCTCGGGCGGTAGAAGGACCGTCGAAAACGGGAGCCTCGCTCTCGACAGCGTCGTGACCACGCAACCCGAGCTGGGGCCCAGCATACCGGACGGCGGATACGGCTGGCTCGTTTTTCTCGCTACCTTATTCTTTCAGGTACTGCATGCAATAATTACGAATTTTTTTTTGGATGAAATCGTTGTGATATTATTGATGAGCGCGTTAAGTTTCCTTTTGCGGTGATTTTGTATCTTGATAAGTTTTATTTGTGAATATGTCGAACGCTAAACAAACATCGAGGATGATTAGAGCAATAAAAATAAAAAGCGGTGTTATTAAATTGCTGCAACGTATGTACGAAAAATTCGAAGCGTTCGAAACTAGGTGTATTGTAGATAAGTTTTAAAATGTTTGTTTGCGACATATCTGGGAGAATTTCGAATACGAAACATTTTAATTTTTCGGTTAATGATGTATACAGGATGTTCCAAAAACGTTGTGCCGAACCTAAGGAGGTTATAGGGGACACTGCGGTGAACGATTTTTGCAAAGATCCTATTAGTCAAAAATGAGCCGTTTTGGCTGCAGAGTAATTTTTGTATAAAAAGTTGATCTTAACTTTTTGAATGTAAAAAACGGTAGAATGTGGTTCCAACATGACGGTGCACCGGCACATTTTGCTAGCCCTGTTCAGGATGACCTAAACCAACAATTTCCTGCGCGATGGATTGGAAGAGGAGGACCTATTCGGTGGCCACCGCGAAGTCCCGATTTAACCGCATTGGATTTTTTTCCTCTAGACACCCAAGAAGAATTGTTAGGAAAAGTATTGGCTGCCTCTTTTCAGAGATTCAATTTATGTAATGAAGTAGAAGATCGCCATTTTGAATCCCTGTTGTGATTCATTCTAAGTATTTGTAATTAAAAATAATAAGATATTGACGTTTTTTACATTCAAGAAGTGAAGAACAACTTTCTAATCAAAAATGACTGTAGCCAAAACGACTCATTTTTAACTAGGGGTATCTTTGCAAACATTGTTCACCACAATGTATCCTATAACCTCCTTAAGTTCTACACAACCTTTTTGGGACACCCTGTATTGTTGTGTGTATTGAATTAATGACAATACAGGGTATCCCAAAGAAAAATAGCCCATTTAATGAGTGTATAATTTTATAATAAAATAAAAGAAGATGTCCTATTTCATAAAATGTGGTTAATGTGATTTTAAAAGAAGGGATTTTAATGAAGCAACCTGTACATACAAGCCATACAAAATTTTTGTGTCACTGTAACAAAAAGTTATAGCAAAATAAAACATATTTGAGAAAACCGCATGTTTTATGATTAGGCGTTTAAAAATTATTAACTCACAAAAGGGGCTACTTTTCATTGGGACACCCTGTATTATAAAATATTCATGTATTATTAAATTTTGTTTGTGGTTTCGCTACAATAGTCGCGTGAAAATTAACGATACAAACTGGACAAAGTTAAAAGTGAACAATTTCGCGTTGATGTTATAATTTAATTTTTGCATTATACTGAGTGTCCCATGTTTATTTAGTTAAAGCGTATTTACAAAGTCTCTTATTCTTTACCAAAGCGAAAAAAAGTTAAAAATAATAACATAAAATTGACATTTGTAAAGAAATTTGTCATTAAACCCAGACAAACTCAATACTTCGAAATCAAATTTACATTTTTTTAAGTGAAATGTTTTAATGGCGTTTGAATTAAAATTAGCTTATATCACTGAAAGCAAGCTATTTTAAGATTATTTATGCAAAATAAATTAAATTAATTAACTTAAAATTAAATAAACACGTACTTGTATGCGAATGTTGTATTTATCCATGTAATATTGAGCGTATGTAATCTCCCTGCCGTCCTTCAATTTTAACGTACTGCTAGGACTCACTCCGATGATCCTCGGTTGGGACTCCCGGCGATTCCTCGACGAACAACACCCAAAAACCATGTCGGAACAATTGTACAAGCGCTTCACTTTGAACTTCAACTCGCAATTCAACACTTATGAGTATATCAAAATCACCTTGGAAACACCCTCTAGAATGCAAATATCCAAAGCACATAATCGACAATAGTACCAATTAAGCGAGATCATTAGATAACGCAACAACAATAAAACACGGTTTAATTTAATAAATTATTAAATTAAATATATACAGGGTGACCCAGGGTCGCGTTAAAGTCCCATAACTTTTTACCTAATTGAGATATCGACTTGATTTTTTTTTCAAAAGGTAGGTACAATAATACTGCATATTATTAAAATAGTTTCGTCTATATACAGGGTGGCTCAGTATTAGAAATTCACTAAAGTTACCTTTTTTTTAATGGAACCCCCTGTATATTATAACATTTTTGAACTCTTTAGTGAATTTTAGTGTGACTTTATGTACCATACATTGTACCTAAAACCAATCGTTTAGTGGTAATTCGACATTTTCGAAAAAAGTAGAGGTTTGAAAAAAAATGAATATTGCCGCTTTTGTAAAACTTAGAAGGTCGTGACTCTGGGTTATTAGTAAACATGAAATGTACTACTGTGTGACATGGATTCAGAATTGAATACTGTTTGTGTTCTTAGATATCGATAAGCAAATTTACAAAATTTCAATTAAAGGTAACTTGATTTTTTTAAATGAAACTACCTACTTTTTTGTACACCATCTTGTAGGAAATTTTATTGCCTTTCTAACGATATAATATTGTCAATATTTTTACCTGCTAGTTTTCTTTTAATTCCGGAATTTCTTATAATTCTGACAAACCTCGTATACGACTGAAAAAATTAGATATCTGATGATTGTATTTTAGGTTTTAAAACATGCAGAACTTTTTATGAAGAATAACTTTTTTTCGTAAAATTAATAATAAAAAAAGTTTTCCATATGGTGCGAACTTAAGTAGACACACTGTATTTGAGAAAACCGCATGTTTTTTTGATTAGGCGTTTAAAAATTATAAGCTCGATAAAAGAGCTACTTTTTATTGGGACACATTAAATGTATTCCCCTGCTTAATATTCTTCCTAATTTCAGTATTATATTAAAAAAAATATATTTGAATTGTTCCAGGCTTTAATACCGAGCCTGACAGTGAGCTTCGGAATATTTTTGGCATTCTCAAGATTGACTCAAATAACAAAAAGTGATATCGACCCGACATTATGGGACGACGATTTTATGTATGCACCCTTATTATTTATTACTTCTTGGACAATATTCGGTAAGTACTTGCAATATCTAAATACATTGAATTTTGAATTTTTTTACTGATCAATTTCTAACAAAGTAAAAGGCCAACGGTTATAAAATCCAAAAGGTTTGGAAAGCCCTACAGTTTACCAAGAAACACTCGATACAAAACAGATGTAACAGCTTTCAAAAGAAAATATTTCACTTTACCAGAGGGTATCCATAAACAGTACCCCTTGTACAGGGTGTCCCGAATTTTACCAACAGCACTTCGTCTGCGCATATCTAGTAGACTCGATTGTATGACGAAAGTTCTATGTTACATTAGATCTCAAAAATAAGGTTGGATACGACATAATTAAATAAAGTAAAGTCTGGGACATCCCGTATATTATCATAATCATAAAGACTTCCGAAGGAAACAATTAATTTATGTACCACGATAATAATTATCGAGTTTTTTGCTTTGTAAGCAATTTATTGTACAGTATGCACTGTATGGTTGACGCGATAAAAAAATTCTCAAGTTTCCGCTTTAAAATCTTGAATGAATGAAATTCATTATACAAGTCAAAACAAGTCCTGGCCGGATAATACTCAATACCCACATTGCTGATAACACACTTTTTTTGATAACACCGCAAGTTGATAACTAAACCGTTGGCGGTCAACTACGAGATAACTCGTAGATTGCGTTCTTATCTTTTCTAGGACGCCGACTACGAGTTATTTCGTCAACGAATTAAGGGGGGAATTTGAGAGAAATGGGAAAAATAATAAATTATCTTTATAGCAAATTTGGAATTTTTTTTATACAGTGTGTCTACTTAAGTTCGCACCATATGGAAACTTTTTTTATTATTAATTTTACGAAAAAAAGTTATTCTTCATAAAAAGTTCTGCATGTTTTAAAACCTAAAATACAACCATCAGATAACAATTTTTTTAATCCGTATACGAGGTTTGTCAAAAAAATGTGTTTTTTTGCTCAAGAGTAAAATACCTTTATTTTTGAAAATATCGGAAATTGTTATTAAGAAAAGTTGATCAGGACTAAAAATTACGTTCAAATATGTAATTACATCCAATTATAAGTAAGTAATCTATTTTTCTTCTTTAAACTATCAACACTTAGCAATGTTTTTATGTAGTCGATAATTAATGTAAAATAATTTATTTTGTTATCATTTATTTCAATGCATAATCAAACTAATTTCCAATATTTTCAAAAATAGATTTACTTTACTTTTGAGCAAAATTCATATTTTCTGACAAACCCCGTATACGACTGAAAAAAATAGATATCTGATGATTGTATTTTAGGTTTTAAAACATGCAGAACTTTTTATGAAGAATAACTTTTTTTCGTAAAATTAATAATAAAAAAGTTTTCCATATGGTGCGAACTTAAGTAGACACACTGCATTTATGTTTTGTTTTTTCTAAATTTGCTATTTTACAAAACTTAGAAAAAACAAAACATAAATATGTATAAAAAAAATCCCAAATATGCTATAAATAAAATGTCAAGTGTCACTTCCATAGTCGACTAGAGAGTTTAATTAAAAAAATTGCAATAAGACATGGTCAAAAAATTCATTGCCAAAAGTGTGCTATGGAATACAAAAATGCAAGTTTTGGCGTCTACCGGTAAAACGTGTTTTAATACAAATTTAAATAAACCCGTAATCCACAAAATAACGAACTTTTTAATACTTCAATACTTAGTTAATTCTAAAATAACAGAACTTATTAAGCCACCATAAATAAATCATAAATATTATAAATTCTAAATAAATCAAACAGTTTGTAAGAAAACCAACAAAGATAAATCGAACATCGAGTAAACAAGAATTAAATCCAATTGACAGACGTTTAGATTAATAAAATAATTCCATAAACGGAACATTTTTAACGTAATTGATAAAAAAATCTCAAGTACTTACATGGCAAATGACAAACGACTTGTTTCAGATCCTACTTCACGATCTCTGATCTCCACTAGCACGTGGCCAAGACTCGTAGCAACTGCAGGTACTTGCCTAACATGCGCAGGTCTCCTGTTCCTGTGGATGGGCCTAACGGAATATGGAGGTGGAATTTTGTTTTCCCTCGCCGGAATCGCTTGCGGTAAACAAGATTTGTGCTTTTCGAGCGCTTTTATTACTGCTCGTTGGCAGCTTTTATTCTACGAATGATTTAATTTGATACGATCGTTAAGGTCAACAAGGTGGGAATTAAAAAGGGGCCGGGTGCGCGTTTAGGTCGCAGTAGGCTGGATTTTGACAGGAATGACGTTTGTTTAAAAAATTATTTGACGTAATGAAATAAAGTAGGATATTAAATAAAAAAAAAATGTTTATTGAATAATTTAAATGTAATTATTAATGTGATTTAAAAAAACCTCTAATTTACGATCCAGCAATTCTACAGACAAGTGCTAATTTGTACTCAATATAGTGCCTATATGAGTGCAACAAAGACAACTTGCATTATAGTCTCATATAAAGGAAAAAGAAAGCGATATTGTGGGTTTGCAACTTTGCTGCATTTTGACAGTTTGACAGGAATGACGTTTGTTTAAAAAAATTATTTCACGTAAAATGAAAAAAAAGTATTAATGTCATTTCTAAAGAAACTTCTAATTTACTATCCAGCAGTTCTACAGATAAGCGCAAATTTGTACGCAATTATACTCTGTCTATGGGTGCAACAAAGACAACTTGCATTAGTCTCATATAAAGAAAAAAGAAGGTGATATTGTGGGTTTGCAACTTTCTCGGTCTCACCACTGTTATTTTAATAGTCCTTTTTTGTTCAACTCATAGAGCACTACATTCAACTTGAATTGGTACCTTCTAACAAATTACACCTTTCAACTTTTTTGAAATTTTCATAAAGGTGTTGGAGCATCGATCCAAACCTCCCAATGCGAAATACTGCTGGCCCAATACTTCCGAATGAAGCACGGAATCCTAGTCAACATCAGCCAGGCCGTGACGGCCCTGGGCTTCGTCGTGACCCCCATGGTTCTGGGGCACTGCATCCTCGGCACGAACCTGTTCAACGTGCTCCTGTGGTACCAAGCGGTCATCCTGCAGGGATTGATCTGCAATTTGGTCTTCAAGAAGCCCGTCTATTTGAAATCCAAGCACGGCAACAACTACAATTTCGTATCTGTATGTATACATAATTGATGAATATGTAGTACTAATAAATATTTCTCCTCAGTCGAATCCTGACGATGAAGAGGACATCCTCTCCAAGAACGCCAGGGAGCTGCAGATTAAAAGACAGAACAGCACGGGCAGCGATGTGACCATAGAGAAGCACAAAATATCCACCTCGGCTGAGCAGAAAACTGATACCGCCGGTACCAGCAACGGTTCGCTCAGAAATTGGGTGTCCTTCAGCGAAGAGGAAGCCGCCGGTAGCAAAAAGTACGACGTCCTGCAAGAGGACTGGGAGACATTCGACGAGGAAGATGTCGAGCACGAACCAAAGACCAAAGACTGGGTGAAATTCGACGACGAACCCAAACCGGTCGCCAAAAATTTGCAACTGGAACTGTCGTTCGCCGAAGAAAGAGACCGCGCAAATCCCGTTACTAGTAAGTACTACAGCACCCGGTGATTCCCTTATAATCTTCATATAGTTTCAGGTATAACGAACACTCCGATGCCCCTTTTCACCGACTCTCCAGTCAACAACAACAACACGTACTCCTACGATATGCTCGAGCAAGACGTCGTACCGTCCGGACCGGCCGTTTTCATGCCCACCACCATCGAGAAGTACTCCATCAGTCGATTGGACATCCTCAAGCAACCCACCTTCTACAAATCCCTGTTGACCGTCTTGACCACCAAATTCTCCGCGTTCGTCTACTACATTCTGTTCCCGTTGTACTACTACCAGGAGATGCCCGACGCCACCATGCGGGACATGTCGACGCTCGTCGGGTACGTCGCCATCGGCAGTTTCCTCTTCTCCGGGGTGTCCCATTGGATAAACATCGATAAGAAGAGGCGGCCCGTTTGCCTGTGGGTTCTATGCTGGACCGGGGCCTTCGGGTATTTCAGTAAGTGCTTCGAAGTCTTGCCATCGCTTCGCCGGGTCTATAAACATCTTGCTGTTGCTTAATTAGACTTATTAAAGCTTAGCAAGTGCTTCAGCAAGTCTATTAAAGTCGTGAGATCGCTTCATTAATCTTATTAAAGTCTTGTCATTGCTTCAGCAAGTCAGCAGATCAGTTCAGTCAGTCAGTTCAACAGGTCTATTAAGGTCTTGAGATTACTTCATTAAACTTATTGGTTATGCAATTGCTTCGCAAGTCTTTTGAAGTCTTGCTGTAACTTCATTAAACTTATTAGTTATACAATTCCTTCAACAAGTCCATTAAAGTCTTGTTGCTGCTTTATTAAACTTATTAAGGTCTTGTAATTGCTTCAATAAGTCTATTAAGATAATGAGATTGCATCATTAAACTTATTAAGCTCTTGTAATTGCTTCGTCAAGTCTATTAAGATCTTGTCGCTTCAATAAGCTTATTAATGTCTTGTAATTGCTTCAGCAAGTCTATTAAAGCCTTGCGATTGCTTTGTTAATAAAATGAATAATCTAAAACATTTAATAATTGTGTTATTTGATTCCGCAGTGATAGCAGATTCCAGGACGAAGCAAGTGCTGATATGCGGGGCCATCCAGGTGGTTTTGAGCATATCATCGCTGCAATACATCGGCACGCCACTGTTGGGATTGACCGTAAGGGGGGAAACGAACAAGGAGTTTTGCTTGATAAGCGTGATGAGCGGCTGCGCTTTCGTTTTCTTCGTCATCATCAGTAAGTAATTATGTAGAATTGAATATTTTTAGCCTTATTCATAGTCGTATTTAGTGGCTACTAACACACTATTAACATCCCACTAAAAAAATCGTATTTATAGTTCGTTATTTTTGTTAGTAGCCAATAAATTTCTTAGTGCTTATATATACCAATAGCTAGTTACCAAAGAGGTATAAATCGTCCAAACTTTGGTATCAAACTTACTTGGTCAAAGTGTATAATTAGCTAATAATCATGATTTTTGTTAAATAACGGGTTTCGTCGTAAAAAGTTTTTTGTTTTCCCAAAAATGAGGTTCACTGGAATTTTAACCTTTTTCCCATGACATCACCCATTCAATTCAAATTTTATTCAATTCAATTCAATTCAATTCAAATTTTAAGTTATTTCCGTTGTTGTCGCATTCATTTTTCTGCTAGCATTATTTTAACTAGTGGAAAAGAAATATGCGACTATGAATAGGAATAAACGTTAGTGGCTTGTTAATATGATGTTAGTGGCCACTAACTAGTGGTGTTTTAACATCATTTTAAGGAGGCGACTATGAATAAGGCTCTTTTATGATACCGAGATATTTGTTTAATTGCAGATGCTTCGTTCAAGAACTGCTTCAGGATGATGTCCATACTTCACTTTCTAACGGGGGCGGTGTGGTTCGGAAATTACGTATATAAGAGGAGAGCTACTTAAACTTATACATACATATATTTAACTGTTAATTTTTATTTTGTAAATACACTTTACCGAAAGATGTTGGGATGTTTTGGGTTATTTCAAACCTGCCAGTACGTCCCAAATTGGCTTTTCCTTGGGTTTCATTACGTTAGAGGCTTCGTTATCAGGGGATACTGTTATGTCTGGTTTTGCGCTTGATGTTTCTTCTTTAATAGAATTATTTACATTTACTGTAAAAGGAACGTATTAAAATGATGAAGACACTTAATAAATGCATTTACCATTCACATTATGCTTGAATAAATCCATTAAATTCGTTTTGGGTGGATTATTTAGTTGGTTGCCTCCTGGAAATTAATTAAAAATTAACATATACCATAAAATTCTTACATTATTTACCCAGGAAGATATTTTTATTCGACGTGTTTCCACCTAGGTTTATTTGTTTTGGAGTTTCTTCAAGAGCGTTATTTCCTACGAATAATACCAATGTTATGCATTTTATACGTGACTGTAAGTAGTAAAAATATTTACCTATAACATTATTTTGTTTATTAGTCAATAAATGGAATAAATCTGGTTTAGAATTAGAGTTATTTTGCTCATTGTTCGCTTTATTGGGCACACCATTTAGAGGCAATCCAAGTAAGTCGGTGGATTTCTTGTCTAAAAAAATAGTAATGATTATTAAAAACAATAGTCCATATTTATAAAAATGAAGCATTTATTTTGAGGTAAAAGGTAGAGGCAAAAAATAAGAGTAAAAGGTTCTAAAACCTTATTGAAAGATATTAAAACCTTAAAACCTTTTGCTTTAAAGCAACAGCAGGGTCCTCGAAGCAAGGTTTCTCTTCTCTCTTCTTTTTACGCATATACCTTGAAGCAATTTCTTCATTTTTTTAAAGCAAAAGGTTATACTTCTTTTAATAAATTCGGCCTATTATATGGGAAATTGCAAATTTGTTGCAATATGAGATGAACAAAGAAAGATTATTAAAATAACAGTGGTTAAAGTGAGAAAGTTTCAATCGCCCCACAATCTCGCTCTATCTTTTTCCTTTATAACAGACTAACAGAAGTTGTCTTTATTGTACCCATAGATACCATAATTGCACTTATCTGTATAATAGTATTTACCATTGGAATTTTGTTTGAGAATATCCACCAAAGTAGGCTTCGAAGCTTGATTTCCATCGTTCTTCTTATTAAAATAATCGAATATGGACGGCTTGGAGGTCTCGTTTCCCTTGTCCTTCTTCCCCCAAATATCCAACCCCTGCTGGTTATTACCGTTCTTGAACGCATCGAACAAATGCTCGGTTTTGTTCTTAATATCATTATCAACCTTCAACTTCCACTCGTCGACGCGCTTAAACACGTTCTCCGGCGAGAAATCCCCCAGGTGCTTCTGATCGAAGATGTTAATACCGTTCTTCTGCATCTCCTTGATCTTGTTGATCTGCTCGAACAGCGCCTCCGGCTTCAGGTTCTTCCGCTCGACCAGCCCCCGCACGAACTTCTGCATGTTCTTGAACGACGCGTCCAGCGCCTCGAGGAACTCGCACGTGCTGGTCTTCAACCGCTCGGCGATGTTCAGCCACAGCGCCATCTCGCAGAACTTGAAGTTGTTGGCCAGCGCCGGCTTCGGCCTCACCTGGATGAAGTTGTTCAGCTTGGGCGAGAACGGCAGCACCGGCTTGTCGTTGATCTTGGGGGCGCCGAAGCGCGCGAAGTCCGCGATCATCTGCGTGAAGATCTCGCGCACCCGGAGGTCGTCTTCGGCGAGCTCGTGCGCGTGCAAAGGAGCGCCGTCCAGGTCGTAGGCGTCGAAGATGTACGCCAGGTCGTCGCCGTGGCCTACTGTGTCGTTGGCGTCTGGAAAAACGGCCTTTTACTTCGTAGGAATGCAGTTAGAGATGTGGTTACGTTACCGTCTTCGTGGTGAGTGCCGTTTCCCACTAGAGGGGAGCCGTTCAAGAAGGTGAAGCCTTTCTGGTTCTTTCCGGCGTGCTCGAAGCTGTAGAGGAACGTGGGGGCGCCGTTGGTGGCCCATTTGTCGACCGTTAGGAACGCGGGGACGTTGAAAAGTGCGTCGTCTATAATGGTAAATAAATTAGTAGGCTATTGAATTGTGGGGGGATTTCTTACTGGCATAGCTATCTACTTATAATACTAGATAGTGGATATAGGTAGAGGGGTTCCATGTTTCCAATGGAAGCCATATTGGAAGTAGAAAGTTAAAAGTGTTGCATACATAGTATTATTGATGCCTGGAAAGATTTTTTTTTGATTGTTGCCGTATACTTACTCCTTTTATTTGTAAATTATAAAGACGATTTACAAGGTGAAGCCTTCGTTAAGATCGTTACGCTTTCAGTTAAGATCAAGTATTTATTATCTATGAAAAGATATTCCTTCTTTTAAGTGGTCGCTTGTTTTACACGACATGATGCTACAATACTTTGGTATTATGAATTTACCTACAAAACTACAACACTAATCAAAAATTCCTATCTTACACTAATTCAAAATAACACATAACACTCATAAAACTACACAAAAACACCTAAAAATTTCGGTCCAAAATCGTAAATGAGATATAAAAGAGAAACCTAAAAATGACCACGAAACTTATCATTACTTTTATGACTACTTAAACACCAACGTTAAATGGGTTGCATATTACAACTCTACTACCAATATGGCGTCAGTGGAAGCGGATTTTTTGACTTGTGCATATTCTAGTATTATTATATTTGATTTCTATGCTTACTGGTAATATCGGAGACTTTGTTCAGGGCCGCTTTGATGTTGTTCTTCTGCACTTCCACGTAGTTTTTGAAATTCGGGGGTATCAGTCTGCTGAAGGTGTTCTCCAGATTGGCTACGCCTTTCTTGAAGTCCTCTTTGAACTTTTTCAAATCCGCCTCCCATTTCACCGGAATGGCCTGCTTCAATTTACCCACTAAATCGTTTTGCAGGAAATCAGGAACTTTTTGTATCTTCTCTATCACTTTTTCTCTAATTTGACCTGCAATAGTGATCGCATAGAATCAAACAACCCTTTCAAATCGAAGCTACACATTCACCTTTGACCGCCCTTCTGGTCTCGTCCTTGCATATTCCAGTCAACAGTGGCACTTTGGGATTGTCTCCTTTATCCATCTCGTCCAAGGCGTCCTCTTGGACGAGTCCTGGCAAGGACCTACCGTCGTTTCTCCCTTCCGTAACGGGCGCCGAGCCCAATCCACCTCCCAAACCCCCCATGAATCCGTTACCCCGCAGCCTCGAGAATTCCACCTTAGAATCACCCTGTAACAATATAATTCAGCATTATCCTCGTTTGTACAGGGTGTCCCGAGATACTACGGGTTGTGTCAAGTACCAAGGTTCTTGGGAATTCTAGGATACTGGCTAAAGAAGTACAATTCCTGGCAAGATTCCTCCAGTTGTGCTTACCTTAATAATGGATTCTGGTGGTAAGGATTGCAAACATTTCACCATCGTAAGCGGATCGACTGTGGGGCACCCATTTTCGTCTGCCACGTCTTTTGCTGTGTGTTGAGGAGTGTTATCAGTAGCCCAGTTTGATACAGCGGTTCCAGACATTGCAACTACCCCGGTTATACCTAATTCAAACAAACAACAAACATTTTCAAACAACTCTAACAATCTAATAACTAATCACCTTTAGCTATTTTCGAAAGGGCAACCATAAGCACGCTACTGGCGCCAGTACCATGACCCATCACAACGATTTTGTAGGGATTTCCGCCGAAAAATCCGATGTAATTCCTGATCCATTGCACCGCCAGAGCCATATCCCACAAAGCCACGTTACCTGGAAGGTGTTTGGTTCCCGAACTCAGGAACCCCAAGGAGCCCAATCGGTATTGAATCGTCACCACTACGAGTCTCTTACCCACCAAATGGCGAACCTGCGATGTAAGTTATCTAGTAAATTATTCATTTGATGGGAATTTAAAGGGGGTTACCCCGTATTGGGAGGCCGAGCCGTATCTGAAGCCTCCGCCGTGGATCCACACGACTACCGGGAGGCCTTCGGTTCCCGTGGGTAGCTCGGGGGTGAAAACGTTAAGGGCTAAGCAGTCTTCGCTTCCTATGATCTGTCCGGTGCCGGGGCGGAGTTGAATGCAAGGGGGGGCGAATGCAGTGGCGTTTACTAGACCTTTAACCAGCCTTTCGCGAGGTCTCTATTGAGAAAAAATGGTATAAATTGGGTGAGTAAGGGCGTAAAGGTAGCTGGTACTTACGTTGAATCGATTTTTTCCTGTAGGCGGGTAAGCGTATTTGATCCCTTTGAAAACGTAGTGGGGAAAGTCGCGGACGCCCTGGATTTTGGCGGCTTTTCCGGCGAAATTGGTGAAGATCGTGGGGTCGTCCAGGGGCGGCTCCATCGCGGGCTCGCCTCCTACGATTCTCTTCACCCTGGGGCCCCGTTCGTCGCCCGAAGACAGAGCGAACAGGATGAAGAAGAGTAATATTCGATACATTTCTGCAAATATAAAACTGCTTAGATTATACAATTTATATTAAATACATACTTACCTTCTCCGAATTTGCGCGAAAACTATTATCGGGTATCTATAAAAAAATTATCCGTAGCTCGTACAGGAAGCGACGGGTTCGAAATTGATACCAGATTTCACCCACGTCTTCGCCGACAAGATAATAATAAAATTATTTCAAAAATTGATAATATTTATTAGAATTAAAACAAAATACATACTCCAAAAATACAGGGTGTTAATTAATAGAATGCCGATATTTCAGGATGTGAATATTTAGGTGATTTTAAGAAGAAAAGTTTATATCAATGCATGTCCTAAACCTCTTAGATTTCGAGCTACAGAGAGGTACAATTTTGATATTTTGTTGAAATTTGTTAGGCGTCCATCATGCATGGAAACACTTTTTTTTGGGGGCAGAAATTAATTTTCTACTATTATTAGTGGCGTCCACGTCCGAAATTTCATAAAAATATCTGGAGTAATAAGAAAATTATGATAGAAAACTTATTTTTTTCTAAAACTGTAACACCCTGTAGCTCGAAAACTAAGAGGTTTAGAACATATATTGATATAAACTTTTCTTCTTAAAATCATCCAAATATTCACATCCTGAAGTATCGGCACTAAATTATTTAACACCCTGTACATTTTAAATTCGATTAAAAACGGGTCGACGAAAACTTTCATTTTACACCGTATTCTTCTGAGTCAACGTATCGTTCTCGTAGGTCTCCAGTACGTCTGCCAAATGTTCATTATCACGCGGTTTCTTGAACACTTTCTTGCGATTGCTGGGCTTTTTCCTTTTCGGGGCCGCCGCCTTTTTGGGGCCGTGATCTTGCATCGATCGAATCCCTAAAAATTCATTCATTCAAACGCTGCTTTTTTAACGAATTCGATACATCAAACTGTACACCCAAATCACTATAATACTCTCACTCTCACAATGTAGCTGATTCCCTCTTACATAAGAGGCCATACGTAATGATCGACTATTTTACCTTGTTTATCCAGATATTCCTCGATTTTAGCATCGTCCATTGCATCTACTGCTACCGATCTCCACAGTTTCTGGAATTCTTCGTCAATGGGTAAAGTAGCGGTTCGATCATTGTAAAATAAAACTTTCCTTTTATCCATAGGCCTTGTGATGAATATAATTTCATTTTGGTTTTGCAATATCTGTAACAAATTATACACTATAAAATCAATTTCTAAACTATGTGATAAATTAATTACCCTTAAAGCTTTTTCACTGTGAGGCAAGGATTCTTGTACATCGTCTAATAGAACTCCGCCTAGCCCTTTCAAATCTTGTTGTTTCAACAGTTTCAACAAACTTTTTCTGTCCTTTAATTTGTATTGTGATTTAAATACGAATTTATCGTCGGGGGTGGCTTCTATTTTTATATTATCTTTTAAGGCTTCAGTCTGCAACCACTGTAACAAGAAAACAATGTTTAACGATCCATCTTTCGATGTTCCTGTAATATTTACTTGTTTCACTTTGTTGCCGATATCAAGTTGATTGGTTTCGTCTAATATTTCTTCTAAAGTCAACGGGTGCGTTTCGCCTTCTTGGTGCCTCGTTTTCATGTGCTTGACTATCTTAGCTAATACACCGAAACGGTATTGCGTGCTCCCCGTAGATGTTTTATACCTTAAAATGGTTAATTGAGCTTAGTTTTAGTTGGAAAAATAGAGTTACTTTGTATTCCATATGTAATGAAATGTACTTTCTTGTAGAAATGTATTGAATACGTACGTGTTTATATCGAGTTTAGGAGCGGTGGAAACATTGGACGAAGGTTTAAATTTTTTCTTATCGGCCTTAGAAGGTTCAGATTTGGAGTCTGATTTTTTATTTTCTACCCTGGAAATTACATGAATATAAACTCAATTTATTAGGTAATTAAATAATTTCTTACGTTGGGGTAGTTAATGCTTTCTTCTTGAATAATTCTCTTTCCTTCAATAAGGCAGGATCCATGGTTAATGATTATTGTTATAATCAACTTTCCAAAAAGTTTAACAAATTTACAAATAGAAGTGTCAAAAATTTGTTTTTTGAGGTTATTCTACTACTCTTTTTTTGAACAGAAACGTCTCTCACTTGTTGGTACGTCAGTTACCTATTATGTAAAAATTTGTACATTACATACTTCACAGTATCCTCCGATTCGAGAAATGGAGTTCATTCATTCCTCTTCGATCCCAAAAAACACAAATTTTATAACAATAAAGCTGCAATAAATAAATTGTCATGAATTCTATTTCAGTAACTCAGTGTGACCAACATAAATCACTGACAAAATAGACCTAACTTCACGCTTGTTATTATTTATTGACAAATTCCAATTTTGCTGAAACACCTTGAATAAATTAATTTATCCCGAGCTGATTTTAAAATTTCGAAATGGCATCTGCAAGCAGCACGAGCGCCCGATCTCTGTTCGCCGATTCGAAAATGCGCTTGGCAGATCGAGTTCAAGTAAATGTGAATAACATTTCGTCTCTCGCCAGACAAATAACCAGAGGATCCAAAAGCACGGAGGTAATTCCTTACAAATCTTTCAGTGAACAATATCGTTTTAAGAATAAATTTGTAGATATTAATGCACTCCGCCCGGAATTTCGCCGTTCAAGAACAAGCGATGGAAAACAGCGAAAATAACCTAAAAAAATTGCAAGCGCTCTGCGACAATTTGGACCAACAGCACGATTCCCTGCTGAAATCGGCCCAACAACTCGAAGAAGTCAAAGAGCAAGTGTGCGCTATGCAGCGATAATAATTAATAACCCAGATAAGATACGATTCGAGAAAAAATAATTTGTAGTTAAAAATCTAGTGCAATTTAGTGAATTTCGCGCGCCCTGTTGGCAATTCTAACTTTTTTTGACGTTTATGTAAGTTTCACCGAATAACCTACTCGGGGTCGTTTTGTTTTTATCGGTAGCTTCTGCGACGTTTTTAAAACCCATTTTCGGAGAAAAAGTGCGATGTAAATCGAAATCGTAAGTAATCTAGCGCTCCGATTCCAACAAATACATGCTAAATTGAACTTTATCCGGTGAAAAATCTCGCACTATCCGGCGAAAAATCTAGCACCGATTATGTCGCTCCTGAGGTCCCAGTTCAGGAATTCCATAGCGAAAATCTGCAAGCGCTACCAGCAGACTCAGGCTAAAGTTTGCGCGCCGCCGAGCGCCCCCTCGGGGCCGGTGTTCCTCAACCACACCTGCTTCCCCGACAGGGTGGCAATCAGGGATAAAATCGCTAGATATACTTATGCGAACATATTTTTGAGCGCCAACGAGCTATCAAAAGAGATCACGAAGATTTGCAATGGGCGTACCAACGAAAGGGTGGCTTTTATGTGCTCCAACGATGTTAACTACGTTATATCGTTGTGGGCTATTTGGTTGTCCGGGCAAATAGGTGAGTGAGTTTTTTTTTTGTTTTTATTAGTATTAGGTACCTCAATACTTGGGTAATTGAGTAGATGAGATGCGAAAAGATTGGGTATTTTTCGTTATCGAGCTAGTTTTAATCTTATCTTACGTACGTAAGATAGTGTAAAACAATGCAATGATTATTTGCATAATCATTCTATTTATTTGAGAAAAACAATAATTCGAATCAGTTGAAACTATTATTTTAAACATTTCAATATTATATAATGCAATATTTATTTATATTGTTTTGAATCTTCAGAGTTATTTTCAATATTTATTTACAGAAATTGGATAAATTTAAACTGTTTTTTTTTTTACTCCAACTTGCCAATTTTTTTTGTATAATTTTTACAGCAGTTCAATTTTATTTGGTAAATTTATTCCAAGTCAAGAATAAACTTTATTCCTCGATCATCTATTCTGTTGGACTATTTTTAGCATCGCAGATAGCCATTGCTACATAAATAAACATGTTTTGTTTTTGAAAAACCTAATCATGCGTTCGATTTTTGGAGCGTCACAAATCCTCGTGACATTTCCATTCGAAATTCCTATTACATCTATTTTAATTAAATTTCCAAATTAATTTCAATTACATCTCCAGTTAGAGTACTCCCAAAGAAAAATGTACAAATTGAGATTCTAATGGTTTATAGTAATTTGTCACCTGTCATATTGACATTTATCGTTAGGAATGTGATGGAGGGCACACTTGATTTTTATTTAACATGTTTTGTTTTTGAAAAATCTAATCATCTGGTCGAGTTTTGGAGCGTCGCAAATAATCGTTACAATGCCATTCCAAATTCTTATCATTTGTATTTTAATTAAATTTCTCAATTAATTAGTAATTACAAGTCCGTTTTGAGTACTCCCGAAAAAAAATCTAGGCATTAGTTTATAATAAATGTCATTTGTCACCTGTCATATTGACATTTATCGTTGGGAAAGTTGTAATGTACGGCACACTTGTTTTTTGTTACTAATTCTATTTTTAACGAATATATTCCTTAATTTTCAGCTGTACCTCTCAGTTCCCTTCACCCGAAAAACGCCCTATTGTACTACGCCAACGACTGTCAATCGAAACTGTTGCTTTCTTCGCCGGAATACGTGGAACTGATGAAGAGCGTTTCGACCAACACCGGAACTACGTTGCACGTTCTCGACGATAAATTGAGCTTGAACTGCGCCCAGAAGAATTACAACACCCAAGCCGACTTGGAAGGCGGCTTGCCGTTGAATTTCTACAACGATAGCAACGCCTTGATTTTGTACACCAGCGGCACCACCGGATCTCCTAAAGGTAGTATACACCGATTACTCGATTCGTGACAGCTGTCACAATCGATCCTAATCGATACCAAATCGATTTCAGGCGTCGTCGTGTCCCACAAGAACCTCCAATATTCGATCACGACGCTGCTGGACGCCTGGAAATGGTCGCCGAACGACGTCATTCTGCACACGTTGCCGCTCCACCACGTCCACGGCACCGTCAACGCTCTGCTCTGTCCGCTCTACGTCGGCGCCAAGGTGATTATGCTGAAGAAATTCAACGCGAACACCGTGTGGTCGTTTCTGTTGGGCGTCGGAGCCAATCCGGAGGATCGGAAGACCACCATTTACATGGGCGTGCCGACGATCTACTACAACCTCATCGACGAATACCACAAGGTTTTTAAGGACGATCCCAAGATGGTGGAGCACATTAGGGTCACTTTGAAGAATCGGATCAGATTGATGGTGAGCGGATCGGCTCCTATGCCGGCTACTATACACGACAAGTGGTTGAAGATATCCGGTCATAATTTACTGCACAGGTAATTAGTAATAGGACAAGTGTAGCGTTTGGCCTCTTGCTTAGTGTGTGTTCACTATTTGTACATGTTTGAAATAGATATGGAATGACGGAATGCGGGATGGTTCTTTCGCAAGAGTACGATTCCGAAAGGTTTCCGGGAACAGTGGGAGTACCTCTACCTGGAGTATCCGTGAGATTCGCCGAGGAAGCTGCACCGAAACAAGAACCTAAAATCGTGTTAGAGAGCACCAATATCGACGGGAAGGTTGTATTCAACAAAAAAGATCCCAAACCGAGCGAGGGAAACCTCAAAGGTAATTTCCCTCTTTTCGTTACAACAACAAATTAATGTTTTTAATTAAATTTCCAGGCGAATTGCTGGTGAAAGGAGACGGGGTATTCAAAGAGTATTACAATCTACCGGAGGCGACGCGCAAGGAATTCACCGAAGACGGTTGGTTCAAAACGGGTGACATCTGCGAGTACGACGAGGACGTGAAGCAATTCAGGATATTGGGAAGGAAGAGCGTGGATATTATCAAGATGGGCGGTTACAAGCTGAGCGCTTTGCAAATCGAAGGGAAACTCGTGCTGCATCCGGATATTAAGGAATGCGCGGTGTTTGGCGTGGAGGACGAGAAATGGGGCCAAAGGGTCGCCGCTTTGATAGTGACGAAGCCGGATAAAGAGGTGACGTTGGATGGTATCAGAGAATGGGCCGCTGATAAGATGCCCGGTTATTGGGTGCCGAGTATCATTAAAAGCGTAAAGGAAATCCCTAAGAACGCCATGGGTAAGGTTAACAAGAAGCAATTGGTTAAGTCTATGGATTGAATGGATTGTGTAATTTGAATTTTTTTCTTATCTTATGTAGTCGCTCCTTTTTCACTTCATACTCTTTAGAACAAATTATAGTAAGTTTTTTAATAGTTTTAAGTTTCCAATTTAGATTTGGAGTGTGGTTTTTGTTTAATTTAAGATTAAAGTAAGAATAATGATATTACGTTAAGCTCGCTGGTTTTTAAGCGTTTCTTTTACCTAATTTTCGTTTTTAAAAAAATAAAATGCCAAATTAAAAATCATACTCCAAACAAAAACGTTGTACTGAAAATTTATGAATAGAATTGTTTACGCTTCTTATATTAAGCTAATATCCTTATTGTTTTCAAATATTAATAAGTAAAAGTAGATTTACGTATTCGTCTTATATATCGAACAAGAAACTTCTACATGACTTTAAATTTAAACACTCGTTTTATCTTAAAAAAATATGTAAGATATGCGTACTTACAATTTTAAAACAATGTAATTTTCACACTAAGACTGTATTATTATAATTTCAATGTAAATATAGAGTATTTGTTATTTAATGGTTTTTTACATGTGTATAAGGGCCTTATAGTTTAAATGACAATATAAAGACTGAAATAAAGTAAAAAAATTTAATCACAAAACATAAATTACACTACAAAACGTTTGATAAAATTATAATAGTTATACATATGTATAAAAACATTTTATTTTTGCTTGCTTCTGAAAATGCTTAATCTTCTAAGAGTCCGTGGAGTATAACTCTGATTCTGAAATATAAAAGAATTTTTAAATAAACACACCAAATAAATTCCAGATAAATTTGTAAACTACAATTCAAACACGTCGAATCGATAATGACCTCAATTCGGCCTTTCATGCTCGAGAAATAATTACAAAAAAACACCCTTATAAAATTCCAAAAAACCAGATCACTTCCCCCCATTAAAAAAAACGTATGAATAGACGACAATCACCTCAAAACTTCACCCAGTCGATTTCTTCGTGTCCCTTTAACTAGCTCTAACAAATCGATAATATCTAAAAGCGGCTAGCGAAACCAGCACCAACACGCTCAAATTCCTAGTGTAATTCCACACGGCACTAAGCACACAATCCCCGAAGCACCACAGCCGTATCTCAGAATATCTCAAACAATCCCTACACAACTCCCTTCGATAAGCGCAGTAAGGATTTTCGAGCAGATAACAACGGCATTCGAGAATCTGAGAGAACCATTTTTTTGAAAAAGAAAATAGCCAAGTTAATAGAAGCGTTTAAACAGAATGTTACGGTAAAGGTAGTATTAGAGTCGTGCAGAAATAGCAAAAAACAAACAAATATATCGTACCTCAGAATTGTCCCTGTCCCTCGTACTGCTCTTGCTCATAAATAAAGCTTTTATTCTATTAGGAGTCATTTTCTTGGGCGTCGCGTTGTGTTCCCTCAACGGTTGAACCTCGTTATTCTGGAGCGAAGATCTTCCACCATTCTTGCTCGGCGTAGGAGGTCCCGGTTTCTTGTACGAAGTCGTACCAAAGTCTTTCTTCTGTCGCGGTTTTTCCCCGGGCAGTAATCTGCTCGAGCTGTCGTTCAGTTCCACGTTGCCCTAAAATAATCATACAAAAAACCATTAATAAGGACACGTAAAACTGGCCACATAGGGAAAATTAAATAGAATGTTATTTAAGTCGATACTTTTGGGTGTCACGAGACATCCTGTACAAGCAACGCGCAGAAATTGCAACAGAGGGAGAGAAGATAGTGAAGAAAAGTGGGAATTTACAAAAGGTAGCTAATGTCTTGATATGTAAAAGGCCACATGTACATTTTCTGGTAGGCCAAAAGGTTACTACTTCCGACACACCCTGTAGTTTATAGGCTTAACCCTCCTAACACCCGGAGCAACAAAGTTTGCTGTCCCTTCCAAACAAGTTTCGAACCAAAAAAAAAAAAATACCTTAATATCCTCCTCCTTGAACTTAGTAGGCGTAAGGAACTGCATCTCGGCGGGATAGGAAGACTTCAAATGCGGCGGTAACATGGAATTCCTCCAAGTCAGCTCGGAGAATCGATTGATTTTCGATTCTTCAGAGGGTACCGTACACTTGCCCGCCTTCAAATCGGCCAGATATTTATTGTTGAAATCGTCGTCTTCGTCCTCCATTTCCATGTTGGGCACGCTGTTGATCGATCGTCTCCTCGTCATCGTGACGATCTCCTCGAATTCGGCGAAGTTCTGGCCGTGTATCGTCGACAACCTGCCGCCCGTCCGGTCGATGTTCAGGCTCTCCCTGTAGTTGTAGTTCGGCAGCGTCGAGGTACTTCGACCTGGAACAATAAAGAAGAAATAAAGAGGTTTGTTTGGTTACATTTTAATTCTATTCGCAACAATTGTAGGGACGTCCTGTATAACAACGGGATCAGAGATGAGTCGATTGGATTGGAAATATTTTGGGAATGTCATTGTGATGTTTTCGTTGAAAATGTGAAATGTAAATTGTGAGATAAAAGCGAATATTATATCGTAAGTACTAGAATCCAGGAAATGTTGAGTAAATTAATTTCCTTCATTGTTATTTCTAGGTTTCTAAAGTTCTAGAGGTTTCTTAAGAAAAGTAGATGGATTATCGCAAGATGAAAATGTTAGCTAGGTATAAGGATGTTTTCAAATAAGCAGATTGTGGATAAAGAAATGTGAGAAACAAGAAATGTGGAAATAAAGAACAAAGTAAAAACTCTCCAAGGAAGAGTAGGAAAAATATAAAAAATAAGATTTCAATGCAATGTCAATAAGATCCTGATGCAGAACTATACGATATAGAATTAGTTACATTTACTCATAAGTAAATCTCTCCAAATTTTGTTACAATTTTTGTATCTAGTTGAAGTACCAGTTATAAAATAAAGCCAACATTACAAGTACAACAAACTAGTACAACTCGCATAGCACTACTTTAACTTCAACGATATTAAAAAATATATATACGCTTTTATTTCACTACATTTATAAAATAATTACAAATAGTTATCGTTAAAAAAGTAAACGCCATAATATATATACCTTTTTTGATCATTTGTACCGATTCCCTTCGTCCCAAAACGTCCCTGTCCAATCCGATGGATCGCAAGGATGTTATACTGCCCCTTATCGAACCGACATCTCTATTCCTGAGCGTCACGCTCGATTCCTGCTGCGACTGCAGGCTCCTCTGCGAACCGCCCGATTCTTTCGTTTTCTCCAATCTGGTTTCCAGCAGGAATATCTTCTCGTTGGCCTTCAGCAAGGAGGCTTGCAGCTCCACTATGGTCCTCACGTGGTCCGTCTGTAATGTTTTTATTCATTAATTAGTTTAATATACGAGTACTCTACTCTATTCTGAATTTAGCCTGATTCTACTCTGAATCTGCTCTGGATCTACTCTAAATCTACTTTGCATCTATTTTGAACTTGCCTGATTCTATTCTAAATCCCATTACAAATCTGCTCTGGATCCATCCCGAAACTATCCTGAATTTACTCTAGATCTATCCTAAATCTACTCCGAACCTCCTCTGGATCTACTCCACTTTAGTCTTATTCATTATTAAAATATACTCTATTCTGAAACTAGCCTGATTCAACTCTGAATCCACTATGAATCTGCTCTAGATCTACTCTGGATCTATCATAAATCTATCCTGAATCTATTCTACACCTAGCCTGATTCTATTCTGAATCTGCACTGGATTTACTCTGAATCTGTCGCTAAATCTACTCCGAATCGCTCTGAATCTATTGAATCTACTATGAATCTTTTCTGAATCTAGTCCGAATATAGTCTGAATTCAATATGAATCTGCTCTGGATCTATCCTGAAACTATCCTTGATCTATCCTAAATCTACTCCGAATCTGCTCTGGAAATACTCTAAATCTACACTTCATCTATCCTGAATCTGTTGATTGGGTTGAAATCTATATCGATTACTATTCACATCCAACGACTTACATTTTCACTTTGTCCCACATGGACCTTCTGCATTTCCTTCTTGATCTCGTCCCGATAGAGTTGCAACTGAAATTCCATCATTAATCTAACAAATCCAAACGAAATAATACAACCGTTCACTCACCATCTTCGCCTTCATCTTCTCCAACTTCTCCTCGTGCTCCGCCCTCACGGCCTTCACTCTCTTATCGGCCTCGTCCCGCTCCTTCTTCAGATACCCCACGAAATCTTCCCGATCCCTCGTCCTTTTATACTTCACCGTATCCACTTCGGTCTTCAGCTTGTTATTCTCTTCTAGCAACTTATCGCGCGCGTCCTTCGCCTCGCCCAATTGCCTCGACTTATCGTCGATTTTCCTGCGCATATTGGCGGCTTCTAATTCAAGTTTCTTGTTCGAATTGACCACGGTCACGTAGGACTCCTGCAGGTTCTGGCTCTCCTTATCGAGCTGCGTTCTGAGCACGTTGTTTTCGTGCTCGGCCGATTCGATTCGCCTCATCAGCTCGTTTTTAACGTCGACGGCGCCTTGACGGGCCAGCAGCAGACTGGCCTCGGTTTCTTTCATCTTGCGCGTTTGTTCTTCCATTATCTCGTGTAATTCCTTCTTGGCTTTTTGCAGCTCGTCGGCGTTGGTCGCTAGTCGGTCGGCGAGTTTGGTTTTGTCGCGCGTCAGCTCGTCGATTTCGCCGGTTAGGTCGTTTAGGGCTTGGAGCAGTTGCATTTTTTCTTCGGACATGCAGTCTATGGTCTGCATCATGTCGGTTTTCTCCTGGGACAATCGGTCTACGATGTCGAAGATGCCTTTGTTTTCGTCGGAGAGCTTGTCGAGTAGACCGGAGGTGTCTTCGAGCTGCTTCTTGAGGTCGGCGCAGTGCGCTTCGAGAGTGTCTACCTTGTTGGTTTTCTCTTCTAGGTCGTTCAGGAGGGTGGGGAGTTTGCCGAGGAGTTCGGCGTTTTCGTCGGTGAGGCGCTCCACTTTTTGGGCGAGGTCTTCGAGGCATTGGGAGTTTTCGTGGTTGTTTTTGAGCATGGTTTGCATGCGGTCGGACAGGTCGGCTTTCTCTTGGGAGACGCGGTCGAGTTGTTGGGAAAATTCGGCTTTGGATTGGGACAGTTGGTCGATTTGCTGCAACAAATTGCGGTTTTCTTCGGCGATTGTTTCGCGTTGTTGCGAAAGCGCGGCGTTTTCGGCGGACAGCGTTGCCAGGTTTTCTTGTAGAGTTTTCGCTGAAATTGAGAGCTGGCGATTTTCTTCGAGTTGTTTAGCAATAGAACAATTTTCTTCATTCAATTTTTCCACTAGGTGTGCATTGTGCGATTTGTAATCTTCCAATTGCTTCGATACGGATTCGTTTTCGGCCTTTAACGTTTCAATTAATGTAGAATTTTCTTCGTTAATCTTCTTGTATTCCTCGGATTGTTCGAGCAGATTTACGATTTGCGCCTCGCACTTTTCCAATTCGGATTTGAACTTATTAATTTCCTGGTTATTTTTGGATTTATCGAATTCCAAATCGTGAGCAAGCTTGCTTATTTCGTGCTTTAGATCATTCGATAGATCATTGGCTTGATCCAGGTGCTGTTCGAGGCCCTTTTTCTCGTTGAAAACGTCCCGTACCTTCGATTCCACGTAAGTCAGATTATTTTGTAACTCGTTAAAAGTTAGTTGGATATCTGTAACTCCGGTTAGTAACTCCTCTTTGAGGCATTCCACGTCGCTTTTCTGGGAGTAAATGAATTCGTTTATTTGTTGTTTAATTTGCTTCGCCATGTTGTTTGTAGTTTCCATGTCGTTGGTGATTTTGCTGTATTTTTCTTGGTATGTAGAGAGGTTTTCTTGAAGATTGCGAAGTTCCCGATCGTTGGTAGTACAAATTTCCTCTAATCGGGTAATTTCGTCGGATTTTTCCGAGGTTAATTGCACGAAATTGTCTTTTTCCGCGATTAGGGCGTCGTTTTCTCGCAACAGTTCGTTGAATTGTTGAGTTATTTCGGCGAGTTCTTTAACAAGGCGATTCTTCTCTCTGGACAAATCGGCCTTTTCCTGAATAACTCTTTCGATTTGTTTATTGCTCAATTCGAGTGCTTCGAGAATTTCTTCGTTTTGCTGGGTCATCTTCTGAATTTCGTTGTTGTTCAGGTCCAGGAAGTTGTTCAAGATGACCTTTTCTTCGTTGGTTTTCTGGAGCTCGGCGGAGATGGCTGCGTTTTCGGTCTTCAGGGCTTCGATTTCTTCCAAGTACTTGTCGATGGCGGTTTTGTGGTGGTCCAATTGAACAGATAATTCTACCTGTTTGTTGGTGAAGGTTTCCAGGATGTCTTTCTTCTCCGATTGGAGCAGGTCCAGTTTATTCTGGATGGTTTTGTATGTTTCGATATCTTTCAAGCACAGTTGGTACTGCTTTGTGATATTTTCTTTTTCTGCTTGATACTCGTCTAAAGTTTTGCGTAAATCGTTGATTTCTTCTTTTAAGTTCTTCATAATGTGGTTGGCATTTTCCAATTCTTTGGATACATTTGATAGTTCAGTTGATAAGTTGGAATTCTCAATGGATAAATTGGATATTTCAGTAGAAAATTTGGTGTTTTCTTCAGATACATTGGACAGTCGAGTGGACATTTCAGTATTTTCCTTGGATAATGTAGAATTTTCTTCCGATAAATTGGATATTTGAGTCGATAATTTGTTGTTTTCTTCCGATAAATTAGATAGTTGAGTCAATATTTCAGTATATTCTTTAGATAATTTCCTTTTTTCATTGGACAAATTGGATAATTGACTCAATAATTTAGCATTTTCTTCGGATAAATTGGACAATTGACTCAATAATTTTGCATTTTTTTCAGATAAATTGGACAGTTCAATGGACGTTTTAGTATTTTCTTCAGATGAATTGGACAATTGATTCAATAATTTTGAATTTTCTTCAAATAAATTGGACAGTTCAGTAGAGATTCTAGTATTTTCCTCAGAAGAATTGGACAATTGACTCAATAATTTTGCATTTTCTTCAGATAAATTGGACAGTTCAATGGACATTTTAGTATTTTCTTGAGATAATTTGATAATCTCTTCAGAATTATTGGATAGTTGCGTCGACAATTTGGTATTATCTTCAGATAATTTTGATATTTCATTCGATAATTTGGTATTTTCTTGAGATAAATTGATGTTTTCTTCTGATAAATTGGATAGTTCGTTCAACAAATTAGTATTTTCTTCCGATAACTGAGATATTTCAGTCGATATTTGTGTGATTTCTTCAGTTAATTTGGCATTTTCTTCAGATAAGCTGCTTAGTTGAGAGGATTTTTTAGTATTATCTTCGAATATGTTAATATTTTCTTCGGATATATTGGCTAGTTGAGTCGATAATTTGGTGTTTTCTTCAGATAAATTGGATAATTGAGTCGACAATTTGGTATTTTCTTTCGTCAAAGACTGGTTCTCGCGTAAAAGCTCTTGTAAATTATTCGACAAAATTAAATTATCATCAGTTAATTTTCGAATGTCTTTCTTAAGTTGCAATTTATCTTCAAGGTAACCGGCTACTTCTGATTTACGCTCGTTTAACTCTTTGGAAAGTTCTTCTTTTTCCTCCTTGGAGATTTTGTAGCACTCCTGCAACTCTACAGCAAGGCTTTCTTCCTGCGCTTTGCAGCTTTGCAACTCCATTTGCAGTTCTTTATTTTCAAATCGGCATTCTTCGAGAATATTCCTTAAGTCTTCTTTCTCTTTGTGTATTTGGTTTATTAAGTTTTTCATGCACTTGAAGTTATTTTGTATATTTTCGAAAATATCTTCGGTTTGCTCTGCTTCATTATCGTTATTTTCTAATAAAATGTTCGTTTTAATATCCTGTATAATTTTCTTCGACATGTTATTAGTAGAGCGCAGGTTCTTATTAAGTTCCTTGTTCTTCACTTTAGCATCTGCCATATCTCCATTGCATTTCTCCAACTCCAATTGCAGTTCTTCGATAGTCTTGTTACTCAACTGGTAGTTTACGGACAATTGATTGTAACTCAAATTGATTTTTTCGAGTTCTTCGTTTAATTGTTGCAATTTTTGCTCGAATTGTAGCTTTTCCGCGGATAATTGAGCCACATGTTCGCGAATTTTATGCAATTCCAGCGCATTTTCATCGAGTTTTCCGGACAACTGGTCTTTTTCTGCCGTGATTATTTCGTAATTTCGTTGAATTATTTGCAAATCGTTGGATAATTTATCGTTATCGTTGATTAGAATGCTGTGTGCTTGCTTGATCTTTTCCAATTCATCACTAGTATTGTTAAGACTGATAGTAATATTGGTTTTTTCTTCGTTTATTGTCCTGATTTCTTCATTTAATTGTATAATTTCGATTTTCGTGTCTTCAAGTTCTTTCGAAAGCAGAGTTTTTTCTTCCGTTATTTTTTCCAGTACTTTGTTTAATTGTTCGAGTTTTCCAGACAACTGATCTTTTTCTGCGGTGGTTATTTCGTAATTTCGTTGAATTATTTGCAAATCGTTGGATAATTTATCGTTATCGTTGATTAAAATGCTGTGTGCTTGCTTGATATTCTCCAATTCATCACTAGTATTGTTTAGACTGATAGAAATATTGGTTTTTTCTTCGGTTATTATCCTGATTTCTTCTTTTAATTGCACAATTTCGATTTTCCTGTCTTCAAGTTCTTTCGAAAGCAGAGTTTTTTCTTCCGTTATTTTTTCCAGTTCTTGGTTTAATTGTTTGAGTTTTCCAGATAACTGGTCTTTTTCTGCAGTTGTGATTTCGTAATTTCGTTGAATTATTTGCAAATCGTTGGATAATTTATCGTTATCGTTGATTAAAATGCTGTGTGCTTGCTTGATCTTCTCCAATTCATCACTAGTATTGTTTAGACTGATAGTAATATTGGTTTTTTCTTCGGTTATTATCCTGATTTCTTCATTTAATTGTACAATTTCGATTTTCCTGTCTTCAAGTTCTTTCGAAAGTAGAGTTTTTTCTTCCGTTATTTTTTCCAGTTCTTGGTTTAATTGTTTGAGTTTTCCAGATAACTGGTCTTTTTCTGCAGTTGTGATTTCGTAATTTCGTTGAATTATTTGCAAATCGTTGGATAATTTATCGTTATCGTTGATTAGAGTGCTGTGTGCTTGCTTGATCTTCTCCAATTCATCGCTAGTGGTGTTTAGATTGATAGTAATATTGTTTTTTTCTTCAGTTATTGTCCTGATTTCTTTGTTAAATTGTACAATTTCAATTTTCTTGTCTTCAAGTTCTTTTGAAAGCAAAGTTTTTTCTTCCGTTATTTTTTCCAGTTCTTGGTTTAATTGTTTGAGTTTTCCAGATAGCTGGTCTTTTTCTGCAGTGGTGATTTCGTAATTTCGTTGAATTATTTGCAAATCGTTGGATAATTTATCGTTATCGTTGATTAGAGTGCTGTGTGCTTGCTTGATCTTCTCCAATTCATCGCTAGTGGTGTTTAGATTGATAGTAATATTGTTTTTTTCTTCAGTTATTGTCCTGATTTCTTCGTTAAATTGTACAATTTCAATTTTCTTGTCTTCAAGTTCTTTTGAAAGCAAAGTTTTTTCTTCCGTTATTTTTTCCAGTTCTTGGTTTAATTGTTTGAGTTTTCCAGATAGCTGGTCTTTTTCTGCAGTGGTGATTTCGTAATTTCGTTGAATTATTTGCAAATCGTTGGATAATTTATCGTTATCGTTGATTAGAGTGCTGTGTGCTTGCTTGATCTTCTCCAATTCATCGCTAGTGGTGTTTAGATTGATAGTAATATTGTTTTTTTCTTTAGTTATTGTCCTGATTTCTTCGTTAAATTGTACAATTTCAATTTTCCTGTCTTCAAGTTCTTTCGAAAGCAGAGTTTTTTCATCCGTTATTTTTTCCAGTTCTTGGTTTAATTGTTTGAGTTTTCCAGACAACTGATCTTTTTCTGCTGTGGTTATTTCGTAATTTCGTTGAATTATTTGCAAATCGTTGGATAATTTATCGTTATCGTTAATTATAATGCTGTGTGCTTGCTTGATCTTCTCCAATTCATCACTAGTATTGTTTAGACTGATAGTAATATTGGTTTTTTCTTCAGTTATTATCCTGATTTCTTCATTTAATTGTACAATTTCGATTTTCCTGTCTTCAAGTTCTTTCGAAAGCAGAGTTTTTTCTTCCATTATTTTTTCGAGGTTGCTTTGTAGTTGCTCATTCTTCAAATGTTGGCTGGATATTTCTTCGCCAAGTCCGGCGTTTTCTATTTGGCAATTTTGCAGCTTCATCGAGATTTCTTCGCATTTCAAGCCTAATTTTTTCAAGTTTTCTTTACAATCTTGGTAATCTTTCGAAACGCTTTCGAACTCTCTTTCACATCGTTCCAAGTTCTCTGTTAAGTTCTGGTTTGTCGATAAACAAGATTCTAGTTCGATAGAAAATTTGTTGATTGAATCTTTTTGATCTTTCGATAATTTTTCGGCACTTTCTAAATTAACTTTTAGATTTGAATTTTCCGCATACGTTTCTTGTAGTGTCTCGTTCAAATGTTGCATATTGTCGTTTACTAGATTGAAAATAAATGTAATATTTTCGAAAAATTTAGACGAGTCTCCTAAAGCGTCTATTTGGCCTTTTTCCACGTTGTGCAGCAAATCTTTAAACAAAAAAGTACCGCTTTTAATAAGAGTTTCTTTTTCACGGGAAAGTTTTCCCAGCTCAGTTCTGGCTTGGTCGAGTTCATTTGATATCAATTCATTTTCTTCTGTATATTTTTTAATAGAGTTTTGAAGGTTCTGGATTTCCGAATTCAACCTCGATATCTCTTCCATGTGACCAGCGTTTTCTAATTGGCAAGTTTCTAATTTTTTTTGCATCTCATTGGCTTTAAATTCCAATTTATCGAGGCTCTCCTTGCAATCGTAATACTCCCTCGAAACGTTTTCATTCTCAATTCTGGAAGCTTCCAAGCTTTCCGTTAAGCTCTTGTTCATCGACCGATAAGACTTCAACTCCAAAGTAAACTTGGTAATGGCATCTTTTTGAACTGTAGAGAATTCTTCGGCGCTCTTCAAACTAAGTTTCAGTTTCGAATTCTCCGCGCTCAAATCCTGCAAGGAACTATTCAATTCCTCGTTCATCGATCGACAAGCCTCCAACTCCAAAGCCGCCTCCTCTTTTTCGATTCTTAGTTTTTCATACTCCAATTGCAATTCCCTGAATTGCTTATCGATCACGGAATGCGCCAAATCTTCACTGGACGGGCTACGAACGCTCTTCGACAACGAAGACACGCAAAAACTACCTTCGTTGAAGCTTTCTTCTTTAGAATACGATTTGAATTCCGCCAAAATGGCTTCGAGTTCGGCGCAATGCGCGCTCAGATATTTGTTCTTCTCCAGCTGCTCCGAGTAGTTCTCGTTCAAAGCCTGCCAGTTCTTGTCGGCCTCGATGAATTTCTCCAGCCAAGTTTTGCACTGGAACTCCAGCTGTTTCGCCTGAAATATGCGAAGAATCGATTAAAATAAAGGTTGTTGAGAAAAATAATTACAGACTTTAGTTCTTTCGGTGTCTTTTTCTTCTTCGAGTTCGCCGTTTTCTTTCTCGTACTGTTTAATAATACCCTCTAAGGCTTCTATTTTAGTTCTGTGAATCTTCTGGATGTCTCGTAATTCTTGGTCTCTGAATTGAGGCGGTGTCCTGTTTTCTAGCTGCAGAATTTCACTCCTAAGGTTGCTGATTTCAACGTTCTTTATATTTAATTGTTTCTCTACAAGAAAAATTAGTTTTATACCTCATTTTAATAACCTACATATATCTTACCGAGTTTATTGTACTTGGTTTTCTGATTTTTAAGTTCGTCTTCTAGCTGTTCCTTTTCCTCTTGCACGAAATCCAAATCGGACTTTAGCTGCGCGATCTCCTTGTTCTTCTCGTTAAGCCTGCTGCCCTTCAACGGTGTCTTGAATACGTCTTGCAGGGGGCTTCGTAAAACGGGAGATTGCAAGTAAGTCGCATCGCATTGCTCGTCTAAGCATCGATCGATGATCAAGACGAGCTGATCGTACGTTATACTCGATTCTTCCTGCACTTTCTCTAAATAGCTTTTTATGCGGATTTGGGTGATTTCTTGTAAACTGTAGCATAAAGGTGATGTGAACGCGTCCTTTCGATCGTATATGCAGGTGTAGTGCATCAATAAAGATGTAAGGGCTGTTAGATCTTTAACGGGGAGATCGTTTAGGTGAGTCGAATTGTTCGGTGTAGTAAAATTGGGGTAGTGTTCGTTTATAATCATTAATATGGAACTCAAAACATCGTAATGTAGTTCCGGTGACTTTTTACTGAAAATAAAAAATCGGTTTGTTATAGAGGAACGATTCGTTTGCTCAAATTCTCAAACTTACATCACTTTGTAAAGATTAGAAAAAAATATGCCATCTTTGAGATCGCCGAGTTTTTGAATGGGTTTTGAGAGTTTTAAACAGTTCACCTGAAATGCCAGTAATGAATTGATGCCGAAAAATGTGCTCGAGATATACTTACCCAATCTATTAGTATTTTTTCCCAAACAGGGCTCTCCATATTGGCACTGCGCGAACAAAAAAAAGGTGTAAAATGTGATTTGACAATGACGGTTGAATAAATTCAAATACAACTCGCTAAAATGATGCCATTATTGTGAGACTATTACAACAATTCAACAATAGTTGAACGCGAACACTTATACAATACACCAACCGTTTTTAAAACCGTTGAGAAACATTCAAATTTGTGCGTGCATAGTAAAAGATAGAATGCATGTCAATTGTCATGTTTATGGTCTTTTACTAGAGGGTTAAACCGCTCGATTATTAACTTAACTAGGTAAAATAAGAAAATGTATTACGTAAAGTTATAGAAAATGTATTACAGTAATAGTAAAATGTATTTTTTACTAAAAAATTGCTGAAAAATCACTAGTAATCTTGATTAATACCTAAAGTAGCTACTTGCTCACTAACAGTAGAGACCAACATTCTTTTAAAGACATTTGGCATTATTGCCTCAACCACCAATCAGAATCGCTTATTTTATTTTATTGTTTGGTTTTTGGTTTTTCGTTTGTTTTTTTACAACGCTTTTTTAGAAAGTCCGTGAAAGATATTTTAAAATCGTTTAATTTTACCTAAGTTTTTACAATTCCTAATATTATTACATATTTCGTGTAGTTTTACGTTCTAAAATATGTTTTAAAAGATGTCAGGCGATATAACGCAATTTTTGAAGGAGCAAAAACTTTTGATTACCCAAGAAAAAGAACGCCTAGGCCTGCTGGGAGCGCCCCCCGAAAACTGCGGACCCGACGCCAAATCGAAACGCAAGGTATCGTTAACGAGCAACGGCATAGTCGCCGTTTTTTAATCCTTTGTTATAAAATATATGTCAATGGTCCTAGAAAGTATAAAGAAGTTAAGATCACACAAGTGCCTATAAATGGATAATATCAGCAATTTTATTGTCTTTTTTTCGGCACGCCTTGTCGCTCGAGTGGGACGTTTTTCTATAAGTACATCAATCATTAGTCGATGATCGATTACCATTTGTCAGTTCGAAAAATTTTTTATCCGTACGAAATGAAACATGTGTTATTATGTCTTCACAGGTAAACCGATATCCAATCAATTCCTACAGTATTTTATATTTATATTGGCCCGTATTCAGCGCCTCTGTTTAACTTTACAGTGACTCTAAAGTCGCTTCTCGAGTCCTTAGTTACTCCATAACAACAATGTAAATCTGTCAAGTTAAAACTCTAAAGTTAAACATGGGCGCTGAATACGGACCATTATATTTAAATTCAATAAATAATCCAAGCAAATTATTAGTTAAAATAAGAGTGTAAGTCTATTTGTATTGGAATTACTTATAGTGTTTCCAAAGTCGGTTGAATTTGGTTCGAAAATTATGAATTAAATGAAAACATTTTATAAAACTACAAATTTATATCCAATATGGTCAATCCTATGAGTTGAAGAAAGAAAGATTATTAAAATAACAGTGGTTAGAGTGAGACAGTTGCAATCTTCCCACGACATCACTCTTTCTTTTTCCTTAATATATATGAGACCACTGGAAGTTTTTCTTTGTTGCACCCATAAAAATTTGCACTTACTCGTATAAATAAAACTCGTCCTTGAATAAACTTATGGGAGCCTAAAATAAAATAATTGAATAAATTGGCAAGGATGGTAGGCTCGTCTCCACGTCATGACGTCTTACACATAGGAGCGTCTTATACGTAGTCAGAAAGCTAATCTCCTTCAAGTATTCAACTCAAAAAATGAATTACAAATTTAACTTTGTTTATAGCAACTTTTCCATCATATTTGCTTGATTTTTCCACGAGTTGTTCCAATAAATCATAATTTATACGAATATACAGGGTGTTTGAAATAAATCTCCATAAATTTTATTCCAAAAATTCACGTCAAATTTCCATTTTTTCCAACTATTCTTTGGTCCTTTAAACAGAACAAACTTGCTTTTATGCGGCATTTTTTGATTAATTACACCCGCGGGAATGGAATGAATCGCAGGGGGCGCTGGAAGACGGTGCACCCGAATCCGCCTCGGCCCCCCGACTATCCGAGTCTCCACTGACCTTGTTCGCTATTGATTTTGCCGCGAAAGCAAATATGAAGGGATGAAAGAGGACTGAGTTCAGTTCCGTTTTTCAGTGTTATTTCAACCCTTTATGATCCTTTTATACAAAAGCCGCCCCCCGTTTTCCGTTTCGAATTTTCATCTCGTTCGCGTGGTTTTTCGTCGGTGTACCATGGACGATGGGTTTTCCTGAAAAGCGACGTGAGTAAAACTGTATAGGGAACGTCTCCGCGATTCGATAACCTGATTTCGTCCTGGTTTCTTTTTTTTATCTTTTCGAATTTTTTGCGCTCTTTTAAGATTTTCTTTGCAGTTTTTCTAGTGGTTTTATTTGAAAATTTTGCTGTTTATTTAAGCTGTTTAGTTTTATCGCTGTGTATTGATTGTGTATCATTATTTATGTTATTTTTTTGGATGGAATTATGTTGGGTTTTTTGAAAAGATAGTTGTAAAGTAGAAGTTTTTATTTGAGCAAATGATGTAAATAAAATGCATAATTTTGGACATATTTTTATGTAATCGATATTTTTTCTTAAGGCCGTTTTTTCTGTGCAAAAAAAAGTATTGACTTAATCACAGTTATTCAAAAATAATAATTTAAACTGTTGGTAAGGGAAAATTTAAGTAATTTATTTCTGTAGACTTTTCACAGCCCTTTTCTAACGCTTTTTAGGAGTAGTTAAGCTTAACTTTTGTGGGGCACCCTGTATTTTATTTTTATACAATTTGATAAGAGCGAATTCTTTCGACGTGATTATCGCCAATTATATCGCATGTTTTGTTTCAGGAAAATTGTGATAACGATGTTACGAGTAACAATAAGTGCGTACAATCACTGGAAGAAAACAAAGAAAATGTTCACTTAAATTCCAATTGTGTCTTAGTACAAAAAGATAACGAAGTAAGGAAAACATTTCGATATTTTTCTCTTCTCCTTAGTTTTGACGCTATAATTAATCTCGAGCGTTTATTTTAGATGATTTTTTTTGAATGAATCTTTGAAAAATGTATCCTGTTTTTTCCCAAGCATCGTTTGTTGTTAAATTTGTAAATACTGGGTGGCTCGAAATTATTTGAAACATTTTAGGGGAAAGTTGGCAATAAATATCACTAGAATCATTGCCAACATTTCAACGATTTGTAGCCGCTCCGTATACATTTTGCATGTTCGAAATCGATCGTTTTTTATTTCAAAGATTTATTTCACGAAATTAATGATTTAAAATAATTTCGAAGCTTTTCGCTGAGCGTTTAAGTGCCTGTTTCGGCTTCATTTTTGTTTGGTGGTTTTTGACTTTTTTTTTAGACTCTGCCAATTGTCGAACCACTCGATATAACTAGTAAAAATGATTGTAACGAAGTATCATTAGAAGAAAAAAAACAAGCTTTCATTAATAAACTTGTTAGCTCAGAGATTCCACTTACTGATAGATCGGTAAGCATGATTATTACATTTTTTTTTTCGTTAGATTTTTAGGTTGCTCTTGATCGGTTTTTCGATAGTTATGTTGCATTGCATGCGTGTGAAATTCCATTTGTAATTTACAAGGGTAAGGTGAAAAGTTCTCGGCCCGACAATGAGAAACTGCGATATTTTCAGTTGAAAAATTACATTATTCTTCTTATTAAACGAAAATCTTTAGTTCGGGACAGTTCTAATTGATTCTGGAGCGTTCTAAATGATTCTAAACAGTTCTAAAGGATTCAAGAGCGTTCTAAATAGTTTTATTATTTTAAATTATTCTGGAGCGTTCTAAATGATTCCCAAGCTTTCTAAATGGTTCTAAGCAGTTCTAAATTATTCTGGAGCTTTCTACACAGTTCTAATTGATTCTGGAGCCTTCTAAATGGTTCTAAACAGTTCTAAATTATTCTGGAACGTTTTATACAGTTCTAATTGATTCTGGAGCCTTTTAAATGGTTCTAAACAGTTCTAATTGATTCTGGAGCGTTCTAGATTATTCTAAATTATTCAGGCCGAGAACTTCTCACCCTACCCTAATCATCATATCTTCAAAGGTTAGTTTTATTTGGGACACTCTGTATATATACACGTGTTTTGATCGTTTTGGGGGAAAACAATCGGCTCCAATCGATAGGTGAATACGCGGGTCAACCAACCGTGAAAAATCATGTAGAGCTTTTGTAATAGTAACATTACAAACACACACACACACAGGAAGGTACATTTTCGTTTCGGCGTTTCCTCTTTGACATCAAAAGGTAGGCTGGAATATATTTTATATACTCGTAGAATTCCCGGAACGAGTAAGTTTCTCAACGCGATTAGGTAGTGTTGTGTGTGTGCGTAAATTGGCTCGAAAACTCTTGAGATATAGCGACTGTAGTATTTTTTTTTTGGGATTTTTTTTTAGGATGATTGCGTTAAAAGTGCGATGCTGCGGTTTGGCGAATACAGCCCGAACAATCCGCAATTGAGAGTCACTGCCGCGCCGTATCTGGGTCTGGGGGAATATGAGCAGAGGAGAAATTATTTCTTGCAGAAACAGAGGGCTGATTATTTGACACATCTGGCTAAGGTGCGTATGATCTAACGATTTTTTTGTTAATTTTTACCTCCCAAATAGTTTAGCGCAAAATTTTAAGTTCAAACCTTCCCGGGTATATTTCTAACTGTTCCAAAGTTGGGCGATGTACCTTACCCGAAATTACGCATATAACTCGATATATATCCGGTGGAAACCTGAAATTCGTTGCGGGAAGTTGGTAATAATGATCAACTAACTCGTATAAAGTTCTCGCGCGGTTTCAATTTCGCGTATTCCCGAAGAGATGAAGGCCAGGTGCGAACTAAGCACTCGTACAAATTTTTGTTCGAATATCAATTGATTATATTTACCGATTCCTTTTAAAAAACTCGTTTTAAGCAGTTTTAAGCTTTATCCATTCAGGATTTTTACAAAATAGGGATACAATCAGTACAAAAATATGCACAGAAATGTTTACAAGAGAATATTGAAGGTTTAATTAATTTTATTCGTGAAAATGTTCTCTTCCATATAGTAGAATGCTCTTTTAATGAGGATTATTTTTAAAATTACATAACATTAAATTAATCGAAAATACGAATATTAGCGGAAAAAATCGGTCGGTTCCCACGGGAAATAGAAAAGAAAATATAATAAGGAATCTATAATGAGTTTGTATCGATTGTAATTTAAATTTGTACGAGTAGCGTTGCGTGCAATTCGATAATAAAACCGAACGTTAATTTGGTAAGTCGTTCGAGAAACTGGGAAAAGTTTAATAGACAAATCGGGTTTAGATGTTGTTAGGTTTCGAGGAATTAGCAAAACGATTATACAGTTTGTTGGATAAGGTAATGTAGCGTATAAAGTGCTCGTTATAATTTCCTATATAAAAATAAATAGCTGATTTATATCGAAATGGGAATGCCAAATTTCCTTCAAATGCACCATTAATTAGCTTATTAAAATAGACAAATTACCCTAATTTAAACATGTTTCTTTAGCGTGTAACTCAAACGATTTTATGTTATTGCAGCAGCGGGATAATTTGAAAGAACTTTCAAAGAAAATTCGCTGTAATAAAGCTAGAAATAGCGCCGAAACGCCGTTAAATAGCGTAACTTTACCGGCCACGGCCCTTTGCAGGGCCGAAAAAAGCGTGCAAACCGATATTAAGAATATCGAAATTCAGTTAGTAAGTAGGAACAAATCGCATGCATAAATCGTACACCTGTAAATAATTAACAACGACTAATTTACCTATTAATATCGTGTATATATTTAAGAAGATTAATTATAAAAAACGCTTTTTATCGCTTTAAGGTTAAATTCTTGCTTATACGAATGAAAAATTTAACCGAAGGAATAACCGGTGCTGGATTAATATGCTTAAACATATGCGAATGTGCTTTTAAGTCTCACTATTTTTAGCAGCATAGTTAATTGGTGTAGGAGTTATGTTTAATAAAAGGCAGAAATGATTTAAATCGTATTAGTCGCGACTGTTCTTTATACCAATGATATTTATTATCCAGTCTTGTATCACTTAAAATCCCCGTGTTTAATTCTTCTACAATTAACGTAAGTAACATAATTAACAAGTACATGAACCTATGTATAACCAATATTAGAGCAATAACAATAATATGAGGAAAGTAGTATCACTATCTAATCTATATTTTTTTCTATTTTTTTTTTACAATTTTGTTTTAGCTTCAATATGATTTGCAAGGTCAAAGACTTGAAGAGAAGGAGTTGAGTACCAGTTCGCTTAGCGAGGATCATTACGCGAGGATTAATCGAAACTTATCGTCGAAATTTAGAGTAGACCAGAGATTAACCAGCGCTCAAAATGCCTTATTGAAGTGTGACATGGAAAAGCCGAAAAGCATTTTGTCTAATAGAAAATCGGGTAGTCCTAGAGGTAAGCAAATAAAATCCTGAAAGATTTTTAATCCTATATCGTATTAATGATATGTGAAAAAATAACGGTTATTTTGTAACATTCGTTACTGCACCTCTACAGCAAAAAATCGATTCCCACCTCTATTAAACTTCTGTCATATACGTCAATTTTGTTCAATTTTGACATGAACGTATCATCGAACTCACCTTAAAGTCCCGCTTATTTTCAAAACGTCTTTTTGCAGAGCGATTGTTATCGGACCTGTACAGTTCGAGTTTCACGGACGGCTTCGTCTACCGCGAATCCAGATCGGACGAACTCGAAAGGGTAAGAAGCGCCGGGGCGGCGGGCGAGCGCGAATTTTTTAGCGGTCAAAATTTAGTCCTCGATCGGTTTCAGGAGCGCCTGAAGCGCGAGCACTATCAACGCGAGCTGCGCAACCAGATCGAGGAGAAGAGGATGCTGCAGCAGTTGCGCGACGAGCAGGAGATGCGCGAGCGCGAGCTCGAGAACAAGCGGCTCGAGCAGCAGCTGCTCAGGATGCAGGAGGAGCGCCTGGTGGAGGATCAATTGAGGGAGCACCGACAGGAGCAGGTACGCCTGGTTTATTCGTTGATTATGCGAGAGATTTATCGTTTGTTTGTTTCGATAGATGCGAAGGCACAGCGAGGATTTGTTGAGGCGCAAACAGGACCTGCAATCGACTAGGTACGGCTTCCGAAAACACACGAATTCCGAATGCAGCATTCGCAATAATCCTACAGACGTATCTTCCAAATCGCTGGCGCATTATTCGCCGCCGATTTCTAGACGTAATCCGTATTCGTTGAACGTTCCATCCACATCTGTGTTCTCAGACTCATCGTCAAGGTAATACTATCGATTAAGGTAATCGATATACTCACGCGTTTGTTCGTGTATTATGCCCAGATACGCTCCGAGTCGTTTCGAGTGTTTCAGTCGAAGGGATACCGTGAAACGTATGGATTCGTTGAATTCGTACGAGCTGCCCGGCAGGCATCAGGCGTTCAGCCGCTTCGATTCGTTGAGCCGCATCGATTCGCTGGCCAGCCGAATGGAGGTGCTGAGCCTGCGCGACGGCTACAACGGCGAAAGGAGGCACAGCGCCACCCATCAGGACTTCAGTTTGCTCAGAAGGAGTCCGAGGTATTTCGGGGGCGAGATACCCGGCGATCGTTTAGTTCGTTTTCTTTTTTTTTTTTCTTTGAGTTGCTCGAGTTTTGTGGCTCGGTTCGTCCCCTCTACGGTCCCGAATTTGTTTCTTCTTTGTCCCTCTACGGTCTCGTTTAGATGTTGAATTTTGTTTCTTATTTATTTGCTTTTTATTGTAAATTTACGAGTGCTGTGCGTTTAGAGATGTGCGGTCTTATATTGGAAATCTGTTTTTGCAATAGGTTGCAGAGGAGGAGCAGTTCCGGTCGATTCGAGGATCCCTTGCCGGTTCCAGTATTAAAAGCACATTCCCCGGTTGCCAAAGAATTGAAAAATTCCATTCCGTACAGTTCGAGGCAAAGTTCGGATGCTATTAGACGACTAGAAGACAGGTGGCAGGTGAGTCCCATATACATAATCTCACAATTCTCCCTTAATTGTAAATAACACCACTGGTTTTACGAAGTTCTGTGTAAAATAAACTTAGGATAATGAGTGTGTGTGATTTTCAGTCGGTTTCGGGTATTAATGCCCAACAATAGTATCCCGGCCCACCACTTAGAATCGTTTAGAGCGTCTGAACCCATTTAAAACGCTTCAGAACCATTTAGAACTCTCCAGAATCATTTAGAACTGTCTCGAACCATTGAGGAAGATCCAGAATCATTTAGAACTGTAAAGAACCATTCAGAAAGCTCCAGAATCATTTAAAAATGTCTAAAACCATTTATGACGCTTCAGAACCATTTAGAATGCTCCAGAATCATTTAGAACTGTCTAGAACCATTTAAAACCATTTAGAACGCAACAGAATCATTTAGAACTATCTAGAACCATTAATAACTCTTCAGAACCACTTAGAACGCTCCAGAATCATTTAGAATTGTCTAGAACAATTTAGAACGTTCCAGAACCGTTTAGAGCCGTAAAGTTCGTAAACCAGTGTAATCTAATCGCAGAAGAGTTTGATTTTTCAGCGCGATTTCGCCGGTGTCGTGCTAAAGAGACGGGATAAATAAAAAAACGGAAACGTTCTTTATGTTTTTGTTGGTGGGTTTCAGATCCCCGCCGTTCAAAAAAATATCCTGAATCATACGGATTCTTCGCCGCTAGGTGGCCAAAACCGAAGTATATTAACTCAGCTTGGGGCGATTCGAATGCAGCTTCAGCAAGAACAGCTGCGGATGGACGAATCTTTGAGGAGACGAGATATTTCACAATCTAAGGCTGTTGATTTTCTTTGAAAACAAAAAAAAAAAAATAAATAAAAAATTTAATAACCAAAGTTTACATCGAGTTAATTGAAAGTTTATAATAGTTATTTTATATATATTGTTAGACTTTGTCTTTATATTTATATTAATTGAATAGATAGAAACGTTGAAATGGTTGTTTTCTTTTTTTGGTTCTCCTTTAGATGGCTATAGCTTTAAACGCAATTTTTGTATATAAAAATCTGTAATAATTAATTATTAATAGTTTCAATAAAATCGTTTATTGACGAATTGAATATAATGATGTTATAAAAATTCCTAGCGTTTGTTTACAAAACTCGATGAGAATAATAAAGAATTATTGTAAAACGATCTTTGGCCTTTATACTGTTATATCACAAATTAAATCAGGTATGTACAATTTAAAACTAATTAAAAATTGCCTAAAACGGTACTTACGAACTATTTAATCTTTCTTTTCGTGCCGCAAATCTATAAAAAAATGCAGAATTAAAAAATAATTACTATTAACAAGTGTAACTTACCTTCTTCCTCATCTTCATCAGCGTCTAGGATATTGGCACAACAACATGAATATAAAATAAACGTAAAAAATCCCAAAGGCAATCCCAAGAGTACTGTAGTCAGTACCGGATTTCCCTTCCACCTATCCGCCAACGTTGTTCTAGCTTTAAAGTAAGTTCTATACAACCTCATAGACAAATGATCACCTCCATAAACCTAAAAATGTATTTCTACATTACCCCGGAAAATATTCTACAGTGCGATAGAAGTAACTGTAGACGCATCCACAGCTATTCCTATCGGTCTGTACCTAACCACATACCGGCGCGGTGCCTTCTAATATAGTCTTCAGGAAATACTCGATGGCATCCGGGCTCATTTGTACGGGATCATCATCGGGCACGTGGTGCTCCAAAGTGGTCGAATTCAAAACGATCAAATAGGGCAACGGAACGATCTGCATGACTATATTATTAGCCAATTCGTGGCTGTTGGTCCAAGCGAACTGGAAGTAATCGTGGTAAGCGTGCCTCTTCTCCTTTGCCAGCGATTTGATTGAGTCGCGGAACTCCACCATCTCCTTGGGCACCTGCAGCAGCTTGTTCTCCTCCACCACCACGATGACTATGTACTTCCGGGTGCGCAGCACCTCGTTGATGTTCGCCTCGGTTATTTTCGGAAACGACTCGAAGCGTTCTTCGTTTATGAACTTGTGCATGGTGTCGTTGATGTGCTCCGCTTCGATCGCGTTGTCCCCTTCAGCAACTGAAAATTACTCGAAGTTCGTGAAAATTTTCTTTAGGGATAGAACATTGCACCTGAGTAGACGTAATGGGAGTTCTCCTTGTGCACGAAAACGGCCGGCAACTTGTGCAAATCCACGTGCTTCCTGGCTATCTCCTCGCTGGCCGCGTAGTAAAAGGCGTGCGCCTGGAACTTGGAGGCGATGTCGTAGAAGGTGTTCCACAGCAAACCCTCCGTCTCGCCCACGTACATGAAGAATAACTGGTTCATGCTCTTTATGTTCGTTAGGCTCTCGTGACGGGTGACCAGCTGCACCGGCGGCCCGGACATTCTGATCGCGAAATTGATGATTTCTTCCGTCGTTTTTTCTCCTTCGAACGTGAAATCATCGTCCGCTTTCACTCTGAAAGGAAGCGAATCAGTACACAACCTCTGATAAGTTTATTTTGTAGTGAGATGATTCGGGACAAGCTATATATATAAGGCTAATTATTCCTTTAACTGTCTAATTTGACAGTTTTACATTGTTGTTATGGAGTAACTAAGGATATTGTTTGACATGACAGCCTAACTTTGTTTATTTCACTAAAGTATAATTATTGTAATGATCCTAAAAAACTTACAATTTAATGGTAGGATAAGTGGTGACATCGAAGGCTTTTCCGACGTTCGGAAAAATGGTACAATCGACTTTTCCGACTCTGACGTGGGTGTTTTTAAGGGCTTGCACGACGTGCGCCCAAATGGGCTCCAGTCTTTTGCATTGCCCGCACCAGGGGGTGTAGAATTTGACGAGCCAATAACCCCCGTCTTTTCTTACGTCGATGAAATTGTCGCCCAGTTCCAGGATCCATTTCGAAGAAGGCGAGACTTGCAGAACGGCGACTGAGAAAAATGGAAAGTAAATAGTAGGATTAATGAATGATAGGTATTGTATTTACCGAATATCACGAGTAGCCGGTGAAATATCATGTTTTTAACGAAGGCGGCGTAAAATCAATAGCGCTTTCATTGCGGGAGGAAACTACCCTCTGCCTATGAGTAAGGAAGAGACGGTGCGATACTGGATGTGCGCGCAGCAGTAAAGGATGCAGGATAAATCCCATAAGGATTCGAAGAAAGTTAGTGGAGTTTTCAGGGTTTATAGCGCATCTATTTCGAGCTTTATTTTAAATATTTTTTCCTATAGACTTGCCACTTGTCATTTTATATTGATTCAATTCCTCTGCGAAAGTTTTTATTTATATAACCAAATAAGGTTGGTAACACTAAAAACCCTAAATATTTGCTTAAGTTTTGATTTTTTAATCCTTTATTTACTATACAAAGTTGAAAGGCCCCAAACAACTCTAAATCATAGAGAAATATAGAGTGGCAAAAGCATACGGATGCGCGTGAAAATAATGGAACAAATTGAATTTGACAGATTTGACAATTTTGACATTGTCATGTCATTTAAGGTAGAAAAGACAATGAAAATAATGAGATAGCTAATTGAACTTTTGTTATGTAAGGAATAAAGAGAGCAAATGCCCGGTATTCGCACGAAGCGAAGCGAATAACCGATAAAGAAGTTCCTGTTCCTTACTATCTTATAGAATTGATTGAGTTCTAATTCTAATGCTTGCAGCGGAATAATTCGGTCATATGGTATATTTTTATTATGATTTAAAATTTTTGATACTTGTAGTAATAGAAATTTCCTTCATTTTGTTAACATTTATTTTATTTCGTATCGTTTATTTATTTAGTCGTTTATTTTAACCTTAGATCATATAAACTATTAGTATATAAGGTTTTAACTATATAAGGCCTACACAAGATCGCCTAAAAGTAGTGGATTTCCGTTACTTCTGGCAACGCTGTGTTTAAATTCCGCTACATCTGGCAACACTGGTATCTACCTTAAATGACAAGTGACAGTATGAGCAAAATTCAATTTGTGCCATCTACGAATACACGCTTTTTCCACTCTATATTCTCTATGCTCTAAATAAATCCAACATAATAAAAATCTAACACTTTATTTAAATAGTAACAAAAATGAGTTGAACGCAAATTATTCCATTTTTACCTATTACTTAAATAATAATACATACATTCTTAAATACCACTTTAAACTTATTAATATCAATTAAAATTATGTACAAAACTTCAACGGATCTTCACATCGTTAGCATGATTAAAGTAACTCCTTTCGGTGAATTCCTTATCCACAGCCTTATCCATAGCCATTAGAAATTTACTCAAACTTATATCAGAACCATCGGTAAACAAAGCGTGAGCTAAGAAAGGTATCTTTCTGAGCGCCCGTCCGCTCAGACCTAAACTCCTTTTGCACAGCTCCAACAATTGCTCCGTTTCCATCGAATGCGCCTTATCATTGTCGCTTATAATATGCTCTATGGGCTCTAAGATTTGATCCTTTATAATCTTCGCCTTAAATAAAAACCTTATTAAACAATTGCGAACAATTATACTAGTATTTATACCTTAATTAGTTCGTTGATACAAGAATGATATACCTTGTATATGGCTTGCAATGAAGGATTGCCTAAATATTGCTTAATATCCGCTCGATCTATGAAAGCTAAATCTATAGATTCGGTCATGTTGGATGTTGCGAAAATCAGCACGTTCGAATGCCTCCTGATTTGATCTAATTGAGTTAGAAGTGCGTTAACCACTCGTATAGAGTCAGATGGTTCGCTTCCTACAATACAAGAAAATTTAATAACTGTTAAGATACTTGTATGTAAATTACCTGATAAACATTTCGTTCGAGCGTGTGCAAGGGATTCCACTTCATCAATTAGAACGCAGACTAGAATGCTTTTGTTCTCTACAAACTCGTTTATTTTGTTAAACATTGTATTTACCAATTTACCGCTCTAAAAACCGAATTGAAACGACATAATTTAAATGACTTACTCGTTGATATATTTATATATTACCTCAGAAAACCATCTAGAAAACAAACTGTGGCTGTTAATTTCGATGAGAATCCCAGAACTGTATCGTCCACTCATTCTGATTGTCAGTTTCTGAGCTAAAGCTTTGGAAAGGGAAGTTTTACCGGTTCCGGGTGGTCCGTGCAGTAAAATCACTCTGTTGCAACTGATTATGCTCGGGTCTACGCCCTTATCAGAGAATTCCATTATCGTTTGGGCGTACTTCAACAACTGAAATACACCAATTCGAGATACTTTTAACATATACACTCAACTAAAGAACTTACGTTCTGTTTTATGTTGTTATCGTAGTACAAATTCTCCCATAAGTTGATCAAGCACAGTGATGGTAATGTTAGTTGTGTGAACATGATCACTTCTTGATCACCGACGTCTTCATTTTGTTGTAAAGGACCGTCAGTGTCAAATCTGTATATAAACCAGTTAACGTGCAGTTCGTTAAAGTCCACAAATGATTTGTTCTGTAAATCAAAGTTAGCTGGAAACTTTGCAACGTACTGAAGTTAGTTATACGAACATAATTGGGAATCTCTCCTACGATGATCATTTTAACGTGGCTGAGAGCGGATATCGTTTCGTTGTCGATGTTAATTACGCTATTGGGACGAACTACCATTTGATCGAGGTACTTTCGGGCTGCTTCTTTTAATGATGATGCGGTTACATTTGGACTAAAAACAAAAGTAGTGTGAAGGAATTTGTTTACTAATTTCTACGAGGTGTACCTGAATTGCTGTAAAATTATTTCGACGTCAACATTTGAAGCCATCATTAACGCAACAATTTGTATTTTTAGTGTAATTTACGAATTAAAATCGGTTTTTACAAAGTCTGTAAATTTCAAACTTTTATTCGTTTTTCTTAAAAATGACACTTCACTGTTACCAACATAAAATATATATTGTAAAATGTCTCTTTCTATTCTAATCAACAGTCCAAATTTACAAAAAGAAGAATTTATGACATTGACACTATTATTGACAGTTCAATCACAAGACTTGTTTATTTATTATAAGTTTACAAGAAAATTTAGAAAATAAAAATTCATAAAAAATGTGTGAAGCCAAGGAAGATCTCGATAAAATATGCGAGACATTAGATAAACTAACCCTAGACGCCTTATTCCTCGTGCAAGAGGAAATAGACCTAAAATTAAACGTGGAAAATGCAATGTCTGGGGGCGAAGCCCACCTAGCGAAAACCAGGTACATTATAGGTCAAAACAACGTATCAGCCTTGCAGTTACCCACAGAAAATAGCGCTGAATTTTCCTCCGTCATAAAAGTAGAGGGTTCCGAATCATTACTAGGTGCAAACACTTACACACTCAGAGAAATCAAAAAATCCGAAGACGAAACAGTTCAAGAACCTTTAAGATGGTTCGGGTTTCTGGTACCTCAGAATCTAAATTTCGCTCAGAAGATGTTTCGACAAGCCTTGCAATGGAGCGTCCAGGCTGTGAATACTCAGAACCAACTGCAACGTGTTTTACATAGTATATCTAGTTTAAAAGAAGTTAAATCTAATTTAACTGCTTAGAATAATTGTTACTCTTTCATTATGTTTGTATTACAATAGATACTTAAAATTTTTAACTGTAAATAATCTAAAAATAAATCTACGATGGTTAATTTCAATAATTTCTTTTAATTGCATTCGATTCTTAATTATCAAGGAAATATTCGAAATCGGGCAACATCGTAAGATGTCTGCGGCCGTATTGCCAACTTAATATATTTCGTAGTGAAATATCCCTGTTTACACGTGGATTTTGATTGTTGCTTTTAGAGGTTATGTCACGTTTAAATGTTGATTTTTGCGGAAAATGAATGTTATAAAATAATTAATTGTTAAAGTTGAATTATTTTCATTTAGAGCAATCATGAAAAATAAATCGCTTCGCCACAAGGACTACAATACGTTCAAGGTAAACACAAATTAATATAATCTTTATAAGTCAATTAATTTCTATTGTAATTCTAAAATTATTATTTCCATAAGGAACTTAATATCTTTCACGATTACTCCATGTTATTATTTACAGTTCTTGCCCTTTTTGGAGAGAATAAATAACATAAATGTAGACGTATTTCACAAAGTCCAACATGAATACACTGCAGACGATGAGGATAATGAAACCTTCTTTTACCAAACATTGGGAAAATGGGACGTTTTAAATTTGAGCACGAGTTACGAGCTGTTTCAAAAGGACATCCGATCGCTTAAATACACTACACTCCCACAGCTCTTATTAATTAAGGATAAAATAATTAGTATTTTATTACAACATGTGAAGAAAGGCGATCCATTATCATTACAACCTTTATTAGAGTATGTATTATGTTAATTAATTTTTTATTTATTTAAAATATTATTATTTTCAGATTAATAGTAGCACTGGCGAAAGACTTGCAGAAGGAGTTTTACAATTACTTCTTAGAAATAATAGAAATTTTAATTGGTTTGTTGAACACAAAAGATACGGAGCAGCTCGAATGGGTGTTCACCTGCTTGGCATATCTCTTCAAGTTTCTGTGGAGGTTCCTAGTCAAAGACATAAATTCCATATTCTTGTATCTTCTACCGCTGCTCTCGGAAAACAAACCGGAGTATATCAACAACTTCGCAGCTGAAAGTTTCGCTTTTGTGGCGCGAAAGGTCAAAGATAAAAGGTCCTTCCTGAATGTTCTTCTGAAAGCTGTGAGCAGCCATCCTGATGTAAGTTTATACCTAGTGTGGCTGGCTTACCTAATATGTTAATGACCAGTTTTTTAAACTTCAATTTTTTTAGGGTACAACGGGTTGCGGGAAACTTTTATTTAAAGTATTGTACGGCATCGAAGGCCAGTTCCACAGTTGCGCTGAGACCCTCCTGCCTTTTCTGCTCGAATCCCTGCTGGAGGAACGGCAAGAAAAAAGTGTCCTGTTCGAAATCCTGGAAGTAATCGTTTCGAATATCGTAGTACAAATTCACCCACAAAAGGGAGACCTACTTTGGACAACTTACATAAACATCCTATCGAACTTGACCAAAAAGATTACTACACATCCGCAAGATGGCGTCGTGCATAATACTAATTATATTTTAAAATTGGTGGGACACACTGTGGAGCATAAGCAAGGGAAATTTTTATTGAAACCAGCGGAGTTGGTGGTAGTTTTGATGGAGATATTGGCGAGTTTTAACGAGCACGAGGAAACTCTGCTTGTGATTTCTCAGATTAGTATTTTGCTTCTTTCATCGAAGCACGTCAAAATGTCCCAAGAGCAAGCCTCCGGAATTACCAGGAAATTGCTGAACGTTTCGTATAGGAAGATATTTTTGTATTTCGTGGATAACATTCAAAATGTCGCATCGTTCGAGGCGATGGTATTGCCGGCTTTTTTGAGATTTTGCGTTAAAAACCAACTAGACACGGAGTGCTTTCGATTATTAGCAAAAATAATTATTAATAAAAGCCCGCCTTGTATCAACGGAATTAGTTTGACCAATTGGGCGAAATACAGCGTAGATTTTAAAGACGGAAATAAATCTATTTTAGAAATAATAACTAGAAATATAAAAGAGGACAATTCGAAGTTAGTGGAGGCTTTCAACGAATTCTACTTGTCTTTAATCTGCTTGCCACATTTATGTGCTAGTATCGATGAAGAATTAGTTACGGTATTGGAAGAAAAAATACAATTCTTCACTCGCTGCTTGAAGGAGAACAGCAAGGAATCAAAAAAATATTTATTCCTATTAAACATTACTTTAGAATGTTTGATACATCTGAAATACGATACGAAGAGACTATTCGAGCTCACAACAAACCAAAATGTTTTTGATGCATTGCTACAATTTACATCAAACCCCGAAAACATTAGTAGTATACATACTATAAGCTTGATTATATCCTATTTGAAGCAAGACGAGCAGTATTTATCCATGGATTTATTGACTAGTATTCATGCGGTAATGGAGAAGAATTTCAACTCGCCTTTTAGAGAGGTAATTGTACTAAAATTGAAAATCTTTTACAGCATTTATCGTAATTATTTCTCGTAGGTTCGACTGTTAACAGCCCACATCTACGCCGCCTTCGAGCATCTACCCGACTTCCAATTGAAACACTCATCCGATCCGGAAGTGCCCGTAGAACCATGGAAAGTATTTTCCTTGATATACAAAACCGAGTCGATAGAATCGAACGTGAGCACGTACAGAGACCAACTCCAGTACTTGGAGAAACTGGATTTCGAAAAATCGCAAATGTCCATGTGCAAACAAACCGCCTTTAAAACGGTACCGCTCAGATACCTCTGTGGTACTTTGTACATCAACTTTCAATTGATATGGGAACCCGTGATTAAAATCGTAGCTTCGCATGCTGCTGGGTTGGATATTAATACATTTTGGAGCGTGTTCGGGGAAGAATTAAAATTAGTACCGAATAGCGTATCACTACCTAAAAATCATGTAGTGAATGGTACAGAAGGGGATAGTTTGGATAGTATTTCGCGGAAATTACACGAGTTGACATCGAAACCGGATTTCGTAAACCACAGGATTCTACTTTGGAAAGCCCTGGAGTCTTTTGCTCATATCGCAGAGGCCAAAACGAGGGATGTTTCGGAGTTAATGTTGTCTTTTATGTCGTAAGTATTAAAGTATTTTTTTAAATTAAATTTTATACCTACTCTGTCTTAGGAATGAGTATGTTATTGGTACTTCGGATACTTTTCCAACGCAAAGCATCAAGCAAAATGCACCCGAAGATGAGAACCACCATTCCGATAATGAAGAAGATTCAAACAGTAAATCTACGACTCGTACGAGTAGTAAAGTATTAATCAAGTAAGTAATTAAATTGTACATATTCTGTCTTAATATCTTTTCCCCGGCTAAATTCGTTCTGGCTCGCAATCGCGATTTGAAAATGAAAATCGTCCGCCATTTTGGAAATTATCCAAGTTGACGTATTGTTTTGTCATTTTTCGTTCTTTTGCGTGGATCCGAATTGTTCCGAACTTGCACTCGGCGAACGCATTTCTTGCGGCCTTTTACTACGTCAGTGTCCAATACGGGGGGGTTGAAAGGGGGCTTCGCCCCCTTTCCGAGCGCTCAGCGAGTACTATCTCTATATTAGCATGTAATTGTTGCATGTTTTTTTAGGACATTAATACAAAAACTAAAAGTCCTGTCGCAAGTAAGGAGTCCTCTATCGATGTACAGAGAACCCGAATTGTACAAACTCTACATCGATTTGCTGCAGCACAAGGACTCGAACGTGCAAAAATCCGCCTTAGATTGCATCTTCACCTACAAGCACAAATTTCTGACGCCCTACAAACAGAACCTGTACAATTTGATCGACGAAAAGAACTTCAAGCACGAAATACGGACGTTCCGAGTAGATAAGGAAAGCAACGTTATCCTTCCCGAACACCGAGAGGGGCTCCTGCCTATTGTATTGCAGATAGTTTTCGGGAAAATGAACGTGAAAACGGGCCTGAGGACGGGCGGGAAGTCGTCGGGGCAGATGCGGAGGAGCGTGGTGTTTAGATTCCTGGCCGATTGCCAAGAGCACGAGTTGCTCGGCTTCCTGAAGAAATTGCTCAGACTGTACAATCCTTTTCTGCGCGACGATCCCCTCGAAATCGTTGACGGAGTTTACGAAAGCTGCAAATTGGAGGGTTTTTTGCCTTTAAAGAGACTGTTAAGTACGCTGAATTTGATCGAAGTGATTCTCGAACAGTGCGGAGGTTTGCTGGGAGATGAAATCTTGACTTATATATTGAAAATCATTTTCGTAATCGGTAAGAATTTTAACACCCGATACTTTTATATCTCTAATAATCTGTTTTATTGAAGGGTCTTCTGTAAAATTCGCTTTTGACCACATCGCCGAAGTCCACTCGGGTTATTCACCATTACTGCGTACTCTCCGAGGATCCTGCTTGAAGCTGATCGAAAGATTCTTCAATCATTTCTACAAGTACTCGTGGAGCAGCCAGCAGATTAACGCGATATTCTCCGCGTTCGTTTGGCCTTATTTAAAGAAATTAAACACCGAGGGCATCCACAGCCCAACGCACTTGTTGAAATTGTTCGTACAATGGGGCTCCAACCCGAGATATTTCCCGCTGTTAGTTAAATGCAAAGAGGACGATAAAACTACTTACGTTTTGCCTTACGTATTGGATTTGTTGATCAACGAAAAGTGCCATATTTCCGTTAGTAACATCGTAGAAGAAATGCTGGAGAAGTTGTTGAATCTCCAGCCGGACGAAGAAGATTCGAAGAATCCCATACCGGTGGATAATGTATTAGAAATTGGTGTGGATGATACAATCGAATTGAACTTCGGTAGTAAAATATTACTCCCGCACGTTCCCGCTGTGTTGACCAAAATAGAGCGAAAGCTCTGTTCGAAATCCAAAAATTTGAACCAAAAAGAGCTGTTTATTTTATCGAGAATCTCCGAATTGGTAACGGACCGCCTCCACAGCGATACGATTCTCAACCTGCTCCTGCCCCTAGTAGTGAAAAAATGCAGGCGAAACCTACCGGAAGAAGTCACGTTAAGATACATCAACAGCATATTCAATTTGATTAAAAACGTCGACTCGCCTCGCGCGCATTTGAAGCAACTCTCGCCCCTATTCGGCGAGGTATCCAATTCCTCGGCGAGGAAAATCCTGTGCCGGATCCTCGACGTGATCGCCACAGACGAAGAACTCAAAACCACAGCAGCATTAATCACCGAACTGAACGCCTTCGATAAGAAATGGATCGATCAGCCGGACTTCGAGCGGCGCCACGACGCTTTCAAGACCCTAACGCAATACATCAACGAAGATAAACTGTCTCTAACGCTCGGTATCATCGCTATACACAATTGCAGCTTCTTCATACACCACGAGAACGATCTATCGGCGAAAGAGAACAGCTCGCACGCGCTCAAAGCGCTCGCCTCGCATTTGATACTGAAATACGCGAAGCAGAGCGATTACATCGTGAACGAGACGCTGTTCGGGCTGATTCGCAACGGCATGAAGAGCCCCAAAGACGATATCAGGAACGAGTACATCTCGTTGCTGGGCCATCTGGCGAGAGAATGCCCCCAATCGCATTTCGTGCTCAGAGATCTGAACAAGTACACCAACAAAGCGGATTTGGAGGTGGATTTCTTCGAGAATTTGGTGCACCTGCAGCTGCACAGGCACGGCAGGGCCCTGTTGAAGTTCTGCCAAATCACCAGAGAGCTCACCGAAGCGCTCAATCCGAGGACTCTCACGCAGTTCGTGCTGCCGCTGGCGTCGCATTACCTTTGCAAGGAGAGGTATTCGAATAAGAACAGCGTGATCGATGGCGCGGTGGAGACCATCGGCGTGGCCTGCAGGATCCTGCCCTGGTACCAGTACGAAGGGTTGCTGCGGTACTATCTGTCGAAGCTCGGCAGCAAATTGGACTTCCAAAAGCAGCTGGTTAAGGTTATCGTGGCCGTTTTGGACGCGTTCCATTTCGATTTGAAGAACGCCCACCCGGTCGAGGTGCAGAAGAAGAACGCCGATGAAGAAAATGCAGTTGTAAATGAAGCAAACGATGAGGAACGTGCAATTTTAAATGCAGATGTCGTGGAAGAAGCTGCAAATGGCGAGGAAGATGATGAGGAATTAGATTTGGATAATTTCGTTGGAAATCAAAACGATACGGAAGATATCGAAGATGTAGAAGTTGCCGATGATAAAGTCCTAATAGTCGATAAAGTGTCTTTGCTGTGCAAGTCTACGGCGACTAGAGTAGTGAAAGCTTTGCATGTAAGATCTTATAAAAATCACTTTTTATTGTAATTTTTAATAACTTTTTCATTTCAGCTGGTATTGATACCGAAACTACACAAATCTTTAGCCGAATTGACTCATTACGATACGTCGCATAAAGTGAATAGGAGAAAAATGCACCACGAAAACGAAGACGAGGACTTACTGCGTATACCCATCTCCTTGGCTCTGGTGAAACTGTTGCAGAAATTGCCAGAGAATATTTTACAAAGTAGCCTTCCGGGGTAAGTCACTCAATTAATACACTCTAGAATAAAGTCTATCGAACGTTTGCACTTATTTTTTAGGATATTCATGAAGATTTGCACGTTTTTGAAGTCTCGCCTGGACAGCGTGCGAAAGGTAGCCAGAGAAACGCTGCAAAAAATCATGCTGACTTTAGGCCCCAAATATTTGGCTTCCTTGCTAGAGGAAATGTCCCCTCTATTGGGACGAGGCTATCAAGTACACGTTTTAGTGTTTACCATCCACGGCGTGCTCCATTGCTTGAAGGACGTTTACCAATCGGGCGATTTGGATCGAGTGCTACTGACAGTTTTGAAAGTAAGCATTTTTCTCCTCTCGAATTTCATATATTACAAATTCAATGGAGAGGAGTACGACTTTTTTTTATGAAACTACGTATTCTTATGAAGTCATTGTGAAATTTTAAATTTTTTCCGTTTTCTATTAAGGTCACAATTAATTTTTAAAGTTTGAAATACGTCACAAGTCATTAACCAATCACATTAAGAATTGGTGGTAAAGATCGTTTTTAGCGACGTTGCCAATTATCTTCTTACTTTGAAAAAAAGGCGTTAGTATGTCTGCTATAATTTATTTTTTGTATTTCTTGATACAGTTATGATTTATTCGAAAAATATAGAGCGAACTTATACGAATTTTTACGAATTACTGTAAGTATCTTAAATTCTAAATTATTGTTCAGTAAAAATGGTAATTTGGCATCATCGAATGTATACTTTTGACTTTTTAATCTTGTCAAATTAATAAAAACAAAAACTTAACTTCCAACCAAACAAACTCGCATCCGAAGTTAGTTAAACACCTGTTTTGTGAAAAAAACCTGTTTCATGCCGTTTTGTAAAAATTCTTCATTGTATTCTAAAAAATGTTTAATTTTGGCCCAAGAAACTTAAAACAAAAAAATTACAAAATTACAATAACATAACCCTAGATATGTCGTCTGTCATTTGATGTTACATTTCACTTTGTTCGTTTCTTCTATTCTTCCGAACATTTCCTTCAAATTCTTATGCCACTAATGATACAATGTAACTCGTTCGTTTTGTGATTGGTTAGTGATTTTACAAGTCACGAGTCAAAATTTTAAATTTATAAGGGCTATATTTCCTAAAATGTTGAATATTTTCAGCAACTGAAAACTACTTTGAATTGTAATAACTTATTTCTATTCATATATCTGGTTAAAAACCGTTTATCTCACATCGTACTCATCTCCATTCCAGTTCTGCATATCCGACATTTTCGGCGCTCTATCGGAGGAAAAAGAAGTGGCCAAAATAGCTGTAAAAGTATCCGAAGCGCGACATTCGAAATCCAACGATACTCTGCAGATATTAGCCCAGTACATAACCGAATCGTGCCTGCTCGATCTGATCCTGCCGATCAAGCGCGTTTTGGAGTCGTCGTGCTCCTTCAAAACCGCCCAGAAAGCGCAGGAGTCTCTGCGTTACATCGCCTCGGGCCTGGTGGACAATTCGTTCGTTTCCACCGAGTCTTTGTTGAAATTCGCCTACGGGTCTTCTTCGGAAGGTATACCGCAGCTCATACCCCAGGAGAAGCCTAAAAAATCCGACAAGGAGATCGAGATGGAGAAGCGCGGAAAGGAAGATTGTTTTATAATACCTAAAGTATCGGGCAACAGGAACACTTACAGACTGCAAAACGTTAAGAATTCCAGTAAAGCTAATGCGCATTTATTAGTGGAGTTCGGTTTGAGATTGTGCTTTACGATGCTGAAGAGGGAGAAGGTTAAAGATGATGTTTATAAACCCTTCGTTGATCCTTTTGTGGAAGTATTTAAAAAGTGCTTGAAAGCGAAACATGTTAAGGTAATTTATTATTTTACGAATCACTATTATACATTATTATATTTATTATTTTTTCAGTTGTGTACTTTGACTCTCCAATGCCTCGCTTGGGTTTTCAAAATGGACTTGCCTTCATTGAGGTCGAGTATAAAGCTTATTACGAAAGATATATTCGCTATTCTCCATAAATACGCCTCGGCTGGGCTCAGTAAAGGGGATAATTTCGATTTGGTCGTTTCTGCATTTAAGGTTCGTATTTCATACAAATAATACTCATCTTGTAAGACTAATTAAAATGTTCTAGGCAATGTCGATTCTAGTGAGAGATGTAAATTACTACAACATCGATTCCAATCAATCGAAAATCCTGCTGCTCTACGTCGAGCAGGACATCCACAATTACGAAAGGCAAGCGACCGCCTTCAATTTGCTAAAATCGATATTATCGAAGAAAATCAACGCGCCCGAATTGGCCGAAGTGATGGATAAAGTGGCCGAATTGAGCGTAATGTCGGAGGTGGATCACGTCAGGATGCAATCGAGGAACGTTTTTCACCAATACTTGATGGACTATCCGATGGGGAACGATTTGGAGAAACACTTGAGCTTCTATTTGTCCCAGTTGAGCTACGAGATGAGGTTCGGCAGGGAATCGGCCATCGAAATGATCTCTACACTAATTAACAGCTTCCCTTTGGTAAAATAAAACAGTAATTTTTGTATGAAGCTTGTGTAATATTAGTATATTCGTTGTTTTAGGTTGTGTTGAAAGCTCAAAGCGCTACTATGTTTATAACATTAGGCGTCCGTTTGGTGAACGATGAAGAACCCGATTGCAGGAAAAGGATCGCAGAATGTTTATTAGCGCTGCTAAAAAAGCTACCTAAAGCTGACAGGGATCCATTGTACGATATCACATTGACGTGGTTGAAGGATAAAAATGTATGTATTCCATATAAGGTTTGTTCCAGCAGCATGTTCAAATTATGTTTGTATCAGTATTGTATTGCGCATGCCCTGATGTATACAAGTTCGTTATAAGATTGGAACATTTCTTGCTGGAACACCTCGAGCAGTTGTTGAGCAGCAATTAAATTTTATAAATTTCGTTTTTTAGATAAACCACAGAAGACTAGCGGCGCAAATCTGCGGTATATTCGTAACCACCGAAAAATCCTTATTCGAAACCAGACTCCCGCCGCTTTTACCATTACTGTTAACCCAATTCGGCATCGACAATTCTCCAGGGAAATTACTGCTCGTAAAATCCAAAGAGGAACACTCCCTGACCGAGGAACAGCAGCGCACGAAAGACCACCACCTGTTCCAAGCGCTGCAGCTGCTGCTGAAGCTCTGCCTGCACTGCCCGGCGGTGTTGAAGGAGCGAGAGCTGGTGGAAAATTTGGCGGTGCGCGTCCAATCGCTGCTCGCCTATCCGCACGATTGGGTGCGATTGAGCGCCGCCCAATTCCTGGGCTACGTCTTGCATTCCATCGACGCGGATCGTCTGTCGAATTTGATCGTTTCGAACGAGGAATCCGAGGGATATCTCGCCAGGGATCCCGTCAACGCGGTTAAATCGTTGACACTAGATTTATGCGATCAGCTGCAATTTGTCGATATCAAGAGCGATTTGGCCGAGCAAGTAAGTTTGAATCTTTGAGTTACTCTAGCGAAGCTAAAACTACAAATTAATTTACAGGTGGTGAAGAACTTGGTTTTCATAGCGAAAGTGCTACAAAACGTCCCGGTGGCCGAAAACAAACCGAACCTCCTGTGGTTAACCAAACGAATGAGAAAAATCGTAAATACCGAAATAGTCGAAAACGCTTCCAGTATTGTACTGAGAACCGAAGTGTTCAAATGGATCGCGGGAGTTTCAGTCACATTAGACTTGGAAAACATCCTTCCGGTAGCCCATCATTTGCTGGCGCCTCTGGTGAGGGAACTCGGGACTACCGAGGAGAAGAACGCCCCGTTGCGTCATTTGGCCAAGGAGGTGGCTAATTTGGTAAAGGAGAAGATCGGGGCCGATGTGTACTCGGAGGTTTTGCTCAAACAGCAACAGCATTTGTCCGTTAAACGGGCCGAAAGGAAACGCACTCGTACCCAGCTGTCGGTTACCGATCCGGAGAGTTACGCCAAAAGGAAAATCAAAAGGCACGAGAAGAAAAAAGAGGCCAAAAAGAGGAAAATCGAGTCGTTGAAAGGGACGAAGAGGATTTTCAAGAAGAGAAAAACTATAGACTTGGAAGATAATTAGTTATCAATATCTAAGACTGTATAGGTATATTTATTTTTAGATGCTGGAGTTTATGTATATATTGTAATATAGTTGTTAAAAACTTCGATTTTTCGAAATTTACTTCTCCCAAGAGAAACCCACAAAAGGAAGCGTGTCAAAATACGATTAAATAAAAATTGTATTACACTTAATTACATCATATTATACCTAAAAAGAATACTAACTTTAGGAATGAGTGTTTTCCGGCGGCGGAGCCATACAATTTCCAGTCGGGTACCGTTTCCTAAAGTTTTCCCTTAAAACCGGATCTAATATCCTTATACCGTCGACTTGATTCCCCAACGTTATCCAATTGGGTTGAATGTTGTGCGGTCTGCCAAACAACTCGATTTTCCTGGTACCAGGAGATAGTCTCTCGATCATGCCTAAAAGTTGCAATTGCAAATTCCTTCCTTTAAAATCTATTTAACTATCTAACCGTAAATCTCGTCTGGTTTGTGACTAGTAGCTCTGACTTCGGCTACGATAACATCGGAATCCAGTCCTCTATTTAAATTTTTCGGGTTGCCTTTCATACCGACGAGACAATGTTCCTTGCCGTGATTCAACCAATGCCCCGTTCTACCGGTCCTAATTATTCGCTGCAACTGATTAGTTTTCACCCATATTATTTCGTCCACCTACAAACACAAAAGTAAAGATGAATAAAGTTCCCACGGAACAAGAATTTCATCTTAAATACCCTTTCGTATCCCCAAAGTTGCAAGCATTCCCGGCCCAATTCCATAGCCCTTCCAGTCACCCACAGAAATATCAATCCTTCATCTTGCAGTTGCGGAATGCCCAGTTGTCGCATTTCATCATCAGACATGGTACCGTACGGAAGTTCCATATGAATATCCCAAGGAGGATCCGCCATTATTACAGCAAATTTACCTGCAAGAAGAACCTTTTAATAACCCTCCTTATCGACGTTTTTTATTGAAGAGTGTATCACCTAACACAGTCATATCCAAATATCTCAAATCGCACTGGACCCATTGAGGCGGGAACAAAGTGGTGCTCTCTACTCGTACCACGGGACCGCTCGAAACGGCCGGTGCATCATCGGAATTACCGGCTCTATCGACTTCATAATGGACGTATTTGCAAGTATCCATGTGGAAGCAGGTGTTGAGGAAGGAACAGTCTCCGAGCGATTCGTCGGTGTGCTTTTGAAGGATCTTTTTGAAGTGCAGCTTTTTGCAATCCGCTGTACCGTTTCGTTCGCAGTCTAATCGAGTGCCGTGCGGACAGAATTCCATGAGCTGTTTGCCCCCTTGGGATTTGAAGCGTTCTGTGAGCGATCGTTCTTTGGCTGTAGGCTTGCTCAACAAGTCCCAGATTTCTTCGCCTAGTTTCTTGCTTTCCTTTTCTTTTGTCGATGGCATGCTCAATAAACTCTACAAATATATCTTTATTATATACCTGAAATTATATATAAATAATATCTTACTAATATATCCGCTTTAGGTTCTTTCTTCTCCTTTTTCCTCTTCTCCTCATCTAACTCTGAACTTTTCTCGGGGGAGTCTTCTCGTTTCCTCTTTAAATCGTCCTTACTTGAATCATTTTTGTATTCCGAACTATCAACAATCATGGCGTTTACTTTGGAGACTTCCACGTGTACTACTTCGAGTAAATTATTGCCGTCTTTCGATGTGCAATTGACCGATATTAGTTTCTGGATAGCGAACTTCTCCAGAAGATTGCATGTTTTTCTGTGCAAGCTCTCTTCGTCGGAGCCTTTTAGTAAATTCAGTAGCTCCAAAGAGGTTATAGGAAGCTGGAGAGTTACTTCGCTGAGTTGCTTTAAGAGTTCCTTTTCGAGTTCGGGGTCTAGTTTTACCAAATCGAGTTTTTCTTCGAATTTTGGTTCCTCTTTCACGGAAACGTTTGCGTGTGCAGCAAAAGGCTTAGAAGCCCCATCGGATGAGCTAACAGGCGATGGAGAACCTATTATTCAATTAATTATTATTAAATAGAGGTAAAAGAAAATTTTAATTGCTCACCTAAACTAGAACCTAACAATTCTTGTCTTTCTTTTTTCCGTTTCTCCAAACGCTCCCATAAGCTGTTTCGTTTGCTTTTGATCGCTTGAATTTCTTCCCAAGCGTCTGTGGACATTTTTATTCAGAGAAATTCAAATTTCATGCTAAAATTAAACTAACATTGTAGTCATTTCATTTGTTTGACATTTTTGTGCAAAATACAAAATATGAGGTTAGGTATTTTTCTTCTATAATTTATAATGTTTGGTCTTTACTAAACGTATTCTGCAGCATCTAAAACCACAACTAACTGTTAAATTATGTTTATTTTTCTAACGTAAATTATATTTGAACAATGATTAATTAGTTATTTTTAGTGAAACTTTACTCTATCTAGTAGTTTCTTGGTGATTTTTTACTAACTAGTTACCTGGTAACGTCTAACGTCGCAGTCTAGATATAAAAAAAAATGAAAAAGAAGATTGAGGTTATGAAGCTTATTCGGTTTTGAAAAAATTCTAAAATTAATAAATAGTTTATTATTTAATTTATTGAAATGTTGAATAATGAAGCCAGTGTTAAAAAACAGAAAATGCATGACAGAGAAGCGGAAGAAAAGAATCCTTGTTTAAAAGAATCGAATTTGACGAGCAAGTGCTTCAATGACAACGATTTTGATAAATCGAAATGCACCGTTGAAATAGAAAATTACAAATTGTGCAAATCGTTCTGGGTAATTTTTTTGATTTAATTTTACTCGAAAAATTACCAATTAAATTTATCAATAAATATATCAAGGGTTCTACTAGATGGTAAAATGTTATATAAGTATTAAAAGGGTGATCAAATATGTAGAATTTGTGTTTTTAAAGAGTACAAACTCTGTATTTTTTTCCCTTTTTAATTGTTCTTTAATTGTAGTTCGAAGTCCAAAAAGACCGACGAAGAAGAGGTATAAAGCCATTTATGCCTGTTTTAGAAGAAAGGGACTCGATTAAAAAGGAATTTTTTAAAAAAGTCCATGGTTAGATTTGTTGTTTTATAGCAGAGTTTAAATAAATGTACATTTTTATTTACTTTAAATACATTCTATTAAATTACATGAGCTTTTCACATACGTATAATACCAACTTTTCAAAATTCCGATCGATTTTAAATTTATTCAAAGACGTCACAATATAAAATCATTGGTTTATTGATATTTGACAATAATTGCTTTTATTTCTCTAAATAACTTCACAGACGATTTTAATAGGCCAGTCTATTCACAATAAAATTAAGAATTTAGATAAAGTGAAAAAGTTGGTAACTTACAAAACTTATAATAAAGGCTAAGATGATCGGTACATATAAATACAGGGGTTTCAACAAAGATCTTAAGCTATCTGCATAAAGAAAACTTTTTGAAAATAACCTATTCCCGCAAATATTCCAAATATAAATAGTTTTCCATATGTAGATAATTAAAGGTCATCTTGGGAAACCCGGCATAGCTTATTTGGATACAAAAAATAGCATATTTGGTCTCGAAATATAATTTAGAGAGCTCGAATGAAAGCTTTTGTTGACAACCCCTATGCCTAAATTCACAACATTCTCACCCTTAAGATGAATCAATTTATGTTATCACAACCTTTAGGTTATTAACCGTACAGATTGTGATAACATAAAATACTAACATAAGGATGATTGTGTATTTTGTTATAGAAATCGCAATAATTTGTATATTATCAAATATCAAAATATTACCCATTTTTCGACTACAAGCACATTCTAATTTGTCGAGATAATCAAATGCGATTTTAGTAAATTTTTTATCACAATGATTTTGGTAAATGTTACTCGGAATATTTTCAAGAGCTGTTGTATTTACGATTAGTATCTAATATTTATGTGATAAAATCTAGACGATTACAAAGCATGATTCAAAGATTGTTCGAAAAGTGGTGAATGACGGAAACTAATTCATTATTTATTGCCAATTCATAAAGAGATTGAATTAATATTTTTTTATCTGCTTTACGATCTATTACAAGTACTTAATATCACGCAAAAGTGGTGTTTCGATACTTTTGAACAATGCAATGACATCTTCTAAATTTCTATGAAACTCAATGAAATTTCAAATTTGCATTTGATTATCTTAAATTTGCATTTAAAGATATATTCTGCACAAATTGAAGCATTGAAATATAGCAATAAGTGGTATAAAAATTATACAAGGTGTAAAGAATTTCTCTACATACGTTAAACGTTCTCTAGGTACGTCTCTATAGCACGTTAAAATTTGTATTCATTACAAGTGGATTTTTATGGATTCCAAATTAAATAAATCGAAAGACTTAAAATGACTATAAATTAATAAAACATGCGGTATATTTGTAGCGATACACCAAACACCCCTGTACCCTACTCTACCCTACCCTGTACATGAATGTTGAGATTTATTAAATTTAAACTATTTTGGACCATGCAAATTAATCATTCATTTGTACGCTTAATACTGACGATATATTTGTTCTAAAAAAGTTACAAATTTATCAAGTTTGCTATTTAGAGGCAATTTGTACTTAGATTGATTGTGATGTGTATCGTTATAAAATTTATTACTCGTATTTCATAGTTATTGCAGTTTCTACAACTCGTTAATTTTTAGCACCAATAAATATTTTCAATATATAAAAAAATGCTAATTCTGTCTTTATAATCTACGTATTTTGAAGTTATCTACTTGCAAGACGCAAAGCCAATTCGAAACTCATCCCACGAAACGGAAATATATTTCATAAAATCGATAATCGAAAGCCATTAAAGTTTAATTACTATTTATAAACACTAACAAATTGCAGGAATGTAAGCAAATCGGTAACAAACCACCATTTATATCTCCCTATCGCATAGTTTCAGTAATAAATTAAAAATGTATATACAAATATAAACTGGCCTGTATTGTACTTAGGGCCCTATCGTGAAACGAATAAGTCCCAAATAACTATTACAACCGATTATATGGAACTTATCTATCGTTTAATAAAGTAACGAGTACTTTATTACACACGTTATACAAAATTTTACACTCACTCGACATCAATTAATGAAAATTTAGGAAACTTGTGTCTTTTATACGCACTGCTTGAACGACCAAAATGAAATTTACGCTTGCTCGATCAATAGTCAATCCGAAGGTTTCTTGATGGTGAAGCAATTTACTTTAAAATGCCTACACATTTGCCTTACCTAAAAAAACAACAATTCATTAAACAATAATCATTCGATTAACAGATCAGGGGAACACAATGGATGAGAACTGATGCAAGAGTTAGAACGGACTGGATGATGCAAAGGTGGATAACTAGAGGCGGAGGAATAAGAAGAAGAAAGGCTTCTAATAACTACTCATTACACTTACCACGGATGTTCCGTAGTGTACATGGGCGACAGTTGTGAACAAACACAATATGTACAATAATACTAACTCCAACCAAGCCCATCCGGTCATCAAGGAAAGAACGACGGATATCAAAATGGGCACCAACAGCCAATTGAACGCGTTAAACGTCGTATTGCTCATTTGCGCTACGATTAACCGGCACTGAAACGAAATTAGGTACACAATAAAGGAGTTATTCAACATAAAGTATAGGCACAACTCACAGATATATTGGAGAAAACGGTGCCCAAGAGGAAGAACAGAGCCCTGGGATCCCGTTCGACGATGTCGCCCGGGGAATAGACCACCCAAATGGTGGTGAGAGCGAATAACATGCCGACGGCTGTTAGAGGCCTGATGGCGTCGACGAACGTTCGCATTTTGCCCGTTTTGTTCTTATACGACATGTAAATGTTGTAGGATATTACAGGTACGTTTGATATGAGGGAGGAGATGTACAGCGTCAATTCCAGTATGTTACCGGCCGTCAGGCTGCCTATGCGGAAGTGGAATATTTCCGGGCCGAATAACTGAAAAGGAAAAGATTGGATTTCATTAAAAATCGTTTTAGGGACACTCTGTATGAATCGAAATAATTTTATAAGTTAATCTATTGCTACGCTTAATATTGAGTAGGTCAATCATGATTATAATCAGTTTTTGATAACTATTTTAGATTCCTGTGAGAGGTGACTTGGCATTTCTTGACACTTTGACGATGACATATAATTTTTTTGATTCAAAGTTTTTTTATACTTTCATTCAGTCAAAATGAAAAAAAAAACAGATTATAACATAACATAATTATAATAAAAAATAGTAATTGCTACACATAATAATTGAGCAGGTAAATTACTATTATGATTCATTTTTTGATAACTAGATTTTTATGAGAGGTAATTTGACATTTCTTGACACTTTGACATTGACAAATAAATTTTTCTCGAATATGATTTCAATTCTTTTATACTTTCATTCAGATTCAGAAAAAATAAAAAAAATTAACTCTGTATTAGTTGGGAATCTCTATGAATCCAAACAATTTTATAACTCCATTGCTACGCATAATAGTATTGAGCAGGTTAACCACGATTATTATCAGTTTTTGATAACTAGATTTTTGTAATAGGTGACTTGATATTTCGTGACACTTTGACATTGACATATAAATTTTTATCGAATTGATTTAAAAGTGTTTTATCAACTTTGTTCCTATTATTTTTGGGATATTTTGTATGAATTCAAACAATTTTATAAGGAAGACTATAGATACATATACATAATATTGAGCAGGTAAATCACGATTATGATAAATTTTTGGATAACTAGATTCTTGCAGTGAGAGGTGAATTGACATTTCGTGACACTTTGACATTGACATATTGAATTGTCCTCGATAAATTAGTTCCCAAAAAATTGCAAAATAATCTAATTTCTAATCATCACACCATGATTCGACTAAATATTTACAAAAAAATCATTTGAAGTACCCGATATATCTCTATTATACTGCTCCACAAAAGTTAAGGAAGTTCACAAATATTGAGATTAATTTAAAAGTTGCAGGTTTTTTGATCGCCAAATTTAGTATGAGTTGTAGAGGAAGGGACAAAAAATCCACTCAAATATGATAGAAAACATTTAATTTCGCATATATGAAAATTTGGCGATCAAAAAGTCTGTAACTTTTAAAATAATCGCAAAATTTGCGAACTTCCTTTTGTGGAGCAGTTTATTTACCGAAACCTATTCTAATTACCATTTTTAGTGACTTATTCAAAACTCACCCCGGCCAAAAAGAACGTAATTATAGTACCCCACATGGAGAAATCGTAGCCCCACGGCAAGAACATGACGCCCGTGTTGTACTTTTCAAAGTGCGTCATGTAGAAATTCATCAAGACGTTCCACATGGTGAAGTACATCCTGAAGGGGGCTATGCTGTAGCGGGCGCCCCTGCTGAATATCGAATACATTGCGCCGGGAATGAGGCCCGCGGTGTAAGAGTCCAAACCGTGGTCGAAGAGCTCCCCCAGGGGGCCGCTCGTGCCCGTTCTTCGCGCCTGTTTGCCATCTATCCCGTCTGGAATTCATCGAAAAATTATTATTATTTTTATTCAATTGATTATTGGTAGTTTACCTAATGTGTATGCGGTAAATAAAAATATGGCGGCCGTCATGTAGGGCCATTTTCCCGGCGATTCCACTTCGGGATGGTCTGGATCGGCGGCGTAAAAATTATAGTCCAAAATGGCGAAATATATATATGTTACTACTGTAAATAGGAAACCCGTAAATGTTAATAGATTTGGAGCTATGGACCGTGGACAGAACTGAAAAAAAATCGATAATTATCTAATTAATAATATAAAAAAAGTCACAATTTATTTCTTTATTTTCTGATCCCTTGTCAATTTAATTATATTTTCCTAATTTTTAATGGAAAAATGTGCTTTAAGTCATTTAAAATAGTAGACAAAAATAATACAAAATTTGCAGGTTTGTTTAAAATATGCTTTGACCTATCTAAGAATTGTGACATCACTTTTGACCTTGCTCTGTTTGAATTTTATTTAAGCTTTTCTATGTAGCCAAAAAAAGTATCGGTAAACGTTAATAAATACATAAAAAGATCAAATTTTATTGATCTTGAATTGAATTGAATTTACTTTCTACTCAAACATTTATGAGAATGATTTTCATTGAATTATACCAATTATTATTAATAAAAAATACAATAATACACAGTAAAATTAAATTTTCAATCGTAATTTAATTATGCTAAAAATATGTTTGAAAAAATTGCCAAGTATAGAGTATTGATAAAACAATTACGACTGAATTTAAATGCAATATAATTTTAAATAACATGAAATTACCTGTACTACCCAATTCCAAAACGGATGCATAACGTATATACTGAGGACTCCATTATCTATACAATTATACTGAAAAAAAAATAATCTTTTGAAAAGATAGTAATTACTGTACAGGAATCCCATAACAATACCTGCAAACTTTTAGAGATGCTAAAACGCCTCTAGAATATTTTAATGTTTATTAAACACTTACTAAAATTTTTCTTAATTTTGAATTCAAGATTCAAAAAAAAGTATCACAATACTACATTAATAAGACAATAAGAAATAAATTTATTTTTATGCATGTAACGTGCATACAATTAGTAAATTTTGACCTATTCTCATAATATCGGAAGCTTTAAATTGAGAATAAAAATGCGTAAAGAAAGTATTATTACAAATGAGCATACAACAATAACAACTTTCAATTTTTTAGTAGTTTGAAAGCGTTTTACAATTAAGGAAATAAACATAGAATATAATTGGAATGCTAATCATAATATTTACTTAACTGCGAAATAGACATTTTAAATAGAAAATTTTTTATAATTAAGAAATTATTTAGATTAATGCCCAGTTTCCTATCATCGACATTACCAGATCTTTAACCTTCTTATCTAATCACATTCAGAACTACTGTTTCTCTGTTTAGCGTAAGATTTGAAAAAGTGGAATAAATAATCATTGTTACAAAAGAAGATATAAGTGAATTGACATATTTATTTTAAAATAAATTATTCTATTATTCCACATTATCAAATTCCAACATCTATTTGTACGTCGAATTTAAAGTAATCTAAAATAATATCACGCCAGGTAATTATTACTACTATAGAAGCAATTATATCATAAAAACGCAATAAAAACTAATCAAATTGTATACAAAAAAAAGGAAATTATTTTAATTCCTTAGATACAACCTCATTAATTTTATCCTGTACTATGGACATCAATTACAAAACTAAATAATTATAAAATTTTTAAAATTAGAGTGAAATTAAAATATCCTGTATAATTATATTCAAATTCACGTAGTGATTGACAAAGAGGTTTTTTGTTCAGACACAACATACCTACCATTCATGTTATTTGATATCTTTAATAAGGTGATATTTAAAATATGCAGCTTTATCTGTAACACTGCATGTGTTATCTTAATGCATGAGAAAGGTAAATTAGGCGAATATAAAGTTGTTAATTTTCTGTTAAATTAAATAAAAGACGGGCTGTTTAAAGCGCATTTTCATTAACTAAGCAATAAAATATCAAACTGACGTTTATAAATGTGCTATCATTAAAGATTCCAACAGTATAGTCCAATGCAAAGGTCGTGTGTTAGAACACGTTGAAAATAGTAATAATAAGAATTTAACTTACCTTGTAATTATCAAATCCAATTAGGTTGTCTTTAGTTAAGTACTGTTTTTCCATTATGAAATTTTTAATATTTTGGTCACTAAAAATTACTTGCACACTTAGATATTAACTCTATAGTAAGATTACTGCGTTTTCATTGAATTGTCCATTGATTGCTAAGCGAACCAATTCAATTTCCTATTCTAATAAAGTAAATACGAAAGTACATCATACATAACCTACGATCAAATTGAAAATGTCAGAGGTTGTATTTGACGTTTCCAATTTATAACCTCAGATTTTATAAATCTTCTTTTTTTTTCTATAATGAATGATCAAGTGGCTGAATAGAGACAGTAGTAAAGGCCTGAATTTGGCAATGGATTACAAATTTTATGCACTGGCCGGATGCGACACATCGCAAGAGGCCATGTGTGTAACAGAATTTTTTTGAGCAAAACTTTTGAAGATAAAATACAAATTTAATGTATTTATGCAAACCAAACTTTAAACATTTTTCCGGACCCACGTTTATATGAACTTTTGTCATAAAATAAGCCAAGGAATCACCCCCTTTCAGATGTACACGATGTTTAGGAACACACTGTATAAAACCAGTGGCGTAGCGAGACCTTTATGAGCCCGTATGCCACTGGAATTTGTGGCCCCCTTACTCTTTGTATTATTCCCTTGTATATGAAAATGATAAGTATTAAATAATGCCCCATTTGCACTTTGCCTTGTAAAGTTTTGAGCCCGTGTAAATCGTGCTCCTTACACCCCCAGTTGCTACGCCCCTGCATCAAATTTAATATTCTTTAGGTTCCCAGTTTCAATAAAGTTTTCCTGCTTGTACATCAGCCCTGCATAGCGAAAAAAAGCCGATCGTTTGAAGAAATGTTAAAATTTATTGTTAAAATTTAATAAATTACTGATATATTAGGACATAGATAAAAATTAAAGTAGGGAACAAGTTAATCATACATAAGTGCAATCTGGTTGTGTCGCAACGCACAGCCGCTGACTAGGGCACACACACACACTGGTTACATCGGGTGATTCAACAATAAACACCGTAGCCGTATCTAAAGCATATTTAAAAAAAATATAATAATAATAATAATAAAGAATAATAACAAATATACCACATTCTTTCCAACAGTTTTAATCTTAACACACCCGAGAGCTCGTATTCGTAAATTTCCACAATACTATCCAAAAAAAAAACAAAAAAAAAGGGGGGGATTTTACAGTAGCATCGAAGATCCTGTTTCGCAAACATTTATTCTTGAATCATCCTGTACAGGCATATTACCTATTCGCAGGCGACATACACATCGGTACGCTGGGCAACGAGCGGACGAGCGCCACCCGCCGCCCCATTTCATGCCTCCGTCTCGCCGCCCTTCAGCCTCAATCGCGCGAAATCCTCGAATATGATGTCGTCGTCGTGGCCCTCTTCGGCGTCCAGCTGGATCAGGTTCGCGTCCACCGGCACGTCGCTTCTCACGTCCTCGCTGACGCGTCGCGGCGTCGCCGGCGGCAGCACCTCCTCCTCCGGCTTCGGATGCATCAGTATGAACGGCAATTCGGCCACCAGGTCCCCACCCAACGCACCAAGGCACAGTTTTACCTTCAAACGATTCATACGATTAGTTCTATTCGAAGCGTTGACGTGTGTGAAGTCGGCAACGCAATTGTAGTTGTCAGTAGTTCTGATTAGAGTTTTGGATTCCTTTTAGATTTACAACTACAGTTGCGGTGCCAACTTCACACACCCGGCATTGTTCGATATGTCCCATACCTTAACTTTATATTGGACGATGATTCCCAAGTTTTCTCGTTGTGACGTATCGGCTATGAGCGTGCTCGAAGCGAGATTCGTGTCTTCGTGTTTTAATTGACCGTCGAGGGCTAAGCCCCATTTGTCCTTGTTGTTGGCCAGCAACGGCGTCAGCGTGTAGACCTTGCTTAGAGTGAAACCGGGCCCGATGGGGCAGCCCTCGTCGCTCTCCGCCTCGGCCACCGTGCACTTGTATTGGGCGGTCGAGAACAGACAGATGTCGGCGAATTGTCGCACCGATACTTTGATCTTCTTCACCGTGCGATTGGAATTGTTCGCTATGTGCACGTTGACGGCGATGTTCTCGCCGTGGTGGTACAGTTTCTTGTCCAAAGACGCTTCCAGGTAGAGCTTGTTGGGGCTCATCACGAATTCTTTGCTCACTTCTACGGACGGTTGTTCCCCTTGAACAGAATTGAAATTCGTTGAGTTTTATGTGCCAGATTTAGCTCTAGATTAGGATGTGTAAGTATGTTTATTTTCGAGACGCACTGTATATTATTAAACGAATTCAAACATTCAATAAAAATAGTGATTTTCAAGAGCTTACAATCGTTCTATGCATATTGGTCTCTACAATAGGCCTTATTCTGGGACACACTGTATAAGTATGGAATATAAAAAAATATAGGGCATAACTCAGCACTTAGTAAAGAAAACATTGCAATTCACTCGGGTCACTTAAATACATCACTTTCGCGCGAATGGGCGTAGTTATATGACCCAAGTGAATTATATACATTTAATAATCTCACGAAATATATGGAAGTTGGGCTAGTCTAGTTTAATTGGACGAGAGGAGTAGTGTTTTTCTTTCTAATTTCTAATTTTCATTTATAGTCATTTCTTTCTTTCGAGGTGTCTCAACTGCATAGGCTATTCAGCCACAATTACAAGCCAACTTTTCCCCTACAATTGTAGTATCAGCAGCTTAAGCTATTCAGCCACAATGACAAGCCAACCTTTCCCCTACAATATCGTAATGAACAACGTTATTTTAACGTAAACGAAACTCTTCTCGAGCCGAGTACCTTGTTTATTCGGCGCGTACATAATCTTCCTGATGGCCAGCCTGACGGAGTTCCTCTTGTGCGGCTTGTCGTCCTGGCTCTCGCCCACGAACGCCTTCAGTTCGTAGTCGATGCCGCAGGGTTTGCCGGTGTCGCCGGGGGCCGGTTGCAGCGTGACGGAGGCGGGACAGTGGGGCGGCAATTCGAAGTAGAACGGGAACGCGTTCGAGCCCAGTTTCTTGACCAGCCGTTCCTGCAGCCTGGTCAACGGCCGTTTGCTCTGCGTCGCGCTGTCCTGCGGATAGATCTGTTCGGCCGCTAAGTACAAGTCCTTGCGGAAGGTCAATCCTAATACGTCTAAATCTTCTCTACCATATCTGCAAATTTAAATATTTATGCATTTAACTAGGAGTAAGAGACGTTATATTACTGGGTTACCAGTTTGTACACAAGTCTCACTAGTACTCGTTACTATATTTCAATATAAATTACAATAATTGTTCGTTTTATCATTTTTCCGGTTTCATTAATGAAAAAACACCCTGTGCATTAAATTAAATGTCAACGTATCCCGTAGTAAAGCAAATGACAAGTTTGACAGTTCGAAGTTTTGTTCTTCGCCGCTGTCATTAGTGTAAGTTTTTTTAAATTAATTTGAACATTTCTCGGTTTTTTAGTAAATATAAATGACCAAAAACATATAATTTTGTGAATTATTGCAATTTCTTTTATTCTCCTCCATTAAAAGCATAATAATTGTCTAAATAAGGAAAAAGTCTCTCATTTCGGTGTAGTTCCGTTTAACCCAAACGGACGGGCAACGTCCATCAAATAATAATTTATTTAGAAATCTGTCAAAAATTTACTTTTAATTTCGATTTACTATAGGTAAATTCTATGAGTTGAACAAAGAGAGATTATTAAAATAGCAGTGGTTAGAATGCGAAAGTTACAACATCCCCACAATCATCACACTTTCTTTTTCCTTTATATACGAGACTAATGGAAGTTGTCTTTGTATAATGTCTTAATAATGTGATTTTAAGGATCGATTTTAAGGAATAAACTTCATGTGAAAGTGTATCCTTAACTTAAGAAATAAAATTTTGCAAAAAAATATCTCTTGATAAAAACACCGAATTAAACTCGGAAAATACACGTTTTTTAAATAATAGGTTAAACATTTAAACAAAAACGCGACTGATTTAAATAGCTAAATATAAAACAAGCTTATTACGTGTATTATGCAAATAAGTCGGGTATAAATTAACAGCATTATTTGCCGTATAAAACCCGCGAGCAAGCCTAATTGAAATCAAACATAGTAATTAATAACGTCGATTTTTCGAGAACAATAAAATCGAATCCAGGAGTAAGATGTATGTTTACGTGTAATACGTATTATTAGACGTTGTGCAGAGAAGTTTTATGAATGTATGTTTTATTTCAAAAAAGCAATAGAAAAAAAAATAACTTCAATGGTTGGTTTTAAAATTACGCAAGTCTCCAATCATAATAAACAGGTTTTAATAGATTAGATATTAAAAACTTTTCCGACGTTATTTTTCTATAAATTCGAGATAATTTTGAACGAAAATAATCGCGAAATTAAAGTCGGTATAAAGTTGCAATTTATTTCGAGTTAGAGAGCAGAATTTTCTCTATAAATTGACATAAAAATAAAATGTGGATAGTTCGTTGTGGATTAAAACGTATAAAATTACTATTTTTATTGCTTCGTGGATAAGCAGTTGGAAAATTGGAACGTGCCGTAAATTAGACGAGTAAACCGGGAAGTTGAGAAAATCGAACGTTTCTCTACAAATTGAAGATATATTATACGAGTTAAGAAAGTGTATAGTTTTTCCAAAATCAATATAATACACCACATAAAATCCCCTTTTTAATACACCAATTTTCCAGGTGCACCATACCAACTCGAGGATCGAAAAACCCCAATATTTAAAGCGTTTCTCACCAGCAAATCGAACCCTCAACTATCCCCTTCAACAAGAAGATAATGGCCTGTATTCAGCGCCCCCACTTTTAACCCAAACATGGCTCTAAAGGATCACTTTAAGATAACCATAGTCCTTTAAAGTCGCGTTTAAAGTTAAAGCGGAGCGCTGAATACGGCCCTGAATACAATATATCCTCACCTAAATGCAGCCAGTACGTGTCCGAACACCCTCCTGTCTTTCACGTAATCGGGATCGATCAGGACGACGCCGTCGATCGGATCGACGTGCGATATGTGATCGACGAAGTCCCGCTTTCCCAAATAGACGGTGATCTTCCCGTTGGGGCTGCTCTTCTTGAACACCCTGGTGGCCTGCCGCCGCCCCCCGTCGTCCATGTCCGGACTGGAGCCCGGCGTCAATCGAGACGTGCGGGGATCCCCCGTGGATAGCAAAGGCACCTTGTGCCCCTCCAGCGTGCACAGGGCGGCTCTAAATTTACGTTGTAGCCTGAAATTTAGAGACTTTATACGAGCCGACTAAATAGAAACTAAATAAGGACTAAATAGAAAAATTGATCTGCTTATACGCGCTTAAAAGCAATTGAATAGATCAGCATATGCGGGCACGAAATTATTTGATGCAGAATTGATTGGAGTAATTCGAATCGGTTTTCTCCGAATTACAAATCCATTCGTGTAATTTATATGGGACGCTTCGCGCTAACAGATGTTCGAATTTTATTTTAACCGTTTATTTATTATGTTGCGAAGCTCGCACGAGCAAGTGCCTAATGTTTGAACAATCACGAATTAATCAATTGACCAAATATAGCTCGTTGTGCGAGATAGTGTCTTATCTGAGAGGTTACGAAACGTACGTAGGTAAATGTAAATGGCGTATAACGTGATAGGGTTCTAGGAAATGAAGATTTGTCGTGGACAAACTTGAAAAATTTTAAAATCTGGAAACGTTGCAAGATCCCTATCTGAAGAACCTGATAGTAGACCTTATTCAAGTTACAAGATTTCTAAATAAACTAAAACAAACAAATGTTTTATCATGACTAATAGAATCTTCTTCCATGCAATGATAAAGTAACTAATATTTACTCAATACTCTAAATATGAAGAAAAGCAAATCAAATACTGATTTTAAGATGAAATTTCTGAAACTTATAAAATTAAGTTCTTAGGATAACTGGCTTGAGAGTTATGGATAAAAATGCGGCATTATTCAATAAATTATATACTCATTCTAAAAGAAAAATACTTATATAAATAGTACGTAAATTAGCAACACTACTTATAAATTAATCAAACATAAATTCATTACAGATTGACAGAAACACGTTCAAAATAATTGTACTATGCTCATTTCGAGTTTACTTTAGGTTTTATCGGGACATCAGGATTAATACGAGTGTTATCTGTATCAACAAATTTTTGTCATAAAATTTTATTTTAGCGCAAAAATCTAATTACAATTATTGTGAAGCACCTCCGTATCAGTTAACAAACACGCCGAATTAGCGCTATCCTAAAAACGAGGGATTAATTATGGAAAATAATAGAACACGAAACGTTATAATAACAAAGTGTTACCCACTGAAAAAAAAAATGATAGTAGCATTAGTAGCAGAGAATAAATTATCAAAGTGTTTTAAAATTAGTTGTTGTAATTACTGTGTTATACTGGAGCTAGTTATTTTAAAAGTAAAGAAAATATACTACAAACCTACACTACAAACTACAATAAACATTTATAAGTCAGGGTCCAATTTTGAACGTAAACATAAAATAAACTTGTCAGCTTTAACATAAACCAAACAATGAGAATAGAAAAAAATGTAACATAATACTTATTACTGATGATTAGATCGGCTTTATTAAAATTTCCCTCTCTTTCCGTTTACATTACACCGCCTCGCCTTATATTCAAAATCAACTCTGCGACATGCTAAATGCTCGTACAAAACCACTCCTATCGTAATTGATATTAAATTTCTAAAATTGTAAATTAACCGACGAATTTGTCAAATTTCTAATTGTATGACTAATGTTTAAAACATTAAAATGTACATGCCCAGTTGACGGCGCAATTCTTCGAATGCAGGCCGTTAATTAGATGCTAATTTCCGAGAAAAACGTAAATATAAAATTAAACCGGTACTTACGAGAGGAACTGTTCCTGTTAGTTACTTTATTGACCTCATTGGACGTTTTACGAAGCGTATTAGATCATAAGACACGCAACTGTTCACTAAAACAACGTTTTTGTATTCTAAATCATTTGGGAAATTGGGAATGGTCGTCTCGCTGTTCAAGTCGAGGCTTGTCACTTTTGACTTTTGACACTTGTTTTGTCAACTGTCAACGTGTCAGACACGCGGCGTTGCCAACGCTCGAAGTCAAGTTAGACCAAAAATATATATTTTTCATCTTTAGTAATTTTCAATTTGAAAACTTTGAACTTTGTAAATTAACGTACATAAACATTGTAAAATCAAGTATTGTAGGTTTGTAGCTCGTTTACTATTTACTGTTTTAGACTGAATAGCCGAAACAGCTGAGGCCGGAGTATAGCAATGCAGGAAAAAAAAAGTACAAAATGATATGATTTTTGTTTGAACAAAACCTTGCCTAATGAGAGGAAAATTTAAAACTTATAAATGAAAGAAAGAAATTATTGCAGAGCTGAAATGGTCCTCTTATATTGGCATAACTGAATTTAATTCAGAATGACATTTCCGCTGCGAGTCACGCACAATCTGGCAACATCGCTGTCTTTCTCAAAGTCTTGCAGATTTCTTTAAAAGTGACAGATAACTGCAGTTAACTGCAATTTTATAATCAATCGAAATATTTTTTTCGAGAAGCCATCTATTTTTTTACAAAAATAACGCCAATAAACTAAAATTAAAGAATAAAAATTGATATTTGAAAAGAATTGATTATATTTCTCGCAATTATTAAAGAAGATAACACCGAAATAAAAGGCAGTATATTGAAAAAAATATTACGATTGCAGTAAGATTACAAGAGTTGCAAAAGTTTTTTAATTAAAATGAATATATATTAGAATGCTAGTGTATAAAGAAAATAGTAGAAAGTTACAAACTGTCAGTTTTAGTTCGTAATTTAAAAAAATCCTCATCTAAATAGCAAATTTTTCCAATTTTTTTTTAATTTGGCTACCGTCCGCCTGGCATTTTTTCGGCGCTGCAGTCGCTTCAGTTAGACAACTTCATTCTTTTCTAGACGCGGACAGACAGTTTTGATGTTTGATACGAGAAAATGGCGTCTGCGAGCTTGGTGGTGGTATTACGTGCAGTGATATAAACATTAGAAAATATCAACAATTCCGAAATATGTGCATTTAATTCGTTCGCCCGGACAAGGATCGCGGTGCATGTGTTGCGAAAATGACGGCAAACATGTATCGGGTTGGAGGTTAGTACCTGTTTGTTTTTAATTAAACCGGCTTTACACAAGGAAATACTCGTCTGCGCTAAGCCCTCGCCTATCCTCCACCTCGTCTAGGCCTATTCAAAACAACCGTTCGTCAATAAACCGCCGTTTTATCCACCCCGATTGGATTTTTTTCGAACGAATTTCTCGCTGGAGTGGCCGCACAATAAACTTATTAACAACGTGAAGGTTATAAATCCGTAATTACATTACATATCGAGCGCGTTGTAAAAATTCGGGTACTCACTCCCGACTAAATTCGAATGGGAATTCTATTTATACGCTAAGGTAAAAATATGCGGGAACAACGAACCGCACACGGTTTTGGCGATTTTTACCCAAAAAAAATTCTCATTATCTAATAAGTTCAGTTGAGTACCGATGTTTACGTGTATGTGACCTTAAATTGCAGACGCTCTATTCAATTTGTGTGTGTGTGTGTGTGTGTATGCGTGTGTGTACGGGGGAAATAAAATAAATTAAACGTTCGCTATAGAATAAAATTAACCTAACAGGGTTTTATAGTATAGTGGTATTTTTTTTGGTTTATTTTTTTTTATAGATTACGTCTATTTCGAGACGTCATCGACATCTCCTTATCAAATCCGCCGTATAGAGGAATTGAACAAAACCGCGTCTGGAAATGTAGAAGCTAAAGTAATGTGTTTTTACCGACGACGAGACTTGCCTAGCCAGCTGATCCAGTTGGCCGACAAACACCAATGTAAGTACCGAACATTGTCCATTACAAAAAGTACCCTTAAAAAATATATTTAATTAGCGCGTATCAGACGCTCCCGATTTCGGGGCAATTTCAATTCGTACATTTCTCTCTACTCGCTCTCCTCTTTGGCTTTTCACGCATTGTAAATGAGTAGTAGAGGAGGGGGGGGGGACGAAATATTCTTGATTAGTCGATCGATATGCCCTCCCGACTGTACCTGTCTTGTCACCCACCGCCTCACCACACCACCGCGGGTCTGTTTCGCGAAATCGTGCCGCAACTGTACCGCGATCGCAGAGCGTCGCTATGACAACTGCGAGATGCTCGGTCTTTGTGATAGACTGTACTTTTATAATTACAATTAAAAAGTGGACGACGGGGGCCCACGGGGCGGGCGGGGAGGAGGGTTTCTGGTGCTCTCTCCTTCGACGTTTCCTATGCTATGTACTTATGCTGTATGTTGTGTGCGTGTTTATAATTAGGTGGTATCGGTGGATTGATTTCGTATGGGATTTGGATTTTTTTTTGTTAATTAATTTGGGTGAATAAGGGAGTTTGAGATTTATATTTTTTTTTTAAATGAAAAAGGGATTTTTCATTAGGAGTATTGTTTTTTTTTTATTTACAAATAGCTTTAAAATTATTGTATTATTACGAGTAATCTTCAATTAGTTTATAAAAGGAGAAGATGCCAATCTATTGTTCGATTATCCTTCTGTATCCTCATTAAACCATTAGCAGAAAGGAACTTTATTCGAGGATTTTGGAAGCAAAATAAATAGCTTCTCATTACATTTCATTCGTGCAAAATCTAAAGTAATCCCCAAAATTCAATACTTTCAAAACAAAATATAATTCGAATTTAATTATACTGTTGCACAATTTTGGACAGTTAATGAGTTTAAAACTGTAGTAAAATCTATAGAAAAATAAATATCTAATATACGAACGATTCTCTAATACCTTTTGAATCTTAACATCAATTAAACACTATTGCAAAAAGCCTTTTAGTTTATTTATAACGATTGGAAAATGAGCGAAGTAAAACTCCCTTTGGACTGGCGATGATTGCTACCCTCCAATTTATTAAAGAGAGCTTTTGATGCTGATGTCCAGCTGGTTGTATCCACCAGCAGCAGCTTGCATTATTTGCGATCCCTGAAAGCATTTTCAATTACATTTTTGATTATTCGTATCGTAACAGTAGATACATTATTGGAGTATCGCAATCATTATAATATCGGTTCGATACTATAATTTATTTAGGATTCGAATAACGAGCCGATTTTCATTAAATTAGCCCTAAAATATGTTGCTTATAATCCTTCAATGTATTAGGTATAATATGCGCGAAAATTCGTTGGGAAATTTTTGAGAAAAACAAGTTTTTTTTGCTTTCGATGCTTTGAAAATTGTAAAGAGTAATTATCATTGTTATACGCTAAAAGTTTATTACAGTGAAATAAAGGAGCATTACAGAGTAGGTACCATTAAATTATACTAACCAATGTAAAAAAACGATTACACAAAACAATACATTTTGATTTTAACGACAATAAACTAAAAAAAATATGATTTTAACACGTCAAAATTAAATCTTTCATTCTCATTCAGCAAAAGATTGCTCAAAATACTCTCACTTTTATCATAATTATTTCGCGATGATTTTTATTGCAAAGGTATGCCGAAAATTTCCTTTATAACGCGACCTAGGATATTGTTTTAATGCGTCCATTGCACATACCCGTCACCAGATAACCGGTATGTATAGAATTATATCCATTCAATTTCAACAATCGCACCGTGCTATGCAACCCTATTATTTGAAAAGCGATTGTAGAGGGCAAAATGTAGGGTATATACCGGCGGGGAACCCTTACAATTTCAAGGTCGAATTAGTCGTAGCTGCGTGATTTTCTCCTCTGCCCGCATATTATCTAGATAAATGCATCATGTAAGTACAAATAAAAATAGATTTTTCGTTAATTTTTCAAGTACGTTTGATCTTACTCAAGTGCTTATACTCCTTGTGGGTTTTTTCGTTAAAAATCGATCGAATTTAAGTCAGTTTTGGTGCATCTAATTAGAGAGAAATGTCTCATTTATTTCCATTATTTTCAACTATAGTAAATTGTCGCGGTAATTTTAAATTACGCTTTAAATCAATTAATCAAATGGTTGTTAAATGTATTCTCGCGCATTACATAATACAAAGCGTCGAAATTTAAATAATATATGTTATTGTGTTATCCATTATCGAATCAAAACATCGCGATCCGTGTAATTAATCGTTTATTAAACCCTGCTTTCATTGATTTTTATATTTTAAGCAGGACATTTAAACAGGATGAGACTATCATAAATACAAATATTCAATTCCGTAATGGTAAATAGAAATGTTTCCTGTTCGAAAACGCCGTTGAATCTTTTGACACGTGCATATTGTACTATATATTCGTATTATGTATAGTTAGATAATGAAATCAACGTAAACCTGTTGCATAATGAGCGTATACGCGTTAGTCATAATTAACTTGCTAGGTGTATGAAGCATTTTTAATTTGTTTATAATATATTTTACACTGTCGAGTTTTAATTAGTACAATATCGAATGATCAAGCTGGTCGTGGAGATGAGCTTGGCAAATGTTTGCGTATAGTTAATGTTACCGGAACAAACAATTATACAAGGTGTCCCAATGAAAAGTAGCCCCTTTAGTGAGCTTAAAAACTTTTAAACTCTTTTAGCTTTAAAAGATTTTAAATTCACAATAACGTACAAATAATATGTACATTTTTGTAAAGTAGAAGAGTATATCTTTCAATATACCTCTGTATATACTGAGCGTTCCATTAAAACAAATTGACTATTGTGTGAATTTAAAAGACGAGATTTTGATAAAACAACCTATACCCATTGGTAATATTATGCATATGCATAATTTCATTATCACTGTAACAAAACTTATAATAAAATAAAACATTATTTGAGAAAACCGGCATGCTTTGATGATTAGGCGTTTAAAAATTATTAGCTCATTAAAGGGGCTACTTTTCATTGGGACACCCTGTATATGAGTTCATGTTTTCATGTAGTTAATGTTTTATTAGCGTTTCTGACACTTACCTATAAAAATGTTTTCAAAAAATCATTTCTATTATGCTCCCCATATATTTTAGTGTGCATATAATTCTTATCTATATTTAACAAAATATATAAATAGGTAGGTAAGTATTTAATTTCGAAATCACCTCTATGCGTTTTCCTGATAAATAGGTAATAAACCTTTTTGGTATAAAATACGTTTCATTGATATAATACCTACACTATAGGTTCGTTCCAGCAGCAAGTTCAAATTATGTTTGTATTATGTATGTTATGTAAAAAACATGCTGCTGGAACAAACCTAATAAATATAAACATACAGGGCGAGTAACGGTTCGGGTACAAATCAATTGAATCACCCTGTACAATCAAAATTTTATTGAATTAAAAGCTTGAAAACTGAAGGAAATTTATAAACTTACAATCTTGTTTTATGTATTGTTGTGGAGTATCCTGTATAAAGACATGGTTTGATCTCCAATTGTGAATAAAAAAAATTACCGATTTGAAAATTAAAAATAGAAATCCTTTGATGCGTTGAAATAATATTAATTTTAGTAAAATATAATTGTGCGTTCCAATTCTCACGCTTCTATATTTTATAAAGTAAATATATTCGCGAAGGACGCGCTAATAATAGATAATAAAATGTAATTGTATTCGTTTAATTATCGGAAAAAATTATGTAAGGGAAAAATTTCGAAAATATCGATTCAATTTCGTTAATTAACCCCGTCGTGTGTAGGGTTTTCTATTTAGAAAAAAAGCGGTACAATTAAAGCGGTAATGTTAATAGTGCGCGTCTCTCATCGAGATGTAAATAACTTTAAATAGAGTCTTTGGGAACATGAGTCTGTCTCTAAGTAAATTTTAGGCTAAAAATAGATATTTCTAACACGAGAAATCGACATTTCGTAAAGGTCTGATTAATTGGTTCGTATACAATTAACGGAAGGTAAATGCTTGCATTGTTAAAAACTGTATTTTTTCGAGTTAATATTGTGTCATTTTTAATTACAAAACGTCTATTACCTATAATATTTAATTAGTGTGAAAAATAACTTAATTATTGTTAAAAGAATTATTGTTTAACGTATTGTATTGTCATTTTTAATCTCAAAACGTCTATTATTATGCAAAATTACTTTAAAGTACCTTAAATTGAATGCCTTAAAATGAATTGAATTTCTTATTAATACATACATAAGTTTGTGGATATCGAAAGTAGCGTATTATAAAATGAGAATAAATTTAAGTTCACAATTCACTAACATTTTTAAGTAGATAATGTTTTAGTAGAGCCTTCAGGTTCCCCTGTTTTGCATAAATTATTAAACATTTTTAACAACAGGACATCCTTTACTGTTCGAAAATCTTTGTTTTCATCCGGGACAGTTCCCATTCCAATAATTTCTGATGACCCCCGGGCCCCTCCCGACACCGTTTCGGGTCTTCGAGGTGTTCAACTGCAGCTGTCCAATATCGGTATAGAGGGATGGCGTTTCCGTTTTTTTCTCTCTCCCTTATTCTCGTGTGCGTGTTTTGTCGTTGCTTTCGTTCGGTTTTGTCTCGCCTATATCGTTTTCTCGCATGTTTTTTGGCCTCGGTTTTAGCCGATTTTCCATTTTAACACGAATATTCGTAGATACGAAAAAGGCGCAGCACATTGATTGATTGATGTCGATTTATTATACTTTTATTGAAAGTTTTAATTGAGTCTTATAAGCAAGAGAATGTACTAATACTAAATTCTAATACATTCTGGCACATGAATTTTATTTGTACGAAAAATCGCCACGAATACAAAACCCCCTTTCGATGTTATCTGTCGCCATTTTCCGATTTTATTGTCGCGTGCAAAAATTTTATTGTTTCGTCCGTACGAAAAAAATGTTTTGTTTATTGTTAAAAAAAAGAACCTATCACGTGATTAACACAGTTCCAATCGAAAAACAAAAGCTATTCTTCGTTTTGTAATAACATTCGATAACGTTGACCTGCATTTCATGTAAGGAAACTAAACACGTTTGAATTATTCACGACGGGCGATAATATTTAATCAGTTTTTTTTTTTTTTTTTTTTTTTCGTTAGATAAACAAATGTGTATGTATAATATGAGGAAATTTAGACTATTTCAGTAGCGAAATTGTAATTATTTTATTTGTGTAGAACGTTAAATATTCGAACGATAGGTATAAAAAAGTCAAGTCGAGTAAATACTCTGATTTTGAAAAAAAAACGGGACTTTTTCCAAGGCGAAAATAAATTTGAAACCGGGCATGCTTGATGCAAGTGACTAAAAGATCTCCCTCGATCGAATCAACTGCAGAAATTTCTTGGAATTTCGATATTTATTTATTGCGGTTTTAAAAATGCTCAATATTTAAACTTGTTGATAAGGATCGCATAGTTTTTGAAAGACGTGTTTGAGTCGAGTTGTCACGTTGTAGATTGCTGCAAATTGCATAATTTCTATTTCACATATTATATCCATTTCCTGTTCTATACAGGGCGTTAATTAATTGAGCGCCGATACTTCAGGATGTGAATATTTGGATGATTTTAAGAAGAAAAGTTTATATCAATATGTTGTATATATTCTAAACCTCTTAGTTTTCGAGCTACAGGGTGTTACAGTTTTAGAAAAAAAAATTACTTTTTTATCATAATTTTCATATTACTCTGGATATTTTTATGAAATAACTAAATAATCACAAAATTTTGTAACCTTATTGCAATTTGGTTTTATCTCTAAAAGTTCCAATGCAAAACATTCACCGACTATTTCTAACCCAAATCAAAAAACCCAACATTATTAAGCAATTAGACCCTTATAATCTGCATCGAACGGATAACAATAGACGGGTGACAACTCGGACATGACCTTTTTTGTCCCCTACCTGTCCCCTACCCCAGGTAACTCCAGGTAACCAGGCAACCCCAGGTAAATTCGGGTGACAACTCGACCTCTCCGGATAGGGACTGTCCAACAAATTTGTTAGGTAGTAGGTATTTGCATTGCGCGAGTGAAACAGTTTACCCTAAGTTAAAGATGAGTTCTATAACTTTCAGTGAAAAAGGAAAACAACTATTGTTGATCGAAGGATTTTCATTTTGTTTTCAAAAAACTTTAGCAGCGAATAAGAAAAGATGGATTTGTACATCGAGAAAAACACTGTGTAAGGCATACGTGAAAACGGAAACTGAGGAGCATGTGATTGTAGAATCAGTATTGAACCATAATCACGAGAGACTTCCTGAAAGTAGCTTAAACCGGCAAATTCTGAGCAACAGTGTGAAACGTGCGGCTGTGGAGGATATATGTGAACGACCCGCGAAACTTATCCAAAAAGAATTAAAGAAGTGTGATCTAGAAACCATAACAACTAAAGATATTGTTCGAGTCCGAAAAAATTTGCACCATGCAAGATCGAAGCAGCTACCAAATTTACCGAAGAATAGGGAAGAATGTCAAGCAATTCTGAGAGTACAGGATATCAAAACTAATAAAGGTGAAAATTTTTTCCTTAGAAATTGTGAAGTTAGTGGAATTGTGTTATTTTCATGTGATAGCAATTTGAAGTTTTTGGCATCTGCATCTCATTTGTACCTAGATGGAACTTTCAACTACTGTCCTAAATATTATTTGCAGCTATTTACGATACATGGACTTAAAAACGGACATTAAGTTCCTCTCGTTTTTTCTTTACTACCTAATAAAAAAGAATCTACGTATAATCAAATGTTTATAATGGTTAAAGAGGAAGTAGAAAAATTGTAACTGTTGTTATGACGAATAAATAATGACTAAAAAAAGTCAAACGCAGTCCTTATTGCTATTTTTTTTAGCTTGATTTTTAGAATATTTGGTAAACAACGTTTGTAGTCTGTCTCACAGACCGGGCGCGACTATTGGAGGGTTAATCTTTACTATAACTGAACTATTGGTGAAAAGAAAACACAGTTTTCTTACAAAAACTGTAGAAATATAGCTTAAAAGTGATAGATTTTTACTCTGGAAACGCCTAGGCCTGTATTCAGCGCATCTGTTTAACTTTAGAGTGACTCTAAAGTCGCGTCTTTAACTTGACAAATTTACATTGTTGTTATGGAGTAAGTAAGGACTCGAGACGCGACTTATTTAGAGTCACGCTAAATTTAAACAGAGGCGCTGAATACGAGCCTTAGTATTTCGGGCACCTTCTTACCATAACCGCCTTCCATAATCTAGCGTTAGATGAGAGATGGTATAACTTATTACGTATTGTGTTTAGGTGCCTTAGACGAATCGGGCGAGAGCCCAATACCGGAGATTAGCGGTCGCGCCAGCGAAGCCCTCAGCCCGAAGCAGAAACATCAAATGAAACACCGCGAACTGTTCCTTTCGCGCCAAGTGGAAACCCTGCCGGCGACGCACATACGCGGCAAATGTTCCGTCACGTTGTTCAACGAAACCGAAGCGCTCGCTTCCTATCTAAACAAAGACGATATGTTCTTCTACTGTCTCGTGTTCGATCCGACGCAAAAGACCCTGTTGGCCGACAAGGGCGAGATCCGCGTCGGTTCGCGCTACCAGTGCGACGTCCCACCCATGCTGATGAAAGAAGGCGACGCCGCCGCCGAAGACGATCGCGACCTCCAAGAGCTGGAGACGGTCGTTTGGACGCCCGAGCACCAGCTCAGTGATAGACAGATAGACCAGTTTTTAGTGGTGTCCCGTTCGGTGGGCACGTTCGCCCGCGCGTTAGATTGCAGTTCGAGCGTCAAACAGCCGTCGTTGCACATGTCGGCGGCGGCCGCCAGCCGGGACATTACGCTCTTCCACGCCATGGACACGTTGCACCGGCACGGCTACAATTTGTCGGGCGCTTTGTGCTCGCTGGTGCCGTCCAGCGGACCGGTGTTGTGCCGCGACGAGATGGAGGAGTGGAGCGCCTCCGAGGCCAATCTCTTCGAAGAGGCTTTGGACAAATACGGCAAGGTAAAAAGGCTTTTTTGAAACTCTGTAGATTACAAAGACGTTACAACTAGAAGAGACAACTAAATGTTATACACTGTGCTTCATTCCAGATCGCAACATAGGTTATATGTTATTATTATGTTTTATGGAAATGCCAAAATTGCAACCGAAAACTTGAAAATGTTTTTCCTTTGGTAAACAATGAGGTTTAAAATCGACCAAACCCAGTAGGAATTCAAATCCACTAAAAATCATGTGAATGAGCTATACACCAATTTGACATTATTGAAAGATTCTATGTTCTTTTCACTTTCAAGGTTAACAAAAGCTGCCAAAATCAACTGCGACTATTGATCAAAGATTTGCTTCCAAATTAATCAAAAAATTGATCATTCGATTCGAACCACTTTTGAAGCAATCAAAAATTTTGTAGGTTTGATATCAGCACGACGAAGCTTCTGAATGATCGATTTGGAATCAAATCTTTGATCAATAGTCACAGCTGATTTTGGCTGCTTTTGTTAACCTTGAAAGTGAAAAGGACATAGAATCTTTCAATAATGTCAAATTGGTGTATGGCTAATTCACATGATTTTCGTGGATTTGAATTCCTACTAGGATTGGTCGAATTTGAACCTCTTTTTTTTACCAAAGAAATAACTTTTTCATGTTTTTGGCAGCAGTTTTGGCATCTCCATTCTCGTTTCCATAAGGCATTTCACAGTGGGGCGTGAGTTCTGGGCCACCCTGTATAGGTGCGATCTGGAATGAAGCACAGTGTATAATATAAAATTGTAGTTAAAGGATACATCAAATTTATTTTTTTTAAAGGATATTTTTCAAATAATTGTTACAAACTGATAAAACCGACAAGGACGCAACCTGTGATAATACAGGGTGTGTGTTTGGGCGAATGCATAAATGTAATTATTTACTACAAAAAAATGTAAACAATTTGGTCTCTTAGTTATAATATCTTTGGTAGATTATCACCGTTATCGAGCCGATATTCTCTCTTAAGTACTCTATCCAGGTTTTTTTGTCGAACCAACTATTAACGTGGTATTAACGGGTTTTTCGTTTCTTCTATGACTTATCGTTTCGGGATACCTGTAGAAGATAAGTATGGCACGATTGTTGGATCTTGGTTGACTCGATGATATCGCGATTTTGCGTTATTTACAGGCTCGCGATTTTAAAAGGTTGACTCTTTTTTGGTTTTTGTAGGACTTCAACGACATCCGCCAGGATTTCCTGCCCTGGAAAACGTTAAAAAACATAATCGAGTATTATTACATGTGGAAGACGACGGATAGATACGTGCAACAGAAGCGAGTCAAAGCCGTCGAGGCGGAATCGAAGCTGAAACAAGTCTACATTCCTAACTAGTGAGTTCTCGATCGTACATTCGATTTGAGTTTATTTCTTATTTTTTTTGTTGTTTTTTTTTCCAGCAATAAACCGAATCCTGCGGCTTTGAATAACAACAAGGGAGTCGTTAACGGTAGCAACGGCAACTCGGATCCCGCCGTATCGTTGGGTGGAAAGGCCTGCGAATCCTGCAACGGTACGTGTTATACAGCCACCTTTAGCCTGGCTGTTTTCTTATTTACTCTAACAAGTCTCAAGAGGACTAGAAAATGAAACCAGTACTACTACAAGTGGCTGGTGATAGTCTCGATCAAAGGAGGCAAAACGAAGTGGCAAAAAAAACGGACTATTGTCCTTTTTCCCCCCTCTAACCTTCAATAAATATCTCTATTTGGTTTTCGCAGTGACCGTATCGAATCAATGGTACGCGTGGGGCCCGTCGCACATGCAGTGCCGCCTGTGCCAGGTGTGCTGGCAATATTGGAAGAAATACGGCGGCCTGAAGATACCGACGCGCTTCGGCGACGGCGACTTCGAGAACGGCGGCAAGAAGAAATCGGGCAGCGACGCGGAGGAGGACCGAGCGGGGGCGGGCGCGTCGCACCGGCCGCACCGCTGCAACATCGGCGGTTGCGGCAAGGAGTTTAAGCTGAAGGCGCACCTCGGACGGCACTACGCCACCGCTCACGGGCTGGTGTTTCGCTCGGGTTCGCCGAGGCCCATCATGAAAACGAGGACGGCGTTCTATTTGTTTACGACGCCCATCACGAGGATTTCGAGGCGGTTGTGCCGGCAGATCATGAAGCCGAGACACGCCGCTAGGGCGCCGTTCTTCGCCATTAACATACAGGCTGTTAAACAGGAATGCGGCGTTCAAATGGTTAGTAAATGATTGATGTTTATACGTTCAAAAGGTCGGTTGTCTCGGGATAGCTTAATAAGGGGGTAGTGGTATTAGGTAGGACTATAGAGAAGAGGGCGATTGAGATAAGAAGTCAAACTAGGTTGACAACAAACACTACAAATAGTGACAAAAGTGTCACATTAGAACTGTTGGCTAACCTTTTTAATAAATTTGAATTAAAAAATGGTTCCTAGTTTGTGATTTGAACATTTATAATTGCTGTTATATGTGTGTTATTTGACTTTTATTTATAAACGAAGAGAAAGATATTGGTCTTTTCTAGATATTGGTATATAGTCTCGAAATGCCATTACCCCTTTAAGTTATCTATTTAGTTACCCCTTCAATTTATCTAGTATATTTATATTAAGTTATCCTGGGCTATCTTTCGCTGTGCCTTCTTCTTCTGTTACATGGCCTCTTGCGATATGTACCATCCGGCCAGTTAACATTGGTTCCCTTCATTTCCTTGCTCTTCTCAGACTTATTCTTTGTTTGGTAGTTTCTTGTTTTTATGGGTAGCCACTCGTCGTTCGTTCTAAATGCTTTCTATCCATTTTGTTTTGTTTTCCTTCATCTTATCTCGTAGATTATACATCTACAATTCTTTTATAGTATCTTCATTCCTATAGTATCCTTCATTCCTCCATTTCATCAATTCTTGAACCTATTGATTTCATTAAAATTTCATTTTAATCGCTTGTTCTTTTATATTTCTCAATGTCTAATGCCCCGTGCATGACCAAATTTCATTTTTCGAATAACTTCCATTCGTGGAATTTACAGAAATTCATAACGGTCAAATTATTTACGGTGAATTCGCGTTTTGGCATTTTGTTATTTTGATGTATAATTGTTTTCGAAATAGTTCACCGAAAAAAGATTGATCCATTCATTCGAAATGGCATGTAGCACTCGTAGAGTGACTGTTTGAATACCCTAGAAGTAACAGACCTAATTTGATTATTATGAATAAAAAAACTACATCATTATCAAGTCTTATGTTCTATCACCCCGCTTTACTAAGCTTCCCTTTCTACTGAAAGCAGCTTCATCCCTACTTGCTTACGATTAATTAACCGAGCTATACAGAGAGAGAGTGATATAATTTTAAATATTTTTTTTATAGGAAGGAAAGTCGATTACCGAGCTGAAGCAGTTGCTGGTGTACAAGAAGAAGAACAGGGGCAGCGTGACGGCGATAGCGACGCGCCTGGGCAGACCAGGTTCGATAGTACCCCAATGGTTGATACTGACGCCGAGAGACATGATACCGCAGCCCGATCGGGTGGCTTTCCCCAAGCCCCCGAAGGCGCCCGACGGCAGTCTGATGTACGAACGGGTGCCCAACAAGCCCGAAGCGGAGAAGATTCCTTTGAACAACATGTCGCCGTCGCTGAAGCGAAGAACCTACGAGGAAATGAACGGAATGGACAGTAAGTGTTTGGACGTTTAATTACAATTTACTCTGCTCTCTTTTACCGTAAAAATAATCGTAATATTTTCTTTTATCGGCTTTTATTCCGATTTGGATTGGGACGATGGTGAGTTGTTAATTGAAAATAAAAGTTTTAAGCACGGTCGTATAAATGGTGAAATCAAAAAATGTGTTTTAGAGTGCAAAGAAATATTCTCATTATGTTTCAAAAATGTTTTCAACGACAGGGTTACCATATCGAACATTTATTATAATCTTTCGTTTGGCGATTTTCTTTACATCCCGATTTAAAAATTGAAATTTCTCTAAAACCGTTAATTTTATCGACTTGAAACAAGGGTACATTTTTGTTAGTTACGGTGGGGACTCAAATTACCAAAATTTATATGAAAATGTACACTTATTTTGATGTCATCTGTACACTCCCGAATTATTGACATATTTCTAGACACCCTGTATACGACCGTGGTTTTAAGCGTGTGTAAATTAACAGTGTTTAATGATTGTGTTTTCTTAGGCGCTCTGAGCGCTCCGCCGACGAAGCGCCTGACGAAGGAGCCCATGCAGGTGACGCGATCGGATCAATTTCAAGCCTTGTTGGCGCAACAAATGTTTCCGGCGCAGTCTTTGCCCCGGCACATCGCTCAAATTAACGGGAAACCGAAGATAGCGCAGATGACCAGAACGGGCTCGGGAAGGAAACAGGTTATAAGTTGGATGGACGCGCCCGATGATGTGTACTTTAGGGCGACGGAGGCAAATAAGTAAGTTTTTACTACGTATTAGTGCGTAATTAGCGTATAATAGTCGTTAATTAGTACCTAATTAGCGTTTAAATGAGGTGTTTAAAAGTGTTATTAACGTTTGTTTATTTGTTTGAAAGGAAAATCAGACGACAAGTGTCTTTATCGGAACTTCGAAGAGGAGCTCGCAAGCCGTGGAGGCAACTGAAAACCAAAATGGATGATCTGCAAGTGGTTGTGCTGGATTGACAGTGAATCCGGATATTTAATTACTGTAAATTTACTTCGCCAAGTGCTCATTAATTGTGCCGAGGCACAGGTTTCAAGCGGACATAGTATTCATCCGGGTAGACATTTCTGAAAGATGTTGTAAAACCAGCGTGCTTTTAATCACCTCTAGCAATATTGTGAAACATTCAGCGGTGATGAACGTGGAGAAAAACACTGTAATATAAATAATGAGAAAAAGTCATCACCTTATGTTTAACTGTTATAATCAGAATTATTTATTTATGATATATTAGTAAAGTGCGGTACAGCTTTTTGTTGAAATCAAACGGAGCGTGTGTGCTGAAAACGAAAAACTCTTACAGCTCTTTTTGGATGTTGCAAAAAGTCGTATGAAATTAGGTTACGATATTTAGAATATTTTTTAAATCCAATGTGTATATTTTAAACTTCACATTATAAAAATGAATTCGTAATGTAACTCAACATTTTTCAAAATAAAATGTTACAATTTTTCAGTCAATTCGAGAGTAATTAGATATTTTAATAAAAAATTGTACTTCAATTTACTATTATGATTTTGTACATATTTCCTAGTTATGGTTATTTTAATTTAATAAAAACACCAAAATTCGTTTCTGGATTCTTAATAACAAACTAAGGAAATAGAATTTTAATAAACTTCAATGGGAAACTCATGTTTGTTCAGCAAAAAAATTGTCAAATAAAGATTTTTGTAATGCGATGTAGAAACAGAATTATTCAATTTCATTTTACAAAATTCTTTGTAAAATTAAAGAGGCTGTTATTATTAATTTCAATCTTTTGTAAACCTGTGTCGCGATAGGTACTATCACCTATTATACACGCAAATTAAAAAATATCTATAGGGTTTATTAATTTTACAATTCAAATAAATAATACAAATTATACGTATATGCATATCAAAAGTAAAAAAAAAATCATATTTATATTATGTATATAAATAAATTTAAAACAATTATAAAAATATTAATAACTAATTAGGAAAAGTTCTCAAATAATTATTTTAATTTCAATAATGCATAGCATAGCAAAAATATATTCTCGAATAAAATCGAGCACTAATAAATAATATATAATTATATACAATTCCTAAATCGAAAACGTAAAAAAAATATTCGAACAAATTTCGAAAACGAGTCGAGTTTGAGAGACTTTTCCTACGAAGTTACACAATCACAACTTAGTTTCGTGTCTAAAATGCCTCCGCAGAGGCCTGATAATATTCAAAGGAGGCGGATTGCAATCGGATTCGTCGTCTCCGCTATCCACGTCTCCGTCGCTGCTATTCGTAGACGGAATCGTCTGGATCGGCCTTCCCACTCTTTGCCTTCGATAGTATTTGAATTCCCTGGGCAACGTATAGGAACGCGGAATGGACACTTGACTCTCCAGATCGGAGGACGTATGAGCAACCGGCACTTCGGCGATTTCCGATTCGGGTATCGGACACTCGCAGTAAAGGTACCGGGGGGCTAATAGTAACTCGGGCGTGCGGCTCCTCGGGGCTCTGGGCGGCGGTCGACGATTTAAAACCTAAAAGTATACGTTCGTGTAGAGATTTTATGGGGAATAACATATGGTTGTAACCATAGATATACACTGTGCTTCATTCCAGATCGCAACATAGGTTATATCGGCTATTTGTGTCATTGCAACTTTTCACTCTGACAGCTCTCATTTTAATAATCTTTCTTTGTTCCACTCATAGAAATGCCAATGTTGCAATCGGAAATGGAGCAAGGTGTATAACTAAAACAGATGAAGCTGTTTACAAAATTTTAGAGTACCAACAATAGATCACAGTCTAACAGAAAATAGAGGTAAACCATTGCATGTTGTCGCGCTATTTTTTACAATTTCCTTCTGCTATATTTTTATTTTTATATCCTTATTATGTAACCGTCTTAATACTAAAAACTAATGTTATTTACATTCTTCAAAATACACCCACAACATATAATAAATTGCAAGTTTATGAAATATAGTTTCAAAATGTGACGAATTATATATTTCAAAATTCCTGTAATAGATAAACTGTTACAAATTTGGCAACGGTGTACTACCGCTCATAGTAAAATTTGTAGACGATTTTGACTAAAAAGAGATCAGAGAACAGTATCTATATCTCATTTTCTCAGCGAATAATATCAAATAGCGGGAAACCGGGAAGCAGTTGTCACTGTTTTTCATACAATATCAACAAAATTATTATACGTAATATTAAATAATGTTATATTTTTACCATAACAATTCTTAACATAATTAAATTCTTATATAAAATATATTTGCCTACGCTAAAGGCGCCTGATTGCCTCTATTTTTCTATCTTACTTTTTCTGCCTCGTTTACTTAATAAGTGACAATTAATTTTCAATGTTGGCGTCCAAAATTTCTGAATTTATGAATGACTGGTTGGGGATGTGGTTGTAACTTACCCCGTAACAAGCCAAGTTATTCAAAGAGGATAAACTTAAGAGATGTGGTTCGACGTGACGCTTCGTTCTCGGTATCGGCTGCCTATCGTCGAATTCAGCACCACCGGGACCGACTAATTTACCCTGTTTTATTTCTTCTTCGATTATCTTCAATTCCGCCAGTTGTTTTTGCTTCTTCTCTTGTAGTTTTTGGTGAATGTTCACCCTGGAACCGACGCTGCTACCCTCGTTCTCGCTGGAAGACGGTAAAGGTCTTCTCCAAAAAGGAACCGATACGGGCCCGAGCCCTGGCGGAGGAACGAAAGTCGTCGGTTTCTTCTTCTTTCTATAGAGCGCAGAAGCCGATGGACTGCTGAAACGGCAATTGAACACACCTGGTGGTTGGGACGGTTTCTCCATTAAGCGTTTCACGTGGAAGAATTTGTAGTAAACAAGCATAAATACTATGCCGGATATGAACAGAGTTATCTACAAAAAATACAAACGATGATTAATACAAGAATTAACTACTAAATACGCACGAATCTCACCATAACAATTGGCACTAATTCCCAATGTTCCGGCCTCATCGGCCACACCGCCACCACCCAAGCGCCCACCAGCAAGCAATTCTCCAACAACATGACCACGTAAAAAATCCCCATGGTCCTCCTGTGGGGCTTGTCTTGCAAATTGATGTACGCCAATATGTATATGGCCGCCATGAGGGCGCACACTCCCAATTTGCTGCCCCTCTGGCCGTGGAAGGGGCTCCGCGGAGACAACAGCCACAGGAACATGCAGGCCCAATGGAGCGCCAGCACCAGGAACACCCACAGATTGTAGGTGGCCGCGTAAGCGGAGAGCGCGAGCGCCCTCGCCGTGATGGTGCCCCCGCGCCACAGCAACTGCGAGACTACGCCCAGCCAGGTCAACACCAGTCGATCGATGCTCTGCACGTGCTTGCTGAAAGAGGCCAGCGCCCAGCAAATGGAGAACAGCGACAGAGCCGACGACACCTTTATGAGGTCCGTTTGGGGGTCGTTTTCAGCACCTGGAAATTCATTATTGAGTATTTAACACCACGAACTGGACTTTCCAACAGTGTACATTTTGATGTATAATAACACAGTGTATACCTGGTAGAAGAGTGAGTTGTAAAAGTAGCATGGGAGCGGCCTGTACGAACCCATGCACCAGCCTCAGTATGCACAGATCTCGAACCTCCCGTTTAACGCTAGCTAATTGAACAGGTACAAGGAGTCGGGCGTATCGCCATAAGACGCCCAGCTGCAGCACGTGCAGCGCTATCACGACGTTCCTCTGCCAGCCCTCGGACTTGGATCGGGACCGCAGGTACCAATGGATCGAGAGTATTTGCGATACTAGGGTGCTCAGTACGATGGCGCCCAGGCATTGGGAGAAGGTGACCGTGAGGGCGTTCGCGTACAGAGCGTATACCACCAGCAAATCGAACACCAGGTCGCAGAAATACGCTGCGAGGGACACTATGTTGAACAGTAAGTCGCATAGTGGCAAGAATTCTGCCATGTCTCCGGATGCATCACCTCATGCTAAAAACGAACGTTTGTGATGGAAAGGGCGTAAAAACAACCCCCGAAAGGCGCTACTTACTTGCCCTCCAGTATTTTCCTGGACTACTTTCCACATTCCTAACCTCCTTTCATCTTGAACATAGCTTTATATTCGTGTAAAAGGCGTGCTGAAAACTCGCGAATGAAATTGGTGCATTGTACGAAGTCCAGGCGATGTTATTTCCATGTAACGTACGAGTAATCAGTTAGAAATTGGGAATTTAACGAATATTTGAATGATTGTTATGGCGCAAATAGCTTATTGTCACCACCTGCCACCTGTCACCATTGGAATGTTTAAGCCGGTTTTGCACATTTCCTCTAAATAGAATATAACTTCAAGTTGCTCTATTAAAAATCGATTGTGATGGTCTAAAATTTATTAAATGGCTAGAGTTAAAAGCTTAATATGATAAATACTTACATAATACATCCGTAAATCCTTGTATTCAATTTTTTAAGAAAATAACCTGCTAAATACAGGTATAATTCCTAGTGTGAATAATCCTTTAGTGCGGTGTGAGCAATTGTCATAAATTCTTCTTTTTATTAATTTGACAGATTATTTTGTCAGATAACACAGTTCAAAAGAAAGTCAAAACAATAAACAAAAATATAATGAATGATGATAAGAATATACACAATTTAAAATGGATTTAAAGAGAATGTTGAAACAAAAAATCGACAAACACAAAGGTAAATTCATGAATTAATCCACCATTAGAAAAGTACAGTGATTTTTTCTTGCAGAAAATCGAAAACCCGATAAAGAATACCAAGAAGTCGAGGACACCGAATTCAAAAAGTACCTGAAAGAATGGATAAAAAAAGACAACTCGGTTCAAAAAGGCATACCGAAATTCTTCAACAAAATACCTAAGGAAACCGACCCCCTTAGAATGAAACTACGTGAAGCCGGCCGATCGAATTTACTGAAACGGAAAAACCTGCAGCTATTAGATAACAACGAATTACAGGAACTCTGGGTGCTCCTCGACCAGAACCAGAGTTGCCCCGACGAGCAATTGATAAACTACGCCGATTTCTTGAAGGTGTCCGATTTGGCGGGCCCCAAAGTAAAGCCCTACTTCACCTCCATGATGTTCGCCAAACTACACCAAGGCGACCCGCAAGGAAGGGTCTCCATCATGTCCTTATTCAACTACGTCATGCGGAAAGTATGGTTGGACCAAACGAGAATAGGACTGTCTTTATACGACGCCACCGGGCAGGGATATTTAACGGAATCCGACCTGGAGAATTACATAACCGAGCTACTACCCACCCTGCCTCAGCTCGAAGGCTTGGAGAAATCCTTCCACAGCTTCTACGTATGCACAGCAGTGAGGAAATTTTTATTTTTCTTAGACGTCGTGCGAGCCGGAAGAGTGAGAATCCTCGACATCCTGGCCTGCTCGTTCCTCGACGACCTGCTGGAGCTGCGCGACGAAGAACTGAGCAAGGAACTGCAGGAGCAGAACTGGTTCAGCGCCCCGTCCGCTCTGAAGATATACGGCCACTATTTGAACCTGGATCGCGATCACAACGGGATGCTGAGCAAATCGGAGCTGGCCGGCTACGGATCGGGCACCCTTACGGAACCGTTCTTGGATAGGGTGTTCCAGACTTGTTTGACGTACGGCGGGGAGATGGATTACAAGACTTACTTGGATTTGGTGTTGGCTTTGGAGAATCGCAGCGAGCCGCAGGCCTTGGCTTATCTGTTCCGGATATTGGATATTCAGCAATGCGGATATCTGGATTCTTTTACGTTGAATTACTTCTTTAGGTGAATAATAATGCTTAATTTGGGAGTTGAATAGGACTGAATAATATTGAATTTCAGGGCAATTCAGGATCAAATGAAGGCCCATGGGGCTGAGCCGGTGTCTTTTCAAGACGTTAAAGATGAATTGTTCGATATGGTGAGGCCGAAACATCCGAAAAAAATTACCCTGCCGGATTTATTGGCTTGCGGACAGGGAGAGACGTTCGTTAGTATTTTAATAGAGTTTCATGGATTTTGGGCGTACGAAAATCGAGAGGCTGTGTCGTCTGAACCTTCGCAGGATTAATTTTTTATTACTTTAATTGTGAAAAGTGTTTTATTGGAAATAAAGAGCGAGATTATTTTTCTTATTTGAGGTTTTACTAATTTACCTACATTAGGGAGGGATGATTGAGACATTTCTTGATTTTTTTTTAATAAACTGAAAAAGATATAATAATTCTGATAGGTATGAATAACACAGTGAAAATAATGTTGAAATATCTAGAAAAAAATCATTTTAAGTCTCATGAAGGGGCGCCCCAGGCTATTCCACTTATGAGGTTTTTGTACATAAATAACATAGATAATAGAATACACCTATAACAATTTGAATGTAGGCCCCATTTGAATTTGAAACCCTTTTCTGAAGCTTTAGTTAGCCTATAGGAAAATCCGGTCCTGATCGTATCTCTAAAATTTCTATTCTATTACGTCCCGTCATATCGAATACCGGATCCTCTGTAATTCAAAATTGTATTACTCCGCCAATGATTTAATAACGATTTCAAGCATCTTCAAGACTTTCACGATTTTGCTGGCGCCTAGCAAGGACTCGGGGCCGGCCCCTACCTTAATTTAACATTATCGAAACGATTTCAGAATTCCACGGGAGGCTCCGATCGCCGATCATTGCTCGGCAACAAACGATTTTTTTCTTCATTTCGGTTTTATAGCAGGAAATCCGCGCGATCGAATAATTAAATCGCCGATTAGAAACCGCTTTTTTTGCTTTGTTAAATAATATTCGCGCAAAAGTCGAGAATTCTAGCGTGGCAAAAAATAACTGAATAGTTAGTAAAATTGTTGACAATGGAATTAATGTTAATGGTTCTAATTGTTATTCATACATCTAGAAGAATTTTGAATTCAGAGAACTTCACCCAATTATTATTCCTGCAAGTTTTTTTCCTGATTTAAAATGTGTTATGCTACAAAATTTAATTATTCCGTTCGTTTTTTTTTGAAACAGTGGGCCTGTTTGCTGGTATTTAAAGGATTTGATCGGTGCTCGAAATCCGGCTTGTGGCGCCATCGATATATTCAGTCGGTCCCAACATTACGTAATCAACACAAATTTAATGCATGAGCAAGGATGGAAAAAAAAATTAATGAAATTATTGTCTTATCGTGCTATTAATTTGTAAATTCGAGCGAATGATGAAGCTTTTAATTAAAAATCGCTTATGGGATCTTAATTTGATGAGAGTATTCTCTTAGTAGACGATTTAAAAACCACTTATTTTAAAATAGTACCAATTGAAAAAAATAATGAAAACAGTAAACAATACATACTCTAATTCGAGCAATTGCTGCAAGTACTGAATAAAAAAGCAAACATCCACTCGTCAAAATTAAAACGCCAGTACGCTACTATCCCGGTATCGTTGAACGAGAAATTGCGGATTTCCTCATTGTTGATCACGTACGCCAATGATTAAATATTAAATTGTTTTAACACAATCAAAAGTTGTACTCCCTCATTTGGTAATCAACTCTTCGGCGTAGAGATGGGAACCGCTCACGTAACGGTTATAACAATTGGTTTATATCGATAAAATTATTGTACAATGAAAATGTGTTTTAAATGGGAAGTAGAATCACAATTGGATTTATTAATGATTTTTTTAGAGCGTTTTAGGGGTTTTAAAGTGAAAATACCGGCTTAAATACTGCACACTATGTAAATAAAAAAAAAAAAATATATTTAACTAAAGAATTTTAATCGAAAAGAATAAGGCAAAAGAGGAACTTAAAGATGCAAAAATAGTATTTAATTTGTCGTTAATTAGTTCAAATTGTTTATAAAAATGGGAAGTAGAATCAAAATTGAACTTTATGTAATGATTTTTTGGAGTGTTTTAGGGGTTTTAAAGTGAAAATACCAGCTTAAATGATGCGTACTACAAATAAAAGAAAAAGATATATATTTTGCACAAGTATATTGTTATTTTTTAATCGAAAAAAATAAGATAAAAGAGGAACGCAATATGCAAAAAATGCATTTAATTAGCCAGTATTAAGTTTAAGTATTTAAAATATATTTGTAAAAATTGTTTATAATGTCATTTAATATACAATCTTTTAATTAGTCCAAAAAAACTACCTTATTTAATCAAGCTAATGAGATAAAACCCACTTAATCAGTCGAACACAAAAGACTTAAACCCCCGCCTAATTGTAGAGATTACCTACTGCAGTAAACTTTTTGAAACCGTCTGTTTAGGTGGTGGGATTCAAACATAAATTAGATTAATTAACTTTTATTCAGCACAATGAACTCCCACCTCTATCCATCGAACTCGCGGGGAAGGACAAACGAGAGACTGTGATTTTTATTTTCCAAATTGTCACTTGCACTTATCAAACCATGATTGTAACAGCAGGATGGAAAGAGCCGAATTTTTATCAGTGTATATCAACGAATTGTTTATCAGTGGTACAATTCGTTACTGATATGCGGCGAGCAGTGCTAAAGATGTGTAATAGAAGAACATTAGTTTGAAATATTCAACGTTGCGGCAAATCCGGGCGATTTTTATTTAAGGTAATTTTTAAATTTGTATACATTTAACATTTTTTTTGATTGTTATATCACGAATTGTGTTTTAAAATATTTATCTATACACTTTATGTGTTTATTACACATACACAATGTTGTAATAATTGTTAAAAGGTTAAAAATTATCACCTCGTTTCATTTGTATATTATTACTAAAAATATTTCATTGGTTTTACCATATTGTTATTAAAAATATATCGAAAAAAAAACAATATAATCATTACAAAATTATTTGAACTTGTGATGTACAGGGTGTTAATTAATTGAGTGCCGATACTTAAGGATGTGAATATTTGGATGATTTTAAGAAGTATTATGATAGACATGATAGAAGTTTTTTTTTCTAAAATTGTAACACCCTGTAGCTCTAAAACTAAGATGCTTAGGACATATATTGACATCAACTTTTCTTCTTAAAATCATCAAAATATTCACATCCTGAAGTATCGGCACTCAATTAATTAACACCCTGTATAGGACGCAATGTAAGATGTGGTGAAATATTTATAACAATCAAACATTTTTCCAGAAAACTTCTAAATCCTGGTTAAAATTTTCCAACTATTGAAGAATAAGAGAAGAATAATAAAAGAGGGTTAAGGGGTAGCCTCTCCTAGGCTTTGTCTGGCCTAATGAATTAGACATAGCCTAACTGAGGTTAACTCTGGCCCGGAAAACCATCGATCCGAAGAATATCAAAGGATAACAAAATATAAAACACATCCATTTGGCTCGAGGAACACCACAATATCGTCACGTAAGCAAAGCTATCAGCCGATATAAGGTAAGAAATTTCATCAATTTACAATCTCCAAAATAAGAAATAACTTTTGTTTTAATAAAAAAATAAACACTTAAAAAACGAGAGCATACTTTACATGTAGGCTCCCCATCCGATATACATTTGACAGAGATTATCAATACTAATTGCCTCTTTGATTAAATAATTCGCCTGCCCTTCCACGGAAAGCGGAGTCGTCAACGTTCTATTTCTCGTTTTCACGATACCTTGAAGCCTGTATTCTATATTTTTAATGTGATCGACAGCCTAAAACAATTAATTCATTCTATTTGTAAAGTGTTAATAGAACTACACTATAGACATTTAATTAGTTTTATAGAGAACCAAGTGGACCAAGAAAAGCATAGAGATTAGATGCGAGGACAAATTGGCGGATATTAACATGTTCTTTATACACTATTTAGTAGTTTAATAAAAAAAAACTTTATACTGTACCTCTTCATTAGTCCTTTCTGCATTATGAGCACTGCCTAGAGACGATTGGTGTCGAGGCCAGGACACCAGGGGATCGTACACGAAAGGCGCGACAATCGACATGAGAGTATTCGTGTTGTTTCTAAGGACCCTTAAAGTGAATATACAGGACTTTCTAAACAGTCCTTCGACGCCTAAAGGTCCCATTGCCGATACCATGTTGTGGGTGAGACGGAACGGCACTCTCTCGGGCCACTCGAATTTTTCTCCTGGAAAATATAGTGGATTTATACAGTGAGACTGTAAAGGTTGGAACAAATTCGTTATATGCTTGATTTGTTCATTGGGGAAAAAAGCTCGGACGCGTTGATTTTTATTTTAAAAAGCGGGTCAGAAAAGGTTGTGAGTGTTTATACAGGACGTCCCAAAAAAGAGATGTGACTATAACTAACATTTTTTTTAAGGTTTTCTATACCTAAACCTCGCCGTTTTTGAAAAAAAAATAGTTTTACGCAGCATGACAATGGACCAAATTTTATGCTACACTTTTCAAAAATTCGGTAAAATCTACAAGATGATCTACATGTCTCACAACCTTTTCTGACCCGCTTTAAATAAAAATCGACGTTTCCCGAGCTTTTTTCTCCAATGGACAAATCAAGCATTTAACGACAGAAATGCTTAATTTAATTTAAGACAGAAATTAATATACCTTTGTTGAATAAACAATTAAAATCGACGTGCACCACATCGCCGCATGTCGAATCTAAATTGATATTTTCACCGTGCCTGTCTCCCAATCCCAAAATATACCCTGCTATGGACATAACGGCTGTTGTTCGAACGTAATCCGTTCGAGCTGTTAGCCACGTCTGAAACAACACCAACGATATAAAATTGGTAAATAATTTTAAATTAATTAGTGCACCTGTGCATCGGGGAACGTTTTCCTGAACCACTCTCCTAACACAGGAGGGTGTCTGGGTAAGAGTTTCTTCAAAAACACATCCCTCTTCTTTTCTAACGAATCTTTTAAGCTACAAGTGAGCGGTTTCAAATCTCTTGCTCTCATTAGGCATCCTTAAAAAATTAAATCTTAAATAAGGAGGCAAATAATTAAAACCGGAGACTACCTTTCTGCTTGTAAATTGGGATTAGAATATTCCTGAGACCGACTAGGTTTGGAACCCATTCGATAATACCGCATTCCTCGTTTAAAGGAGCCACCGAGTACAATCTGATGTTCAAGCGCCTTTGTCTGGCCTCGCCTTCTCGGGTAAGCAGTTGATTAACGATATCGTTGAATTCCATTAGCCTGAAGTCCTTTCGAAGATCGTCTTTCGCCTTCAACATGAAAATGTACCTGAAAACAAACGAAAAAAAGTGTTATTGGTACCTAAAAACATTTTTTATAAATTCGGTAAGAAAATCAAATGTCATTAATGTTAATTTTCACATCGCAAGTTCACATGTACCTGAAAACAAATGAAATAAATTGTAAAAAATGCAATTTTGAGTGAATTTGTATCTAAAACCATTTTAATAAATTCGAAATTAAAAATTCGGTAAGAAAATCAACCATTTGAATCAAGACCACACTACCGAAAGAAGAGAAATATAAATGTCAACTGTCATTAATGTCAAACAAATCAAAAAATATTCACTCAATTAAAAAGAAGAAGCGAGGTTATGAGCGTTTTTGAAAGTTAAAAACCAACAATTTTCAAAAAATCTGCAAACACGATCACATTCGTTTAAAGCGCCATACACCAGCATGTCTTATTGTCGAAAATTCGGACCCAACAACAAAGATACCGTCATATTCGCCACCAAAGAGGACCATTCGACTACGAGCAATGTGAAACTGCCCGAACGCGAGCAACAGCCCGGCCTGATCATGCCCAACGGGGACATCAATTGGAATTGCCCGTGTTTGGGCGGCATGGCGACGGGCCCGTGCGGCGTCGAATTCCGAAACGCCTTTAGTTGTTTCCACTATTCCGAAGCCGAGCCGAAGGGGAGCAACTGCTACGATCTCTTCAAAACCATGCAGTCCTGCATGCAGAAGTATCCTACGTTGTACAACAAAGACTTGGGAGACGACGACGATGATATAACGAGCGCGGCGAAGGAATTGAGTTTAGAATCATCGGCGGAGAATAAAGCACTGATGACGGATGGGAAACAAGAAAAAGTTAAAGAGAAATAGTAGTTTGAAACGCGATTAGATGAGTGTAGACAAATAAATTTGAATGAAAGTAACTGTAACTTGGGGAGGCTTAATTTAACTATGAGTATTTATGTCTTATTATGTTTTCTAAAATGCGTACGATTCGAAATTCACTACATTATGTTACAAATATATAGAAAACTAATGAAATTGCGTTTAATTTCAATGCTACTTGACTACCTTTTGACTTATTACAACCTCTACAGGTGCAGGAATGTTTCAATTGCAAGTGAAGAGATAATCGATGAATAGAATAAACAAATTACCTTTTCCCATCGGAACCTTTCAATATGATTTTCCTGGGTCTTTGCAAGCTGGATAAAACGCTGATTTCATCTTCGATGCCCGTAATGTACACATAAGAGTTTGGAAACGGATTGTGTTGAGTATTCGTAAAGTCGGGGTTCGGAAGAATGAGCTTCCTCAATTTAAAAGTCGGCATCATAATTTGGCTGAAGTCGTGTTTCATCAGTAACCTACAATCAATTCGAGTTCATTACTAAATCATTCGTATTAATTATTAAGGTTTACTTTGGTAGAGCCTTGAGTAGAACACTGACGCTTGCAGTACTGACATCGGGCGGTATGTCTTTGTTGCACAGTTCTATCAGCTTTTCAGCTAAACTCGTGAAATCCCGAACTAATTTGGTCAAACTGGCTATTTTTAAACTGGGATCGCAGAGGATTTCGGCGCATCTTTTAGCTCCAACCGGGTAACTGGATTTTATAACGGATATTATCATCCACAGGCTTTGCTGCGGGTAATGCTGGAGGATTTTTAGTATTATCGCCTTCAGCATTATGTAAACCTACAACGTAATTTTTGTAAGAGCTAGTAGATGAACTTGGTAATAACTTACTTCCTTCTGGGGATGACAAATTCTGGACACCAATTGAGAAAAAGTCGTTAGAAACATAAAAGCAGGCAATCTCTTCAAAAAGGAGTCGATTAATTTGGTCATTTTGAGAAGAGTGTTCTTCCTGTCCTCTTTTTTCGAACTCTCCGTGACTTCCAAGACTCTGGTGCCGTAATCGAACCAGATGGACAATAAACGGGGCATCGATTGATAGATATAATTTGTTCCGTATTGCAGCGACTTGCCGAAGTAATTTATTATTTGCAATTGAAGCTCGCTGCATTTATGCTCCCGATCCGCGTCTTTGGAGTCGCTCAGATTTTGGAAAATTTTATCCAAATATTGAGCCATATACACCTGAAACAATTAACAATTTGGATCTTATGGGTGATAACGTATCGATTCCTTACCAAACTCTTTTCCCAGTCTTTGAACATCTCCACCGATTCCTTATAATTCTGCTTGATAACATCTATTTCTACATTAGAAATTTGATCGTTGTAAGAGGCTATGAGCAACTTGGCTTCCGCGCAAATCTTCCTCTGTTCGTGCGTTAGCATTTCCGGAGAACCACCCTCCGGAAGAAACACTTCCAAACCTCTCTTCAATATATGAAAAGCTTGCTCGCGCTCTTCCCTCAACCAATGCAGTTTAGCTTTCTCCAAGAACAACGTAGGTGGAGCGTACTGTTCGGCTTTCAACGAAAACGTATAGGCTTGTTGAAGCATCTACAACACACTACATTAAAGTTAAATACACTAAGAAAAACGTAGGCTTACACCAGCAGATCTATGAGTTTTCGCACTGAACAACCAACATTCTCCTATCAAAGCGTTTAAATGGGGCACAGCGCTCGGCACTCTTTGCTCCGCGATACTCCTAGCCAAATTCAGCGCCACGCGTCTCAGGCACAACAGCGGCTCGACGACCCCCACCGATTCTTGCACCACCTTGATCCTCAAGCTCCACTCGTCGAGCAACTTCTTCATCATGTTCTCGGCGTACTCCTTGTTGTTCGGGCTGAGCAGCAAATCGGACAGGACCTTCTCGACCTGGTGCAATTCGTTCAGAGCGTGCAGCTTCGCGATGTAGCCGTAGCCGCTCTTGTACGCCCCTTCTTCGAGGCTCATCGCGCCGAACGCGAACACCTGCTGCTTCTGCAGCCCCTCCAGCGTCGCCTTGAAGGCGTCTCTTTCGCCTAAACCGCACATATTTATAGTATTGTAAGGGAATCGGTCGTTGCGTTACCGTTTTTCATGTGCAGTAGAGCCTTCCCCACTTGCACGCCCCAGCTTTTGCTCTCCTCCAAGTCGGGATTGTCCAGCAGAGTGTTCAGCTCTTCGTACTGGCCCAATCGCCACAGGGACTCCGCTTGCATCTCCAGCAAAGCGTTGCCGAATTCCGGGTGGTTGGCGTGAGCGTCCCTCGCGACATTCAGGGCTGTATTCACGTTGTCCAAGGCCAGGTAGCAACGCGTTAAACCCTAAGAAAAAGCGTCTGAATGATATCGTAAGTGGCGATTGGAGAGAGTTAACTTGAATGTGCTGGAATTGGAGAGGTTGGGGCGTTCGTTCGTAGCAACTGGTCGCGTCCGAATGCTTTCCGGATATCTCCAAAGCGAGGATTTTTTGCTCGATGGACGGTTCGTTCTGTTGCAAGGCCATCGCGCCGTCCACACCGTCGGGCTCTTCTAATTGGGAGTATATCTGTAAATGTGTTAGTACAGCTTAGGTAGCTATTAGGTAACTCACTGACCTCTGCGAAAAACGAGAGATGTTCGAGCAGCTGGCCTTCGTTCTCCGTGATGTAATCCTCGAGGTATATCAAGGCTCTGGCGTATTCGCCGCAACGGTAGTTGCACTTGGCCAATTGCAGCTTGCAAAATTCGTTTTGGAACGATCGGATTAGGTGGAAGTGTTGCTCGGAGGAGCCCGCAGTGCCCCGTTGCCACTGCCATTCTCTCACCCAGCGGTCGAGGAAGTCCAATAGAAGGAACACCACTTTGGTGCATTGCAATCGCTTCGCTTCCTCGGGAGTCACTTCTTTGGTATCCGATACGATGCTCTGTGCGGAGACCGGTTTCGACTACGAAATAGATAATGGAGCGATTGATTGTGCGGGTGATTTGTTAAGGGCGCCACTTCAGGGTATTTTTGAATGGGAAAACACAGGTTCAGTAATTCCAGTTAGATTCAAATTTGGGTTCATCAATTGATTTGAATCTTTCTTATACCTAATATAGAGACTCCAAGCAATGATATCTCCTATTTTTAATCTCTCTTACTTCATTATATATTTAAGAAAATTGAAAACAAAAACTTCCATTTATTTGCAATGCTATTTAAGTGGCAAAACATAGTTCTAGTAAGATTCGATTTTCCTCGAACGGATGTGTGAATAATTTTAGTAGGATGAAGAATACTTATTATAGAACGATGTCTCCTAGTTTATATTTATCCAGAGGCTGTATTAAATTGAAAAAAAATAATTAACGTATTTTAGCAAATGATGATGATAGATTTCTGTAAATTATGGTGTCGCCTGACATAAATGTCATAAATAAATCACAAAACAATTTTGTAAATTTGACTAGCGACAGCGTTGCCAGTAGTTTCCGTTTTTCAGTTATTTTTGGATAATTTGCACTATTTTAAAGACAGGTAATATGAAATAAGGTATTTCCAGTGCACCGGAATACTTTTAGAGCACATTAATCACTATTTTTAACCCTACTTTTATCTTTTCAATTTGCAGAGAAAAGAATTGAATTTAAAATTTTCTGAAAAGGATTTCTTATTTTACTTTCTTGTACGTTTGATTTTATATCAAGTGTAATCAAACACGGAACATCTACTAGTGAGTTAAACTAATCTAATTCCATCTATTGTTGAAAAATTTAACCAAAAATAGTTCTATATTACCCCACGAATTATGAATTTAAGGGTGTGCTTTGGCGGCCTTAACGTACTTTGAGCACTTTGTCGTCGAGGTGGACTTCTTTCGTAAAGGAACTGGTGACTGTTTGGATTTCGGCGAAGGATTTCTCGGTGATTTTGTCGCTGCCTTCCAGGAGTGCCAACACTAAGATGTGCGGAAGGAAATGCATGAGAATCCGGTTGTCTTGCTTCATGCTAGGTAAATATCCTTTCAAACTCTCTTTCCTCTCGTTCGGCAGAGAAGATATCAGGCTAGAAGTCCAGCTAAAATTCGAGTTCAGTTACATTGTACTCGAATAGTTCGATTTGTACTTACTGGAACAACCAGGATTCGAACGAAGCACCGTAATTAGATCCGTAAATGGGCGTAGGTAAATCATTAGCAAATACAGTTTGTGCTATTTTGTACCTAGATGATAATAATGGCAACATCACCTCTTTCTGAGATTCGGGAAATTGAACCCAGAGGTCGTGCTTTTTGCTGGTACTTTCCGGAGAGATTTCATAACGCCTTAAGGTCTCTTGTATTGCCAGTGCATATCTATCCATACTCTGCAAGAAACAGTCAATAATAGAACTAGATAATTTATTATAATACGGGATGTCCCGCATAAGAACCCGACACAGTGCAGGGGTATGTAGGGGAACACAAAATAGAGTGTTTAACTTATGTAGGACATCCTGTGTAATTAGAGATCTAGTGAATATTGTACCCGTGTATTTTTTTCCGCCTGAAAAGCCTTGATTAACTCGTTTAAAGAACTCAACACGAACGAATAATCCCAAATGTAAAAAGAAAATTTGTCCTCTTGATTATACCTGCGAAATATCTCAATCTAATTAATATATTAACGCAATAATAAATGTAACAAATACTTTCTGGGCATATGACTGGGTTCAATAGCCCCTAATTCTCCAAGCACATCCCCGCAATGCAATTTTAAAGCGTCGTCCTTCTCCCTGCAACCCTGCGCGAGTATATCGATGAGTTCCACGATGATCGGATCCATTCCGTTGTAATCCAGAATCATCTGGTCCAGTTCCTCCCGGCTCTGTTCCAGGAACGTCTTCAATTTCGCCAGGCTTTGGATCCTCACCTCCATCGACTCGTGTCGAAGGTACCTCAAGAACTTCCTCAATTTCTCCTTCAACGTGCTGCTCTCCAGCGCCTTCAAGTATTTATCGATTACCAGTATAATCTCGCGGTTTATTTCGGGGTTGTTGAGGAAAAACAGGTCCGATATGTGGTCTTTCATGTGCGATTCGTTCTGTATGATGAGGTAGCGGAATATGGCGTTGATTTCGCTCGAACAGTGCTCGATCAGCAGGAGAATCGATACGGAAATGGCGGCGAGTTGGGGCCCCAGGCACTCGATTTCGCAGCTTTTGATGAAAGCGTCCCAAACGGCGCAAGTTAGATGCGGGAAATTGTCGTATTTTATCGTTTGCAGCATGGCGATTATTTTGAAACGCAAGGGCATTATGTGCTTCGGGCCCATGAATCTAAAACGTTTGTATATACAGGGTGGTTCGTAAGTAATGGCCCAAACTGAAATGGAAGATTCTCGACCTCAAAATATTACTATTTGGGCCAATGGCTTAAGTTTATAAGAACTTTTAGTCATAAAATAAGCCAAGGAATCACTCCCTTTCGGATGTACACGATGTTTAGGAACACCCTGTATAAAAGTTTGGATGCAAATTCAGGGAATTTACCTGAGTAAATCGGCCAAACTGAGCAGAACTTTGTCTTTCCTCGAAGACCTGGGGATCAGTTTGGTATCGAAGTAGAGCAGTACACCCAGAAAATGGGAGTGAAGATAATCCTGCAGCGAATTGCCTTTGTTATTGGGATCTTCGCTGCAGAGGAGCTTCAGCGCTAGCAGGACTTTTTCGTTTTTCTCGTGGAAATTCAACAGCAATTTATTCAAGATAATCTGAAACAAACACTTGTAATCATCCGCGGATTCCCTCGGTGCGATATTTACCCTGAAATTCTTCTTCCTCAGCTTCACCCCGCTCGTACACGTGGATTTCTCCAAAAACACCATGCAATCCCGCAGCTTCTCTTTGGGCAAATCGTCCAGAAATATGTGAATGAATATATAACCGTACTTCGACGAAAGCAAATCCGCAACCTCCATTTCCATCATGCCGGCGGCTTCTTCGATGAGCCTACCGGTGTTCACGTTGGGCATCGTAACGATTTTAGATACGAAAAACGGCAACAAACAATGGCTCTCGGCGTTGACGAAGTATTTGGACCCGTAGAACCCGAACATCAGCGAGATTTTCTCCAAGGAAGTGGCGAGAGTGTAGTCGATCAGATGCAGGTTCACGCAGCACAAGTGCACGATCGTTTCGCAGAATTCCTTCTGGTTCTGGCAGTAGATCGTGTGAATGCTGATCTCGTTCGTTTCGGCGATTTTGTAGCATCTATTCACCGCTATTAGTTTGTATTTCGAAGTGGGTATCATGATCAAATAGAAGAGTATTTTGAACGTTTCGGCTATCAAATAATCTCCTTTAATATTCGCTGTAGAGTTGATTGTGTCCAAAATCGTGTTTTGTAAATCGAAGTTGGAGTATTGCAGAGACTTCTTGGTGTGTTTGAGGATTGCTGAGAGGATTATTTCTAACACCTCGCTTTTTAGCTCTTTGGATAAAATCTGGTTTTCCTGGAAATTACGAGTATTACGGAGAGTATTTTTACCATCTAATTTCCTTACCTGGCTATTTTTGAGGGTATCGCAGATGATTTTTGAGAATTTGTCCCGTACATTTTTGCTTTCGTCACCGACTAGCTCGCTCCAAATTTGCGTGGTGCTCTTCGAATGAAACTGGCTGATGTGATTCGATAGACAAGGCAGGCAGTCGAGGGCAGCGATTTTTAATTCTTCGGAAGTCGAGGATAGGTAACTTAAAACATCTTTTACATATAAATTAATAGTGAATTGCTCAATGTCAATTTTCTTGTAATCTATTCCTATTGCGTTTTCTTTGAGTAATAGATTCGTTTTCTTATCGCATACGCAAGATTTGCAATACAAATTGGATGTTATTAGAAAATCTTGTTCGGTGCATCGAAGGATTCTCGTGAATTCGGAATTTGAGCAACATATTATTTGAGTTAGCGCTTTGAGAGCTGTTTTCACAACGTCTGGGGTTTTTAGTGAAAATGCAACGTTGAAAATCTGCGTTATGATAACTTCCAAGTCTTCGAATATGGTAAGCGCGTACGGAATCGATTCAATTACCTGAAAAATTTAAGAAATTTTGTATATTTACGATAAAAATTTAATCAATTCACTTACTAAGCACAACTTTTTCACCTCCTTTGATTCTACAGCACCCTTGCAAATGGCTACGTAAGAGTTTTCAATTTCCTTCAAGTGTTTAGAGTTAAGAACTAATAATTTATCAGAGATTATAGCAAAAAAATTATTAATAAGGCGAAAGGAGATACCATTTGTGATATTTTGCGAAGACAAATATTTAAAAAACGCTCTAATGGCGATTTTTACGTCTCCCAATTGGCCCTCCCCGACGAAATTGTTGCTCAATTGATTCTCGTTTTTGAAACAATAAATTTGCAATAGCGGGCAAGCTATCATGTTAAATATAATATTTAAATTACTCGAGTTTGTTAATATCACAGAAGAAACGAGGAAATTTAATGCATCTTCGATGGTTTTGCCGGTTTTATCACATCTATTCGTATGCTCTAAATATTTCTTTATGAACAGTCTCAGTAGCTCTTTTTCATCGAAATAACAGATCTTCACGGGTTCTTTTCTAGACTTTGATAGTTCGAGATTAATCTTCAGTAAAATTCTTGAAAGGTAATTAAAGAATTTAAAAAAATCTGTGAAACAGCAACTAACAGTGCAATCTATCTGATCCAATTTAAGCATAATTTGGAAGTGTACTTTGTGCCAGACTTCGCAGATATCTTCACGGAATAATTTTATGCCATCGTTTATGATCTCCAAACCATTAATGTTTCTATAAAGACACTGCTTGAAGCTAGGCAATAACGGTGCATTCGAAAAATTCATTACCTTAGCAACCATCCCGGTACTAACAAGTGTTTTTTCTAAACGATTCGCAGCGACTGATTTTAGTTCTTCCGATATTTGTATCGAATTATTCAAAGATTTATCGAAAATGTATTCGTTGATTTTTAGAGAATTCCTCGGGGCACTATTAAGGTACTTGATAAGGCACTGCTCGAATGTCTGCTTATTGTCATCGTTTAAAATATCTGAATCAAACGCAAGGTAAATAAATTGCTCAAACAGAGACGCCAATGTCGATAGTCTGGATTTAATTTCTACGTTAAATGTAACGTGAGAATTAAAATGTGATGTTACGGATATATCCACGAATATATCGATGATTTTTAATTTGATAGTCTCATCAGAGTTGCTTAACAAGTATATCAAACCGTCTAAAGCAGTGTTAGTGTTCTCGTCGAAACAACAAAAAGTAAAATTTTCGATTAAAATAAACTTGACAATCGCCAGTAATTTTGGCAACATTGTAGTACATTTGTTTTTGGATCGTATTTCCAAAAAGGTTTGATTCAAATTTAATTCCTCGTTTAAATCATCCAACTTCTTCGGAATAAATACGGCTAATACTGAGGTTTCCTGAGATTCTTCTAAGTACCTAATCGATAATTGTAAAATTTTTTTATATTCGTTAGCCAGCTCGTGGTAAATATGCAGTACCGTGTTCGACAGCTTATCTAATATGTATATTTGCATTTCGACTATCGTGTCGTGGGATTTTTTGAAATTATCTTGGCCTAACATGTAAAAGAGTTGGCCGTGCAGCCAAGTCGTGAATGCCTTGTAATTCTCCAGGATATTTTCGTACTGCTCGAATGTCATATTCGGCGGTCTGTTGAATATGAACAATATGTTGGCGTAGTCATGGATAATCTTGGATAATTTTTCTATACCAGCCTCCCAGTTTCCCGTTTTCACGATACATGTTACTGTGTCGTGGAAACTCTTCCACATATTAAATGCTGGTATGTTGTCTATTAGAGTTGACATTTTCAGAGGTAGCTAAAACCAAAAGCTTCAATTATCAAGTAGTTAAATTATCTTTATGTTTACCTTTTATCTTATTAACTTAAAAACTTAAATAACATAGTAAGTAACAAGTGGTAACATGTTGTTGAACAACAACACCTACAAATTTATTGCCGCTTATTTTTGACTTATAATGACAACTGACATTTCTTGACCTTTACATTATTAGTATGCAGGTAGTAGATGATTCTTTAAATTTAATATAATTAATTTACGAAATTGTTGCATTGTAGATTATTTTTTTTAGTTTAAATATAAATTATTCTTTATAACAAAAAAGACAGTATATTTCATTGAAGATGTAGTATAAAAAAGAAGAAATTGACATTGACAACTAAACTTCTACTTTACATAACCTAAGAAACTAGCAAACAAAAACAACAAAAATTGGATATTTAAATAATTCGTATTGTCTACAATTAAACAAAAACTAAGAAGAACAACTAATTTGCTAAGAAAACAATGTCAAAACGTACTTGTCCATTTTCAGAAAACGAGCCGTATATTAAAAAGCAAACGATATCATCGGAAAAATCTCGAGGTATTCGATCTAATTCATCGGAGAAGACGATTCAGCTTCTCTTCAAAGGATCGTTAAAACAATTCGAGCCAATGAATGCACCCAAAAACCTTCTACTTGCTTGTAATCAGTGTTCAACTATTAAAAATAGTATTAAAACCAAATGTAACTACTGTGATAATCCGTTATGTACAAATTGCGTTAATACTTGTTCCAACTGTGATAAAGACTTTTGTAGGAATTGCTCTTTTCCAAATTACGTCGATAATTCTTTTTTATGTTATTCTTGCTATTAAGTACTGTAATTTTTGCTAATAAGTTTGTAATATACTAAAGTTCAAAATATTGTGCCTCTTACTGTGAATATTGGTTAGTAAAAAAGGTATATAGGGAGGATAAAAGGAGAGGACAATTTTCAAGTTTATTTGTGAATTCACATTATACATTAGTTAGGTACATTACATTCATTTTAATACTGATTTTACCATAAATACATAGATTATTAAAAGATTAAAGTTAACATTTATATTAACAAATACACATGACATCAAACAATGCCACATGTGGTTCCTCAAATTTTCTGGAATATAATAATGGGGCTCTTCTGAATATATATTGTTAGAAACACGTAGGATTTATATTTAAATATCTGCATTCAGGATGCGGATCGTTTTTTAAAAAATTTAATTCAACTCGGAAGAGCTTTTTATTTAAACATTAAAGTTAAATTTAATTATTAAAAGTACACTTAATACATTTATGTATGTATTCCACATTTACATCGATTTTATTTAAAAATTTCATGAATTACAGTGACCATTCGAATATACAAACAAACATTAAAAATTTATAGGAAGCCATCGAGTTATAAATATTTATTTTACTAATTAGATACTAATTTTAGCAATAGGATTTTCTACTAATTAAATTAGTGCTAAATTTATTTTCGACATGATTTATTAAATCAAATTTAATAGGTTTCTTAAATATGCATCTAAAACGAATTGAGTACTATTTTGTTAACAACCATTTTTTTATATAAATAAATAAATAAATATATAATTACCTATAAGTTAATAATTAATCATATTCAACGATTAGCTAAATATGTACTAAAAAAGAGCCAAAAGTATAATTTCGATCATCAGGGTATTTCTAACATATCAGTTATAACAAAATGGTTCTAATTAAAGTATATCTACTATAACCTGTTACTGGGCCAATTTATAAAAAGTTATGCATTATTTGGACAAAAATATAGCGAAAATTTTATAGATTTCATTTAATATTTTTCACAATTTAAATTCAGTAACAATTAATATTAATTATTGGTACTCCCACTGAGGTTAGTGGGACCCATTCTATTAACCAAGTACATTTTTTTAATTTAGTTTCTTTCTAAAAATTGACCCATGGCGATTCTTATTTCGTTGTGATATAATATATGTATAAATTTTAAAACGAATTAACTATGAATATACACACGTTTAGGTTTTTGTTAAATATTCTCTCTACTTTATGTTCTTCTTTGGTCCGTGCAATAATTGATGAAGTGACAACCGGGCAAGTTGTTGTTTTCTATGTATAATAGGTATACCCTTAAATAATTTTTAAATTTTCATCTGTTCATTTTTCGCGTTTTAGAAAATTTAAAATTATTCAAAGAATCTTTAATTTATTTATATAGAATGTGCCTTTGCGTATAATAATTTTAGAACTAACTTTATCGTTATTTCTATTATAAAATGAACGATTTCATAAATTGATTTGGGTGTAATAATTATTTTAAAATATATATTTATTGAATTTGATTTGTCGTTATGATAAAATTTATTTTGTAAACGTTCAAAATATTAAAATAGTTTCGATTTTATTAGAATAACTTTACGCGTGCAAGTAAATTTCTTCTAATAATTAATATCTAGATATTTATTACATATGAAATATAATATATAACATATAAAAAAATACTTACAAACGTGAACTATGTCTAATATCGAATTAAAGTTGCTTCCTAAGATTTTCCTTTTTTCTTTGCCATTATTTATTAACTTAAAATATTGATTAAATTAAAACAATTCGAGTCCTTTTTTTGTCTATATTTTAAGGAAAATCTTTGGTAGGTAACAAATATTTAAACGAAATTCAATTACAAGCCCTGTTATATTAAAAAGCACTGTAAAATTGCGCAAAATTACAATAGTACTTTTTACAAATTTTACAAATCAATTAACAATTTCATCTAATCGGCGAAGTATATCTACAAATTTCGTTCAATTTCACAGTGCCGCACAATTCTCGTTGAATATACACTCGTTTTTACACCAAAAAATTAATGCAGTTTATTTCATCACCATCGCGATATACGAGTTTGAGCTGTTCCGAAAATTAACGCAAAATTTAAATTAGATTCAAGTTAACGGCACTCATGTAATCTTCCCGCAGAAGTGGGACCAGGGTCGGGGCGCGCCTGCAAAAAAATAACAAGATCGTTTCAGTTAACAAAATAAATATTTTTCCGAAAAAATAGCTTCCCCGGTGTTTTCAAACCATTTAAAAAGCAAACAACCGGACTGTAAATTGATTCCCTCCGAGTTTACAAAGGACGATGAGGTCTGCTGTAATTTTTATATACTTCACCTAGTTATTATTTTTTATATATATATATATATATATATATATATATATATAAATATATATATATATATATATATATATATATAAATATATATATATATATATCAAACTTCATTAAAGATGCCTCAGAAATTTGGTCGAGTAAAGTACTAATCTGGATCAATTGGGACACCCTGTATAGTGTTTTTAAAGCGACCCCACTTCGGAATAACGAATAAATATGGAAATCAATTTGCCTTTTACATTCATACACAAGCCTGATATACATAGGTAATTGTTTGCATGTATCAAAAAGAATAACGTATTCCATCGTCGCGTCAGGGAGGGTAGATAAATATATATTCAATTTCTCTTCTTTCGCGTCTCGCGGGGATTTCTCCTGGCCATTTGTATTTCGTAATATTTCCATTCCTATTTCCATATTCTCATACATAACAAATGCAACGCAAGATAAACGTGAAATAAATCATTTACAGCCACCTCCACAAATATTATCTACAAATGTTCCCTCTGCAGTAACTCGTTTAATCCAAGAACTATAATTACCGAATAACCGAAGAATCTTAGGCCCGCTTTTACCACTCAATCTTCTTCTTTTTCTTAGCGCGCCTCATACTTTAAGGCCGCCAAAGCACGCCCGCAAATTCATAATTCGTGGGGTAATATTGAACTATTTTTGGTTAAATTTTTCCACAATAGATATAGGATGAGATTAGTTTAACTCACTAGAAGATGTTCTGTGTTTGATTACACTTGACATAAAATCAAACGTACAAGTAAGTAAAATAAGAAATCCTTTTCAGAATTTTTTAAATTCAATTCTTTTTCCTACACATTTGAAAACATAAAAGTAGGGTTTTAAAAATACTCATTAAAGTGCTTTAGAAGTATTCCGGTGCACTGGAAATACCTTATTTCATATTATCTGCCCTTAAAATAGTGCAAATTATCCAAAAATATCTGAAAAACGGAAACTCCTGGCACCGCTGTCGCTAGTCAAATTTACAAAATTGTTCTGTAATTTGACATTTATGTCAGGCGACACATAATTTTACAGGAATTTATCATCATCATTGGCAAAAATTCTTGAATTAGTTTTTTTTTTTTAATTTAATACAGCCTGTGGATCAATATAAACTAGGAGACATCGTTCTATAATAAGTATTCTTCATCCTACTAAAATTATTTACACATCCGTTCAAGGAATCTCGAGTCTTACTAGAATTACGTTTTGCCACTTAAATAGCATTGCAAATAAATGGCAGTTTTTGATTTCAATTTTCTTAAATATATAACGAAGTAGAAGAGATTAAAAATAGGAGATATGATTGCTTGGAGTCTCTATATTAGGTATAAGAAAGATTCAAATCAATTGACGAAGCCAAATTTGAATCTTACTGGAATTACCGAACCTACGTTTTCCCATTTAAAAATACCCTGAAGTGGCGCCCTTAAGCACGTCGAATAACCCCCAAAAAAACCGTTACTTACTCATCGAAAACCGAGACTCCTCTGGTGAAAGCCGCGCCGCCGGTCACGGCGGGCAGCTGCTTGGCCTGGGCGGCCCGCGCTCTCGCCAGCAGGCTCATGACGGTCCTCTTGGTGGGCGTCATGGAGGTCCTGGGCCCGCCCGCCAGCAGCGGCCTCTTGCGCGTGCCCAGCGTCGCCGCCGCCGCCGCCGGGCACGCCGGGCTGCCCGCCGCATCGGACGACGTCGGCGACGCCTGCGACGCGCCGTTGTTCGGTGCCAGGATGTCGCCGGACACCGAGGGCGGGGATGTTCCTGGAACCGTGGAAATTTAGTGTTTGAAATGGGGAAAGAGGCCTCGATGTAAGAGGTGAAAAAAGGGTAGAAAAGGGAGTATAAAGGGTGTAAAGAAGGGGTAGATAAAGAGGTAGGATAAGGAGTAGATTAAGGGGAAGGCTAAGAAGTAGGAAAACGAGTAGATTAAGGGGTAGGATAAAGTAGGAAAATGAGTAGATTAAGGGGATTGGATAGAGTAGAAAAATTGGTAGTTTAAGGGGAAGTGTAATTAGTAGGAAAATGAGTTGATTAAGGGGAAGTGTAAGGAGTAGGAAAATGAGTAGATTAAGGGATAGGATAGAGTAGGAAAATGAGTTCATTAAGGAGTAGGATAGAGTAGGAAAATTGGTAGTTTAAGGGGAAGTGTAATTAGTAGGAAAATAGGTAGATTAAGGGGAGGGATAAGGAGTAGATTAAGGGGTAGGATGTATTAGGAAAAGGAGTAAATTATGGGTTAGGATAAGGAGTAGGAGAAAGGTAGCAAAAAGATAGGAAAAGAGGTATGAAAACAGATAGGAAAAGAGATATAGGAAGCAGGAAAAGGAGTAGAAGCAGAGAGAGAAAAAGGGAAAAAAGAAGGGATAGGTAAGAGAATAAGAACAAGAAAAGTTCTATAAATTTTAAACAAACTAGATTTTTTTAAATCTTGCTAATTTTTTCGATTAAGAAACGCTGGAATATTCGTCGTGAAAAATCTTTTCAGCGACACTCTGTTTCCAGTATAAGAGCAGAAAGTGAAGAACAAAAAGCGCAAATGACACCGGCTCGGACATCTCTAGCTATTAAAGGGGAAAATAAAACTGGACGCTTGTCCGGCGTTGAAGTAGAGAGAAAAAAGGAGCCTTGTCGAGTACCGTTACTAATTGAACTTCCAGTGGAAACATTAAGCTTTTTTGGATTAGGAGCCGTGCGGGACTATCTATATTTTTTTGTAGCTTCGATAACGCTTTGTGTAAAATGAAAGCCTCGAGTTTCACGAGACCGCGCTCGGAGCTTTTTTCGCTACGGTCTGCGTCAAAAAAACCATTAATAGAATTTACTATGGGGAGGAATATATTGAAATAATGTTGGAAGGGGACATACAAGATTTTCTATTCGCTGTGTTTCGCTTAAGAAATTTAAGGGTAGAGGCCATTTGGTTTTTCTGAATATTTTAGGTATTTTTTGAGCAATCTGGCAACTATGTAAGCAACATTATTAAAATAATTAAAAAGTACACATAGAGAGAGAGTCAAAGAAATTAGATAAAATTCCATTTAATCTTCTATGTAAATACTCTCATCCTTTCGCGAGTAAATATCCTTCCCTTAATTAATTATTTAATTAACGCTCGCCTACTACACGAACTAATACGTAATTTCAGCTTTCGCAGCATCTGCGACATTATTTTTCGAGCGGCGCATCGGCATGTAAATATTTTATTCGAAATTCGCGGGCGTTCTTATGAAATATTTCGTCTCCGGCAGCTGCGAAATTACACATTATTGCAAATTGCACGGATGCGAGATGAAAAGAAACACGACGACTCCGCCAGTTGTTTTGTTATAGTAATTTTCCCGTCGAAAGGGAATATTAAACTACTTAGTACGCCTCTCGGAAATTGCATTCGCCCTTTGAACTTCATTGTTCACCTACTTCGGTGTTATTAGATTATCCACTTAATCTTTCGTTTTCCGTTTTCCGATGGTCCCACAGGTCACAGGAGTTGCGGTTTTGTATTATTTTTCCAACGCTTAGTTATCCTATTATCCCAGGAAAACTAGTTGCTAGGGATCCTTCATTTTAAAGTTTTTTATCTGCTTTTCTCCTCTTTTTAGTGTCTTATACAGTGCTACATGGAAGGACTCTACATTGGTACTCTCACAATATTGACTCTATCCTTGTATAAAATACTATCCTTGTTGAAACTAACGCAAGTCTGGAATCGTAAGATTATCCTGCTTACCTGTTTGTATGCCCCTCATGGCAGGATGCTCCAAATTGTCCTTCCCGTTCTGGGCATCGTTGGTAAATATATTATTCGCGTCCGTCGCGTCCTCATCGCTCAGCCTGTCTTCGTTGATTTCGCTCTGCGAGCCCCCGTTGTTCGAATCGTCGCTTTTCAGGTTCTTCTGGCTCGACAGGACCTGCATCTCCCACATTTGCTCCTGTCTAATGTCGTCGTTGTAATCCTGCAAGGCGCAACAAGGGGATTTATTATCGCAAATATTGAGCCCGGCTCCAGTTAAATTGATTCGATTTTATGTCTTTAAAAATTGGATAAAGTGCAAGTCGCGATGGCAATTCAATGATGCAGGTGCATCTGAGAAGAGTCTCTTAGTGTTATTGTACAGGATGTGTGGAATTTAATTTCCTTATTTAACGAATAATTCAGGGAAATAATTCAGCGAAACGTTTCATACATGTTAAATTTCGTTCAACAAGTCGTGAAATTTCACTGTTTGCGGGATTATGCATTACTTATTTACGATAACTAATGTTTGAAACCGGCGGTATCGCTGAATACAAATAAGGCCAATTTGGAAAAAGTCCAGGGAGATAATCTTATTGGGTCACGCGAGCATTATACAGGTGAGTGTGCCAGGTGGTTTTGCATTCATTAGTAAATACCTTTATTTTTGCTCGTTTATTAACTTTATTTTTATTTTTAAAGTGGCTGGTATTTTTCCTGTTACCACATACTGCTAATTGGTCTTTATTTTTTATGTTTAACAATGTTTTTTTTTCTTATAGTTATTTGGTTCAAACTTTGTCTTAACTTTATTTTTACAGCATAGAAGAAATAATTTGGCGAAGCAAATAAAAACCAAATTGGTCGTAAATGAATTCATCTATCTGTTTTAGTCGAAGAGGTAACATAAATAAATCATTATTTCCAAAATTTTACGAAAAAACAATGAAATAAAATACGAATTATTTATGAAAACGTTTAAAAAAGACTCTAATAATACCCGAATAATAGAAAATACTCGTAATGGTCCTGTTGCAGTTCCATTTTTCCTCAAATCTCTCAAATTCTTTTCCAATCATTCCGACTGTAATTCCCGCAAGGCGCATAAAAGGACATGTTATCCCTTTTTTCGGGCGCCCAGTGACTCGTGAAGAGTTATTAGCATATTATATGGCGAACAGTCCAAATGGATCGTTCTATTTTATTTCATCGTCCTCGATAGCCCGAATTGTGATGTAAAATAATAAATTTCTGGGGTCTTTTTCTGCGAAATCGTGGTAGACCTGACCGATCCTGAACACCCGCATAATTCTTATAACTCCTCTAAAGGGAGGATAATGCTTGTTAGGATTTCTGAAAAGTTGTTAATAGTAGGCCTTGCGAGCACTCGTCCGCGAGTCGTGCCGAAAACTTATAACTCGTGAATTATAAGGGAATTTTTCTTCCGATCTGTTAGTGGTATTTTAAGGAAGAAAACTTAAAAATAGAGATATAAGAATCTTAAAAAACCCCAGAAACTAGCTTGTAAGTAACGTTAAATATAAAATATTCAGAACAAGATCGAGCAGAATTCGATGAAATTCGTTTTTAAATCAATTTTTCGAAATTACAATTTCAAATTCCGACTAAGTATTAGTCGGGACGAGGAATGATGAATTAATTTCTGCATCAAAAATTTGGAATAAAAATTGAAATATTATTCGAAGAAATTATTCCGTATTTATAAAAGATTTAGTTACGACTACAGGATGTCCCTTTGAAAAAATATACCTGATATCATTATGTTAATAAAACTAAAATATATCACAAACTGTTGATATTAAAATTAAAATTACACCTTTTAAATTTTCATAAAAATCGCCCATATTGTACTAAGAATCGATTTACGCTATATTTTATATAGGGACTCGCTGTATAGATTTCAGGCGCATAATACCTCTTAGATGCCGGGGAAAAAGTTGCCGTTATTAAAATTCATAAGCTTTTTATAAGCTATTCTTATTATGCAATCCATAACGAGCGTTTACCCCTCAGGACATGACACAATTTCGAGTAAAGTAAATTCTCCCTTGAAACCAGTCCGGGCGAAACTTCGCAAAATACCCTATATACATGTCTGTTGACTTTTTACGAATGCAAGGTAAAAAGCTTATAAAACTTTCCAATTCCAGCTAGTTCGGTAAAATGGAAAGTTTTTGCAATAAAACGCCTTTAGCTTAAACTTGCCTTCGAAGCATACTAATAGAATTTTTATAAACTTCTCTAAGTAATCTTGAATTATAAATTTACTTTTAATGCATAGTATTATTGAATGATAAATAAATAAGTATAAATAAACATCCGTTTTATGCAGAGAATAGATTAAAATACAATTATTATTTGAAGTAAGAACTTTAAGGTATTTAAAAAATATTAATGAGAATGTAAATTTTAAATTTGCGAGCAAAAATCGAGCGAAGAAATCCGATTTAATTTCCAAATTTGCATAAGCACGATTTTAAAATTTCAAAGCTTCAGATTTAAAAAATAATTAAATCATTCACGCGAGTTAATTATCCTCCAAAAAAATTCCACTTTAGAAATAATATCATGTATAAATCAAACACCATTGAATTTACGACCGAATAATTCAAACTCATTGATACACCGAACCCCTCAAAATTACTCCAATCCCTTTTACCTAATTCCGAAATCAAATTACTTCACAAACAATTCGTTCGGAACTTCTTCGAGCAACACCTACCGCAATTTCGCTCATTCGAGCAGAGCGTATTCCTATATCGATAGAACAAACAAGTTTAGCCGGGGATGAAACACTTTCGACTTCTCATCAACAAAGTTCCCGAATGTATACGCGAGCAAAACCAATTGTAAACTTTCACCGAGGGCGAGTTTGTATAGACAAATATTAAATTTTACGCTTTCGTCAACAACTCCTATAATTGTAACCCGATACATTTCACCGCCTCCTCTACTACTTCTTAAGATACAGGGCGACCTCAAATGAGCAACAATTGTATAAGAGAAGATACATTTTCTATTCACATAGAGCACGCAAGTAGTTTGTACGAGTCTAGCATCATTAGATTTATTTTAATTCAGTCTTTGTGCAGAAGGTTTGCAGAAGCTGGTTAACGGTAACATCGTTAACATCCTGCTGTAGACAATGGCAAGCAGGAAAATTACAAATCTTGTGCAGATTCAACGGAAACTGTTGGTACGTGTTAGATACATTAAGTTCCTTCTTTTTACGTTTCCTGTAATAATTCCTTCGGAAATTAAAGGTAAACAAGATTCTTTGTGCAATTTTCGTAGTCAAATTTACCAAGCGAATTGTGTGTGTTTTTTAGATACAATATCGCTTTGTGGATTAGTGGATTGTGAAGCTTTAAATGCGCAACTGCATTCTTATCCAACATCATTGATCTGTTGCATATTGCACATCAAACAGAAGGAAATATGTAGGAGTATTTCCCAGCGTACAAAGCTACATACACCTACGTTTCTTTCCACTTCCATTGATGTATTATTTCTACAATCTGAACACTCTTTAGAAGGTATCGACGCAGTTTCTCCGCGTAGGAGGGAAAATTTGAATGTTGCACAAACTCAAATAGGTTATCCGAAGAGCAGCGTGTCAACCAACTAATCTGCAAGATGCATAGAATTTCTCGCATGCAACTGCAATGTGTTTACAAGCCGAGAAAATATTGTCTCGGCGATGGAAATACTTGCAGATTAACGGTTATTTACAACCGAGCACGTATCACATTCGACTGCAGGGCTCTGCTCTATATCGCTCTATGTCGCTTGATAATATAAACTAAATTGTCGACGAAGACAACACACGATTTAAATTTGAAAGGTATTTTCGCCCCGAGTACGAAATCAAAGTTTCCCAACTTTAATTACTTTAACCTGACATATGCACGTCAGTGTTAACGCGAGTTTGTATGTATATTCTCGTCGAGAATTAGGTTTTGGTATTAATACAGGATGTGTCACGACGAGTTTAAATTAGCTGTATATTGGAAACTACTTATCCGATTTCAATAAAATTTGTTATGCAATAAGACGAACCTTTCGTCTTATTGTTCAAATACCTCTGACCTTTCTATTAGCTATTTAAGCTCGTCGTGACACAGCACCCTGTATAATAGATTGCACTTTACGTCAATTCGAGCAACAAGCGAACCATCAAATGACAATGTAACAAGTCATTTTTTGTATTTTAAAACATTTTTTTTTCACCGATTTTTTTAAACCCCATCGCCCCGAACAAATGGACCGCAGGAAACCATCGCCCCTCATCAACGTCGACTCGCTATGGTGCATCTACGTCTGCGGCGCGGTCGCCGCCTGCAACGCCGAGCTCTACACGTTCCCCTTCGACCTGGTGAAAACCCGCCTCCAGATCCAGGGCGCCCAGGCGGACAAGAGCGGCGCCGGCCCGCGCGGCGGCATGCTCAGCACCGGCCTCCAGGTGGTCAAAAACGAGGGCTTCCTGGCCCTGTGGAACGGCATCAGCGGCATGTGGCTCCGGCACAGCATCTACTCCGGCATGCGCATCGTCGTCTACACCAAGTCCAAGGAGTACCTGCAGAGCCGCTCGCCCGGCCGGCCGCTGCCCGTCTGGCAGCTGATGCTCTGCGGCGTCGCCTGCGGCTTCATCTCGCAGTTCGTCGCCAGCCCGAGCGATCTGATCAAGGTGCAGCTGCAGATGGAGGGCCGCCGGAAGCTGATGGGGCTGCCGCCGCGGGTGCACGGCATCCGCGACGCCATCGTGAAGCTGTACAGCACCGGGGGGATACGGGGCATGTGGACGGGGTGGGAGCCCAACTGCGCTAGGGCTGTGTTGGTGAACGTGGGGAATTTCACCGTGTACGACGTGAGTAAGAAACTAATTTTAGATAACACCGGTCTGCCGGATAAGATACTGGTGCACAGCTTGGCCAGCAGCATGGCGGGATTGATGGCTACTATTCTATCCACTCCTGCGGACGTGATTAAGAGCAGGGTGATGAATCAGCCGGTGGATAAGAGCGGTAGGGGCGAGCTTTACTCGGGAGCTTGGGATTGCGCCGTGAAAACCGTGAGTCAGGAAGGACCTTTCGCGCTCTATAAAGGCTTCCTGCCCAGTTGGTTAAGATTGGGTCCTTGGGCTGTAGTTTACTGGATTACTTACGAAAATATACGAATAATAATTGGAGGGAAAACACTGTCGTGACAAATATGTTTGTAAATATAGCTTAAATTACTAGAAATATATTATAGCAAAGTACAATTTTTGTTTTTTTATTAGCTACATGATGACCTGCTTGGGGTTCTTGGAAATTGTTTTAGGAACTTTTTGGTGAACTTTTCTATAGAGTAAGTTTCTATCGAATTCGTTTTATCCACAAGCTAAATATGCCTTTAATTTATCGACTAACGCCCTACCACATGTCACCCTATCATCTCTTAAACGATTCTCGCTTGACGAAACTCCGATATCGTTATTTATATCTGAGGCATCTAAATGCAAATTCGTGGACCTCGGGCGCCGCCCGCGGCCGTTTTTCGCCCCGGTATTAGCGCTAAAATGGCGGTTAAGAATGACTCGGTCGCGCTTTTGAAGTGCGAAATTACTCGCGACACTCCGATTCGTTGATAAATTAATTCCGAGCGTACGTAACTCCCAGGTAAGTGATTTTGCGGATTAATTCCTCCTTTGGAGAGGCCAAAAAGGGGCGAATGCCGGTTAAATGCCAGTCGAAATGTTGTAGTTTTAATTATTTAGTTTACATTTGCTCTATGCTAAAGGATGTGTTCATGTTTCGGGTAATTTTTTTTCAATGCAAGAGTCCTCGTTGGAGAGTTTTACTATATTTTTTAAAGGTTATTTGGGGGGTTTTAAATTTTCTTTGCCATTGAATAAATTAGGTAAATAAGATGCAGTAATACATTTCTGTACCCATCGCATTCTCCAACTTCAACTTCATAAATCAATTGAACAATGCAACGTATGTAAATAGCTACAAGTCTATTGAAGGAATTTGAATTTACAATGGCGCTTCGAAAATTCAAATTTTCAAATTGGAAACGGCGAATTTATTTCCTCCAAGTTTCATGTTTTTCCAATAAGTACAAGGTAAAATTAATTCCACTTCTACAAGGTGTCCCAAAGAACCACCCTGTATTTACGCCATAAAAACCTTCGTTTAGAAGTAGATATTTCTTGTTTGGATATTTCCCAGCCATTTTTCTCGAAACTGAGGAACCGTGAAATGTTGTATACAAAACAATAAGTCCCTCCTGTGACCTTTTCGACTCTAATATGATTTATATGGGTTGCAAAGTAAGCATTCTATTATGCCAAAAAGGAAACTACTTTTTTTGCGTTGGTTGAAAATTTATTTCTAGTCGCTTTGTAACACAAAGTATTGTATAGAAAGGCACAAACTATTCCGAAGCTAATCGATAAATAAACACATTTTAGCATTTAGTAACAAAGGTTTTGAAATCATTCATTTTCCATTACAAATATTTCGATGCAACAGATATACAGGATGGGTAATAGTACCAAAATTATGGACATCCTGTAGATCGTCTTGAATACCAATCAGTTCCGTACGTGTTAATCGAATTAAACATTTCTGGAGATTTATGTAAATAGATTGCAGTGGTTAAATTGCAATTTCAAATTAGTTAACTAATTTTACCTCAAACCCTGGCTCCAGCAACACTTCGCGTTAAATGGTATTACTGGTAAATACAGTTTGATTGGCAGATATTCATGCAAATACATTTTAGCAGGTCAGGATTAGACATACATACGTATACACGCGATCATCGAACCGGAATGAATACAGTAACGTTATTTTTGGTCTGTATGAATAAGCTTCGTTTTGATTGGGAAATGTAATAGATGGAGTGTTTAATTAAACCACTAATATGTCATCGGAAATTTCCATTAAGGTTTCACAAGATTATTTATTTATAAACTTACATCGACCATTATTTTTGGTCTGTATTTTGATGGTGAGTTATGCTCTCGACCTGATGTAATAAATAAATAGATCGCTTAGTTTCGCAGCTGCGATTTCCGACGGGAAAACCGGATTTCTATTTCAGATTTGGGAATTTCCCGGATGACAGGAAGAAAAAATAAATCTCGTTGTTGCTGTTGGGCGCTCTTTATTTTCGAAACCCCGCGAAACCGCCGCCGAATCCGGTTTCGATAGAGTTGGGGAGTGACGAGAATAAAGGCCGAACATGTTGGGCTCCAATTTGCTTTAAAAAAATAAAATAAAAAAAAGAAACAATACAGAAAAAGTCACGTACTCGTAAAAATTGCCTTTGTTTCGTGGAAAATTGATTTTCGGTTTTTGGTTTTTGGTTTACCGCTCGGAAACTCGGAGAAAGAAATACAGAAATCTCTATACTGATAGATGATTTTTTTTTAGTACGCTATTCGCACGATTTGTATCGAAATTAAACAATTTCTGTTTATCTACATTATGTCCCCTCGTGTTTTGCATATTCTCATTATACCCACGTCAAATTTCGAGCGGCAATTCATAAAAAAAGGATCAAATAACGCGAATTTAAATTGAAATTCCTCGGGAAGGTAAGCGAAACATCCATCCTGTTGGAGCAAGACGTGACGAATTTATTTTTGTTAAGAATGTATTAAGCGAAAAGTTTTATACTTTAATATGCATTCCTAGGGAACTGGAACGTGGAAAACTAAAGAATTCAAACTATTTTCATGAGAGAGCCACTAGGTGCACGCACGGCTAAATTGAATATGGGAATACTGGAAATTTTTCAAAAACATCCCGAGCACTCGCTATTTTAAATTGCTCCAAACACAAGCTTTTTTTCATATAAATTTCAATAAATTACGGGCCAATATAATCGATTATTTTGGCCACCGTATACAGGGTGTCTCAAAATACCGTGTATATAGAGCTACTGTGTTTGGCGAAGCGTTTTTGAGTTATTAGAAATTTTTGAAAATTATCCTTTAACTTTGAGGCTCCCTAACAGGCAAACAATGCACTTTGGATATAGATAATTTTGGCTCAATCGAGTAATTTTTATCCCACCAACACAGTAGCTCTAGTACACGGAATTTTGGTACACCCTGTATAGAATCATCCAAATATATCAAAGTCACAGCCTGCTCAACCCACCCATTTTCCGAACGTTTAATATTCAAAGTATTAATTTACCCTAATAAGCCATAAAATGAACGACTGCTAAGCAAACGAGCGCACGAAGCCCTGCATCAAAATGTGTTGCGAGGAAATTACTTCTCCGCAATTTATTGCCGCGAGATCAAAAATGGTAAATAGATACCCTCTATCATAACGCTAAGTACAAGAGAGACGTTTTGTGCATGCGGTGTTGAAATATCACCTGTCAGATGATGAATAGATTGCATTTATTGCCGCGAAACGGGTCGCGGTTTACGCGCGAGGGAGCGATTCGTGATGATAAGAGGATTCGGGTTTCGGTGGAACACATCAACTCCCTGCTAAAATATTAGCCGAATAGATATGTATAGACTCGGTTGCTATGTTTTGCATTGATTGTTTCTTGAGGCCTATTACACATTAGAGACTCTTAAGACTAGTTTATAGATATACACTGTGCTTCATTCCAGATCGAGACATAGGTTACATAAACTTTAGGTGCGATAAAGACAACTTCCATTAGACATTTATAAAGGAAAAAGGAAGAGTGACATTTGTGTCATTACAACTTTTCACTCTTTATTAATCTTTCTTTGTTCAATTCATAAAAACGACAATGTTTCGGTCTGAATTGAAGCAATCGGTATAATAAAGAAACTAAAGACTAGAGAGTAAGGAAATTTGAGAGTCTAGAGATTAGAGAGCGTAGAAATTACAGTTTAAAGACTAGAGAGCGTAGAATTTAGTGAGTCTGCTGGAGACTAGAGAGTTTACAGACTATTAGAAAGTCTAGAGACTAGTAAGTCTAGAGATTATAGAGCGTTGAAATTAGAAAATTTGGAGTCTAGAGAGTGCAGAGACTAGAGAGTCCTGAGGCTAGAGAGTGTAGAAATTAGTCTGGAGGCTAGAAAATACGGTGACTAGAAAATGTAGTAATTAGCGGGTCTGGAGACTAGACTAGACAGTTTATAGACTAGAGACTAGAGAGCCCAGAAACTAGAGAGCGTAGAAATTAGTGAGTCTGCTGGAGACTAGAGACTCCAAAGACTAGAGAGTCTAGAGTCTTAAGAGTAGAGAGTCCATAGACTAGAGACTCCAGAGTAGAGACTAGAGAACGTAGAAATTAGTGAGTCTGCTGGAGACTAGAGACTCCATAGACTAGAGAGTCTAGAAACTATAGATTACTTTAATGATATCCAAATGCTCCTTATACATAATTATGACATAAGAGTCTTGTGTAGTTATATTTAAGTATAAATATTGTACAATATTTGAGTAATTTTTTTCCTGAATTTTGGATGAAAATATACCCCTAGCCAATTAAGGAATAAACTACCCCCACATACTAATATAAAACACAAGAGCAACGCCTGCATTGTGCGGTTTAAACGGATTATAACTCAGTCAGGATCCTCCAATAACGCCCCCTGACGCCCTAGTATTAATCTGTTGTCGTTCCCGGGGCAATATAAATGATAAATAGGTAAATAATTTTTGCGGGTCACGTTTCCGTAAATAACTCCGCGCGTCGGCCAGTCAATAAAATCGGTTTTTAGCCGAGACTCCGATGAAAAATTGGAATTGTTAAACTTAATGCTCGGCCTAATTGGGCAATCAATTCCGAAGACCTTTCCGAAATTGGTCGGATTAAACGGAAACAAAAAATTATCCCCAAAAAATCGAGATATTTACTCTTTTGTAATCGGTGTTGTTTGTATTATATTCGTGAAATTGTTGTAGTTGATTAATCCTCTATAAATTTTCAAGCGATTTGAACGCGAAACTGGTCTAATATAAAACTTGTTGCTCACAGGAACAAATCTAATGCCTTGTATAATGGACCATAAACATAACACATAACGAATAGCATACCCGGTTGAAACTCCCGGAACAAGTACTTAGAGTTTGAAAAATGCTCGAGTGAAAAGAAGGAAATGAAACAATACGTAATAATAAAATAAAAACCCAGTATAGGATTAATTTACGCTAATTAAAATCTGGAATGAGCAAGAAATTAAATTCACCTGAAGCTACACATACATAATCAGAAATTTAATTATCTCCGCAATCCCTCCCATGTA